CAGCAATGGAAGCAGACATGTAACCCAACAGACTCTGAATAGACCGGGCGGGAGCAGTTCCTGTTTGTCGAATCCGAGCGATGCAATGAGCAATCGCATGTCGTCTGTCCCGAGGAAGGAAGGCTTTTGCCAACGTCGAATCCAGTCAGGCTCCGATAAAGTTGATCACCTGCGTAGGGAGAAGGGAAGATTTCCATCGATTAATACAGAGTCCAAGATCGTGCAATAGAGCACATGTAAACTCAACAGCAGATGAAAGTCCTGCTTCTGTGTCGGCGACCAGCAACCAATCATCAAGGTACGGGTATATCCGAATTCCATGTAATCGAAGGTGTGCACAGACAGGGGCCATACACTTCATAAAAACTCTCGGTGCAGTGGCCAATCCAAATGGTAGCACACTGAATTCGTAGATTTCAGAGTCCACCGCAAAACGAAGGAAACGCCTATAACTTGGATGTATTGAAATATGAAAATAGGCATCCTTCAGATCCAATGAGGCGAACCAATCCCCTCTTCCCACCAATGGAAGAATACTTCGAAGTGTAGTCATCCGAAACTTCTTTGGTGTTATAAATCTATTGAGAGCTCTGAAGTCCAATATTGGTCTTAGACCCCCATCTCGTTTCGGAACTGTAAAGTATCTGGAATAGAATCCATGGAATCCTTCCGATAACGACAGGCGACGAATAGCTCTTTTAGCGAGGAGTTGGTGAATCTCGTCTAACAGTACCAAAGAAGTCAGAGTATATTGAATAGGATTCGGTGATGGTACAACGTCGAATTCGATTCCATATCCATGCTGGATGACAGATAACACCCATCCATCAGATGTGAAGGACTCAGTAGATCCCCAAATGAGAGGGGGGAGGGGGGAGTTGGAATGAGAGGAGAGGTTCGCTCGTCACATCAGCGCTGTCGCCTGTCCGTATCGAAACGGCGGCGGCCCTGTTGGAAGTGCTGTGGTGGTTGTTGCCTGCAATGCTGCTGACGATGCGGTTGCTGCTGCCGAGGCGGAAACTGTTGACGGTACTGTGGACGTGACCATGACCACTTACGTCGGGGTAGAGATTGCAATTCCATACGACGGGCGGTCATCCTTGATTCATGGATTTTCTTCAATTTGCTGTCCGTCCTTGCATGGAAGAGGCCGGAACCGTTGAATGGCATCTCTTCAATTCTCTGCTTCATCTCATCCGGAATATTGCAATTACGCAACCAGGTGTACCTGCGGAGGGAAACTGCACCGACCTGCGACCTCGAATCAGAGTCCACGTGGTGCCTCGCGGTAGAAAGCTGTTGCACCGCCACTTGCATAGCTTCCTTAACAAAAGTCTTAGCAAGTTCACCCTGGTTTCCCGGAAGAGTATCGATGATGGCATCCAGGCGTTGCATCAGGAAATATTGGTAACGTGCCAGGGTTGCCTCATAATTGGAGATTCTTAAACCAAGGCCCGAAGCTGCATATACCCAGCGGGCGAGAGAATCAACCTTTCTACCCTCTTTGTCACGAGGTGAGGTGTGTCCACGGGCTTCCCGACCCTGCAAGGATTCTACAACAACCGAATTAGGCTTGGGGTGGCGGAGAAGAAATGGGATGTCCTCTTCCCGCACCCGATACATGGACTCGTATTTACGAGAGGTCGGTTGTGGATTAGCTGGGAGGTCCCATGGCTGGGTCATTGCCTGCCGTAAGGTCGTAATAAACGGCAAGGCAATAGATGTGGATCGTTCACCTCTAACCACATCATAAAAACAATCGGTGCTCGGTCCCGGCTGTTGGTGGGCTTCTATATCGAGCGAGCTCACTAGTCTGGCCATCAGATCGTTAAACGATATGTACAGTTCCTCCGGCGACCCCGGACCCTGGGAAGCAACTACAGCATCCGGCGAGGTTGAGTCAGCCTCTTCAGATTCCATCCAGTAGGGGGGCAGTATACTGGAGGAAGAATCTCCTGGAAACTCCAATCTGCCACTCTCTCTAGATGGTGCCCTTGGGGCGTCTCTGGGCGTTGAATGGAAACGCTGCCGAGGCGCTGATGGTGAAGATTGTCCCCTAGAGGTTGGATAGTAGGCTGTAGAGTGGTACTCTTCCCGTCTCGGAGCAGAGGAGTACCTGGAGTGGTACCAATCATCAGACCTCGCATCCGAGGAACGGCTTCTACGGCTTCTCGGAGGGGAGATGGCGATCTCAGTATCCATCGGGATCGGAGGCATCGGGGTTGGTGATCGAGCCCTAGGTGCGGAGTCTCGTATTTCCCCATCAGAGATAGAACCCCTCCTCGAATCCATAATGGGTTCAGCTGCCGGCCGGCGCGGTGAGCCCAGTGGGGTAACCCTCATAGCCGCCTGGATGGTCGGGACCAAGGGGGTCAGTTCCGAAGTAGGTATCAGAATCGAGGAAGAGGCCGAGCCCGAGTGACGGTCTTTTGCCTGCTCGGGGTTCTTCGGCTTCTTAACCGGTTTGCCTGTCTTATCTTTCTTGGCCTTCTTCTGCACAGGATATTTATCTGAGTCGCTGTGCTTTCTCTTTTCCTTTTGCTTCTTCGGCAAGGAAACAGACTGATCGGCCATAGCATGAGCGCCTTCTTCAGAAGGGCGTGAGGGTGGAGCAATGGAGGAAGAGGCCGAACGTTGCGGCAGGTCAGCCGAAGTTGGACGGCCTTCGGGTGGGGCCACAACAGTGAAAGGCTTAGCCACCAGCCGATCAGATTGGAGGAGAGCCTGATCCCAAAGGAGTTTGCGGAGGCGGTTCTCCCTGTTCTTCCTCGCCTGTTTAAAGAAGGCCAAACAATGGCTGCACTTATCGGTTCTGTGCCCTTCCCCCAAACAAAGGAGGCACAGATCATGCAGGTCCGCAGCGGGCATTTTGGAACCGCATTTTCCGCACTTGCGGAACGCTGCCTGTTGCGCCATCGTAGAAAGAAGAAAAAAAGGACATAGTAAAGCGGGAAAGTAACATTTGGGGGGGGGGGGGTTATAGGAACGATAAAGAAGAAAAAATGGTGCAAAGTTAAAGAAATATAAGTGAAATACTAACAACAAGAACAAGGGATATAAAACTTGGTAAGAGAAAAAAGGAGATTTTCGGATGAGCAAGAAGGTAAATAACAATCTGAGTGAGAGCAAAGCGGCACTAGGCACAACGAACGGCGGTTGCAAAGACTGAAAAATGGCAGACACTCCGCTCCTTATATAATGCTAGGGGGGAGGGGGAGCGGAGTTCCTGCCAAAAACCTTAGCTGTTAATCTTCCGGCCAAAGGCACTGCGCAGGCGCAGAACCCATATGTGTGATGCACAGAGGCCACGACGAAGAAACATTCGTTCCTTGAAGGGAAAGACTGACTGATTTCGAAGAAATAGTAGATTTCATAGAAGTCTGGTGTTAAATATTCTGAGAGACAGCATGCAGGACTGACTGTAGGGCAGATATGCAGACTGAAGCCTTCATGTATTATTATGTGGGTTTTCTGGAAGAAAACGCCATCAGACATTTTCTGATGCCCTAAATCAACCTTTCCTGATCTAAAGAACTCCAGATGTGTTGAGAGTTCAACTCCTATCAGCCCAAACCAATAGTCAGACATTCCGGGGGTGGTAGTCCAAAATTTCTGCAGGATAGCAGGCTAGGGAAGGCTTACATAAACCACTGGAATCTAAAACAGTCTAGTTATAGTTAATGTTTATGTGTATTAAATAAAACTAAAGAAGCATGCCATCTGGTTGGTGGAAAATTCGTCAAACATACCAATAGCACAATCCTACACATCTACTCAGAAGTAAGGCCCACCCAGCTCAACAGACGTTAGTCCCTGGCTTACTTGCAGGCTTGACACAGTTAAATGTTTTATTATTTTTTTTAATCGAAGCTTAGCTTGAAAGAATATTTTTATTGGTATGCTTCTAAATATTTAAACGCATGACAACTAAGCATGATTTTCACTGAGAGAGGCTATTGAGACATGATGCCAGCCCATGATGAGTAATGGAACTGACACAGTCCTTCCAGCACTAGAAACATATGATCTCACTATGCTTTGCCATGTCATCCAAACCTGGAAAACAGTGGCTTGGCTGAGTAAATTAACTAGGATAAACTAACTTAAGAAAGTTTATTGAAGGAAAGCTCTTTCCTTCTGCAGCCATTTGCAATCCTCTGTATGATTGGATGGCTCTTCTGGACAGTGTGGGAAAAAGTGCAGAGAGGATAGGAAATCTTTCTGTACACTTCTTTAAGCTAACACTTCTTAGTACACAAGTTCAGTTTGGGGTAATTCCTCCCTACCCCTACATTCATTCATTGTTCAGAAAGCTCCTGGACCCTTCAGAAAGGCTTTTGGGGTATGTAAAAGTTCATGGGCCGGGGGAGTGGGGGGAGAAGGAAAATATTCCCTTCAGAAATGCTCTTAACTTGTTTTAGAATTTACACAAATTAGCACTTTAAGGCACACTTGAACTTTCCTATCTTGAAAGTTTCCAATCTTGTCAAGTGAGATGAATAGGAAACAAATGAATCGTAAGTATAACACAAGACTATAATTTGATATTATTCATAAACAGTCCATTGTTTAAATGTAAGGAAAAAATTAAGTCACTGAAAATGGTTAACAGACTACTTTCTTATTTCTAATGAAATTATATATGCATGCATTCTAGAGATAGTCACCTGAGAAAAAAGCATTAATTACATCTTTGAAACTGCCCAATTTGATTGGCATTATATGTTAATAATTAATTTCACAAAATAATCCATTTTTAGAAATGAAGCATTTTATCTGGAAAAATACAACTGTGCAAAATTTCCATTATGCAAAATATTCTGCTGCTCATTACATGTTAGAATGCATATTTATGGAACTGCCTTATAACAGTTGTGTTAAAGCTAAGAAGTATACATGGTATTATTCTACTCTGCTCTATTCTATTCTTTTAATCATATTATCACTCCCTCAGATTGCAAATTTCAGAGAATTTTTTTCTAGAATAATAAACTATTTACCAATGTGCATGTTGGATTTAAATTCTACATTATACGTTTTCACTGCCATTTCTTGAGCTTCTAGAAGGACCTATAATGGAAAAGGAAAAATAAAATCAATTGCAAATTAAGAACTAAAAAGTATTACAATTATTTAAAAACTATTAAAAATTAAGTTTTTAATTCCAGCATTTTATAAACACCTTAATATCACCTTAACACTGAAGAAACAAATCAATGCATTCACCTTAGTGAGAAAACCTGCATGGTTAAAGCCTATTTTTTCTCTGCCACGGTACAATTTTAAACATGGTTACTCAGAAGTAACTTCCTTTTTTTCAGTGAAGCTTATTCCCCAAAAGATGTGCACAATATTGTTGCCCCTGTTTTTTCTGCACTTCCACAGAAGTTTTACACACTAGGAGAATGTCAGTCAATCAAAAGCACTAGTGGCAAGAAAGAACGAGCTGCACTATTAACAGAAACACTTACAGTGGTGATGATGAGCATTGAACAATGAAACAATTGCATTTCCAGGCTGAAGCAGGGGGTGTCATTTCAGTCCTGACAAGGCAAAAGCAAGCAAGCAAAAATAGACTCCCTGTAAATCCTCTTCCAGTGTAAATTGTTCTTCCTTCTGGACTTGAACAGTAACTAAAGCCTCTGCACATGATTATTCTGTTTTGAACTATGTATCTGGGAAAAGGGTGATGCTTTTTCATGAATTTAAAGCCTTCCCAAATGCATGGATTTCAGAATCCTTCCACATGGTCGTTCAATGAGGGTGCTTGAACAATTCTGCTATAAAGCCTCATTAGGCAGAGGAGGTGAGCCATCCATGGCGGATTTGGGAGTACCATTAAAAAGCAGCAAATAATGTACTAGAGAGGTGGTGGGCTCTCCCACACTAGAGACATTCAAAAAGAAATGACAGCCACCTGAGTGGGATGGTGTAACTTGGTGTCCTGCAACACCAGGGGGTTGGACTCGATGGCCTTCATGGCCCCTTCCAACTCTACTATTCTATGATGCTATAGTATTTAGTTTATTATAAACCTAAAGCTAATAATTGTCTGGGTAATTCAAATCAGTATGAGAAATTTAGCCTCTACCTTCTCTACAACTTCCTTGGGAGTTGTCAGGTCATAATGCTGCCACTGTAGCAGAAGATTCAGCCTCCTGAACCTCTAACAAGGCCTAGGTTTCCTCTCTACAAAGTGTACTTCCTTGGGGACATGGTCTAATTGCCCAACGACCTAACCTGACATTTCCCTCATGGCTGACCATGTATGCTTCAGTCCTTGGTGTTCAACTTCATGCCATCTGCACTTTTCCCTTCCGTTTTCCTGCTACTAGTTTATTTCGCTCTCTTTGGTTATCCTATTCTTGATTAGTTTTCCTAGTACCCCCTTCTTCCTTTCCTTTTTTTCCCCTGCAACCATATTCTACACAGAAACCTTGATAATGCATTAATTGCTGTCTTTGGGAAAACACTGCATTTTCTTAGGCACCAGAACTTGCTGGAAAATTCTGATATGCTCACAAAACAAGGACAACATCAAGAGAAGATACAAGGTCTACACTCAATAAAAGAAGTGATAAATTTCTGAAAAATTATCAGATGAGTGAATTTAGCAGAGATGGAAATTAAATTCTAAAGAAAATTGCAACGTACCTCTTTGATCACCTTTGCTCCCTTTTTATCATTGAATTCTAACTGAGCTAATGCCTGATCAATGGGCATTCCCTTTACCTGAAATGAAAAACAACAAGGAAAGGTAGAAGAAGCTTTTAATATGATCAGTAACATGAAACAGATCTTACAATGATCCTCATTTATCATCAGGTAAATAAATACCTTTCATCATGAAAGAATCATTGCGTTTCTGTAAAATTCTATGTAACTGCAAGAGTAAAGAATTTTGACAAGGGGCATTATGCTATAATAACAATACAGGAGAGAATTCCTAATTTCAAGCAACAGGAATTCTTTCTATCCTGCAAGAAAAAACAAACGCTTCCTATTGCTATAATTCTCAAACCTATTGCACACTCACATCAACTTCTCAAGATGGTCTTTTCAAAATATGCAACTGTACAGGTAATCTCCTAGGACATGCCTCCCATGCCTAGCTCTGAGGGAAAACCTCCTCAGAGCCACTGACTCTGAAGAGCTAATCCCGTTACTTCTTCAACTGACCCGCTCTACCTACCCTCTGGTGAGATGCAGGGGCAGTAAGAAATGAGGCACAATGTAATATCAAGGAGAAAGTAGTGATCACATGTTCTTCTGCTTCAGGCAGTGGGAGACGGTGCAGGGATGAGATACAAACCATTTCTGATGAGCCTGCACAATACAATTTGCCTTCCTTTGGCATAAGGTGCCCCAGCTGTTTGGTATATGTAAGCAGCAGCCCGTTGTATGCAATCAGTTTCAAATGGCTTCTACAGGGCAGCTGAGTCCTGGGAAGTGGTGTATACTTGAAAACTACAGAGGGCATGGCTTAATATCTGCAAGTGACCCTGAAATTACTCCCACGGAGAAATCTAAACCAATCATTTTTCCTTTAATGCTGTTCAATGCACTGCAACCAGACATTTGTTTTATTTATTTTTTTCTCTTGTTTTATTTTTTCTTTCAGTTGCGGATGGTGGGGGAGAAAATAAACAAGACTTCCTTGCACTAAACTGCAAAATATCCTCCAGACGCTTTAATTAGAGTTAGGGAACACCACATCCAGGGTTTTGCAAAACAAGATATAAAACCCCAATTTCAAGCTCAACCACATTTCCATGCATTATGAGGACACTAAAAGTATAGCTTCCTATGTTCCTAAGAAAATAAAATATTCCAATGGTAGTTATCTTACCAGTTTTGCTAGGTACCACATTTTGTCCTTGCTGTATTTAATATTTCTTCGACAGTGGTAAACTACCTAAGAAAAAGAGATGTTAATGCTCTAGAATTACTTTAAGTGGAATGGGCACATTCATCAATGGGTTTGAGATAAAGCTACCAATGGCTACTAGTCATGGTGGCTACATGCTTCCTCCAGGATCAGAAGTAGCATGTTTCTGTGTACCAGTTTCTGGGGGATATGAGCAGTAGGGCCTTCCCACAGGCATCTGATTGGCCAATGTGTGAACAGAATGCTGGTCCAGAAGGACTGTTGGTCTAAGTCAACATGGTTCTTCTTATGTTCACAATGTCTATTCCTGAAAATGTGGGCAATCACCTTTTCCCCACACTGCAAAAATAGTGTGGCACAAGAGACCAGACGAGGCTAGAAACTGGAAGCCCAAATATGTGTCATATTCCATGTGTCGTATCACATAACTCTTGGTGTTTCAAGTTGACAGCCTTATGGTCATCAACTATAGCCTGACTGACTTAATAGTGAGTTTAATTTGTAGCATATGCAAAGTGAACATGTGAACATGCCTTAAACAGAGTCGGCTCATCTAGTCTAATACTGTCTATCCTGGCTGGAAGGAAGGTCTGCTTTTAACTAGAGATGCCAGGGATTAAAACCAGAAAACAAGCACATTCCCAATAAGCTATGGCCCTTCATGTAGGCACAGGGTTTTATTGTGCACTGAAGCTGTGAAATTTAGCAACATCTCATCAGGTTGGGTTGTCCAGCACCTTGTGCTGCACACCTGCGTGCTAGTGCTGTTTGTACTATCACAACCTTCCATTGTTCCTCCCCACTACACTGGTGAATAGGCCTGCTTTTCCTTCCCTCCAGTTGGTCAAGGAAAGAAGAGATCCAAGTCCCACACACACTTAGCTCAGCAATGTCATTTATACCTGGCGTTCTTAGATTTCCATTTTCCAAAATAAATGAATAAATAAATCAGTAGCCTCTTGAGAACAGGAGAAGGGAGAAGCTAGTGACGCCTAGATTATTCTAGCATTGGCCAAAAGTATATCCATTCACATTCATGCCTAAGACTACACAGGTGAGATGCATATCATGAAATTAATGCTTTATAATGTGCCAATGCAGGTGAAATCCTCAGTATATGGCTGATTTAAAAGCTGCCTCAAATACACTCTTCATCACCACTCTTTCATGAGCCAACACAAAGGCCAGGGCCAGATAGTGAATGTCAGTGCATTTTTAAAAAATGCTTTGAAGAAAAAAAAAAGAAAAGAAGCAACATTCACACAGAAGCATGAATCATTTGATAATTGAAGCTTCGCATACCCTTAGTTGCTCAACAGTACAGTACATCTACTTCAAATCATATTGCCAGCTGAGCTGATGAGTGTGCACAAAAGACAAGATGAGGAACAGTTTTTTAAAATTACATTGTATTTGTTTGAAGTTTAACCATTTTTCATTTTAGCTTGCTTAGCAGCAAGCCAAATAACCTGACAGTAAAATCATTATTTTAGAGTAAAAAAGAGTTGTGGGGGAAAAAAATCAAGACTAAGAATACTCTACCTTATGGGAGTTTTCATACAAGTCTTCTAAGTTTTCTCATACATCATGTACCACCCACTGATTTCAAGCAGTTTCAAAACTATCCTCCCTTTTCTGCAGTGACTAGCCTTTAAATATTTAGTTTATCTAGCTACACATACAATACAAGCTGACAAAGGATGCTACTGCTTCCATTGTCTAAATGCATTTTCAGCCACAGAGCAGCCCAGGGGTGGAGAAATAAGAAGCAACTGCAGTGAAATTCAGGCCAGGGGAAAAAAATAAACCTATTAGCTGAACACAGAGGACAGAGAAAGACTCACTTCCTACAGACCTAAAGCCATCGAAGCTTTATCCTTTTAGGTTTATTCAAGATTCAGCATTTATTTTGCTTAGGGGAGAAGAGAGAGAGATGGAGGGGGGATTACTCAAAACTCCATATAATGTCCTTGGCCATCTCACATCTGCATTAGACAAGAGCACACTTCCTATATACTAATAGAATTCTTAGAATGCAAATCTTTCTGTAGCCAATGTGTGCTCTTGGGGGAATTAGCAGACTTGGGGGAGGCCCCATAAGTTGCGCAATTATAATCATTTAGGGTGAAAAAACAAAAATGAGGAAAACCACCACAATCAGTCCCATGAGTACCGAGTATGGCCATAGAATGCTGACTGACTGTTGTGATGGGGAGAATGAAGGTGGAATGGAAAGCATTGATCTGAAATAGGACATGAGTGGTTGGCTGGCTCCCAGGCTCCTGAAAAGGAGCTCTTCACATGGTAACTTTTTGTTGCAGGTATTCGTTGGCTACGCTTTATTTATTCACTGTGTTGAAGAGCTGACAGTTGAGAAGCAGTGCTTCCGAGGGTCAATAAATGTCTCCCAATTTGAAATGCTAGTGTGGTGCTACCAACCATACAATTTTATTCTCAGAAACTGCTACTTGCAAAACTGAACAAAAACAATGGATAATTACAACTACACTTTTGTAACCTATAGACAAGGTGAGTTCATACCGCAGGTCTTCGAGGTTCTTCTGGCAGCTGAGGAGGATAAACTCTTCTGTTCTTCTTTTCCCATTTTCCAATTTCCCCCACAGAAGCTCTTGTAAGGATGGTTGACGAAAAAAAAGCACTGCAAGATGAGACAAGGTTTTGTTATTCCACTGCAGCTGGATGTTTTTGCAGATTAGCTAACCTAAGATGTAGATTCCTATATGCTTTCCTCTCAATGTAGCATGCATGTTTATGATAGTCTTGTCACTTAATGCTTATCTGAAGTGTGTAATCCACCTCCAGGCCAATAGCTACATTCTTGCTTCAACAGTGATATAAACAATTCATGCAGCTACCATAGTGCTGTTCTGTGCTTATGAATGGTAGAGATACAACAACTGCATGTGCAGCTCTTTCACTCTCTTCTTCTGAAGTATAACACCATGACTCACTCTGGGAGTGGCTGGAATTTTTTCGGTGGAAATACACATAGAATTATGCTTAGAGTTTGCTAAACAGAAGGGAACATGAACCATGTGTCATGACACTGGCCACTTGTATTCACAGCTGGTTCATTCTTTCTGCTAGTTTAGAAAGCAGTAGGCCAAAAGATGGAAAGTGGGCAAAGCCAGAAGTCACAATAATCCATCATGGGTTCATTAACCCATGGGGAGCCAAGACACATGCCAGCCACCATTTTGAGTATGTATGCAGGGGGCATGCTGTGGCTTGTCATGTGAATCCTGGTATCAAAGCATAGTTTAACCTTCAAAAAGCCAGAAAACCTGGATTCAGATGACACAACAATGCAGCCTGCATATTCAAAATGGCAGCTGGTGTCTATCTGGAGCCCTGCAGATTGATTAACCCATGGCAGCTTATCCAAGTTGCTAGAGCATCTATGGTACTACTCTATTTAACATTAAGGGTCACATATATGCCACACTGCTTCCCAATCATTTCAATACTAACTGCTAAATAAATGTGTAGAGATATCATTACCATAATAGTAGTAGAGTTGGAAAAGGCCTATAAGACGATCAAGTCCTACCCCCTGCTCTGCTTCTAATGTAATCACCCAGCCACCTACAGACCTGTGCTTTTCCAGCTGAGCAAAAGGGACTCAACATGGTAGCACAAAGTTTAACTGTACAAGTAGAATGCTCACAAGGGACCCATCAGGTACATGTAGTCCTCCAGATATCTTGTATTAAGGGATCAGAGAGAGTGATGATCTGAAGTGCTGTGTTTTAGGGGCAGCAAAGGACTTTTGTAGGTGTACTGTGATGTTTTCCCTTTGAAAAACAGAGTCCCATGGAAGATTATGAAATGTTTTTGCAAGTTCTCTCAGTTGTAAGAAAAGCTTTCAATGTGGCATGAAGGAACTGCTATTTGAACAACACAAACCCTGCTAGACACTGGAATATTTATGAATTTGTCAGATACTGTCCACTTCCTCCATGCCAAACCCATTTTCAAGAAAAAAATTACCATTAGCAAGTAGGTCTGCAAATCACAAAGCCTTTGTTGAGTAATAGTGCCCTCTAGTGCTCAAAGCTATTTACTCATAATACTTTTTTGCACTCTCACATTTCCTTCAAAATATAGGAAATATATTGGCCTATTGACAATATGTACAGATAGATTTTTGAATAGTTTCATAATTATGAAAATTATTTGATAGATCCTTGGGCAAACATCAGGGCTTTCTTTAAGAAAAGGAGTATCATCAAATAATGTTACCAATTTATGAGACAATTTTAGGACTATATATACACACATATATATATATATATACACACACATATATATATAATTGTCCTAAAGTGGTGTTTCGGGGGTTTTTTGCTTTTGCTTTTGCTTTTGGATTTGTTTTGTTTTTTGGTCCTTTGAGGGGTATCTCAAGAGTCAGCTTAGATACAAAAGACAGAAGTGTGTGCTTAGATTCTGGATCTTCATAACATTATTCAAGCAGCAAGAAATAGTCTGCTCTTTGAACTAACTACAGGAAAAAGATGTGACTACCTGCCTCTGAGCTTAACCCAGATTGTTCAACTCTTCCTTTGGATGGACTGATAGTAGTAGCAGCAGCAAATGAAAGAATTTCAAATCTAGAATTAACTTCTCCAGAGGAAACAAATTAAATGCAGTGCTTATATTTGTCATTAATTTGTGAAATGTTAGCTTTTGCTTACACACATAAAAACTTGTTTCAGATCAAAAGAATGCAACTAACTTTGTGATTCACATACCACTTTAAACACACATATTGAAATCAAAGACTTCATATGTATGTATTATCCCCAATGTTCCCTTTGGCATTTTACATTAATGGAGATCAGGGGTCCTTCAAAATATCCTACTGAGAAAATAAGCTACAGGTATTGCCTCTTCTAATAGAACCATGCCCCCTCCTGGTCAGCTGATGAGAGACACTTTAATAACTAGAGTTGAGTCAACCTAGAGCATGGGTCCTCAGACTACGGCCTGTGGGCCGGATCTGGCCTGCCATGCCCATTTATCCAGCCCGCCATAGAGGTTTTGGACTTGCCACACATGCGTGTGTGCATGGTGAGGCGCCGACTTGCTCGCAAAGAGATTGTTTTGGACTCACTCAAAGAAAACGATCTCTGCGCATGCACGCCCCTGCCTCGCCGCACACATGCGCGCGCCCCCCCAGCCAGGCTGCACCCCTCCACCTGCACCCATCGCTGGCACCTTTCAACTGTTTAAAAAGTTTGAGGACCCCTGACCTAGAGAATCAGATTGTTGTGGCTACTTCTGAGCTTTTATTTTCATTTTGAAAAGGCAAAAAGTGTCCTTTTCTCAGTGGTGGGAGCATTTAGCAAAGGGCCAGTGATGAATATCTGGCAAAGCTAGCCAAAGGTGATCTTCTGTGCCTCTAGGTCCCTTAATAGCAAGTCACACAAGGCTTTAACAGCCAAAACTAGCACTTTGTATTGATCCTGGAAATAGACTGGGAGCTGGCAAAATTGATAAAGCACTGGTGTAACATGCTCACAGCTCTTGGTACCAGTTTGCTAAATGAACTAAGTGAAGTTTCTGAGTTTTCTGAATTGAGGCTTACTCGATAACATCACAGTTTTTATCTTTGATGTTGGTTCAAGTACTGTGTAGTTAAGAACTATGAATGATGTTAATTAACATTCTAGAATTATATATCATGTATACTGATTTGTTTAATAGATCTAGTTTGTTCTTAATTGATATTGTTTTAACTGTTTCAAATGCTTTACCGTTTGTGCATAGAAAATACTATGTAGTATTTTATGCTCTGTTGTTAAGTTTCATTTTATTGTATTATTCATTTTGTGAATTTCTGTGAATCACTCACTGAACTTCAGCTGTTGCAGAGTATGGAAATAAATATAAACCCTGATCATATGCGATAGATCTCTTGTAGAAAGTCATCCTTTACATGTGGACCAAGGAGGAAGAGGCAGGAAGCAGTGCTCCTTGGAACTGAATGTCAGGCACAATGGTACACAATGGCACATGAAGGTACTCATGCCAACAATAGGAGGAGTGAGTGCAGTGGGCAGAAACCATGACAAAGTGGAAACCACTTGATACCTGTCAAGTAGATCCCAGTAAAAAACTGCAAACCACAGTTACCATGCAGGGTTGCTTTTTGTGTTGTGTGAACCTAAGACAGAACCTCAGAGTTAATAGACAACTGCCTTGATTACTCTTTGTGCAGAAAGTTGGGCATAAATTCAGTCAATCAATCCAGCAATAACAAGCTCAGTCCTGCGACACACATTGGACCAATAATTTCATGGCAGCAGTACATACAATATGTTTGCTTATCGATCAACTTGATAGAGCTTGCAGGCAGAAGTTGCTGCTGTTATCAACCCAATGACAGAAGAAGGTAGCTCTTTCTGCCTCATTCAAGAAGACAGACATAAAGAGCAGCTGGGACTGGTGTGAACATATGGCTAAGCCCCTTCCTTTCAAAGACAAAAGCATGTTGTGGTGGGGGAGAAAGAAGCATTGAACCTTGTTCAGTTATTCCTTCTACTGACACCAAAAAAACTCTAATTCAAGATGAATGGACAGCTACAATAGCCACAACTAAATAATGAAACAATTTCCAAGGGGATACTTATGTCAGTCTGTTAGAAGGAGGCAACAAAAACAAACAAAAAGAAAAAAGAAAGGATGAAACAAAGAGCCTTTTGGCACCTTAAAATCAAGGAAATATATTACAACATAAACTTGCATAGACCAGCGTCCACTTCATCAAGTACATATTACTTTTTGTTGGCAGGTTGACACAGGTGTGTTTATGTGGGCAGAAATAATGTTAGCAATGAGATCAGAAGAAAAATGAAACACAAGTTTGTCAATTTCATTGACATTTGAAAATATGTAAAATTACCCAGTTAGCAAGCACAAACTAACCTTAATTTTTAAAAGGAACTTCAAACAGTGGAACAAGGGTGACAAAAAATACCAAAAGGGCAAGAAAGGAAGAGCAGAGAATCCAAGGAAATCCTTCACCTATTTTGAACAAATATTACCACTTCTGTCCCTGATTCTGCAACAACTTTAAGAAAGCTGGTGGTGCTGGTCTGTCCCAGCAAAAACGAAAAGGCATTCCCCTGCACCTTAAAGACCAACAGTTCTACTGCACCCGCCCAATCTGTTTACTACAGATCTCGCATTGTGTGCTGTTACCACACAATTAGTTAGCTGCTAAAGCAGGAGTGGGGAAGGTGCAGGGCCTCCAGATGCTCTTGAAATGCAAGTCCTATCAGCCTTTGTCGTTATGGCCAGTGGTGCAGGATGCTGGGACCTGCAACCTCCAAAGGCTCCAATTCCTCAGCCCTGCATCCTCGGGCCACAAGGCCCTCTTGGGCGGACTCACCGGCCGGTCTGGAGCCAGCTCCTGACGTTCCATGCTCGGACAGCCTCTGGAAGGGAGAAAGCAAAAATTAAGCGAGGAAACCCAACAGAAACTAACCGCTTTTACAACCGCCAGGCGCTTCCTCCGCTAGCCTTACCCCAAAGAATCCCCGGCGTCGCCATCTTCGTAACCCTCCCTAAGTCTGTCCAAAAGCGGCCCCCGTACCCACGTGAGCGTTCGCTGGCTTGCGACAGCACGTGGGGCTAGAGGGGCCGCTTTACGGCGGCGCGCGGTAACAGCCGCTCCTAGCCTCGGGGAAGCAAAGCGTGTGAGAGGCGGGTTGCTAGTGGAGTCGTGTGGGAGGGATGGCGGCGTTGGTTTTTGGCTGCGGGGCGGCCGAGCGGGTGTTGCCGGCCTCTCCCAACTGGTACTGCAGCCGGTGCAGCGACACTGCCCAGGATGGGCGCCTCTTCGGCTTTGCCGCGCGTTACAACGTGTGTCTTCTGGAAGTCCGCCCCGGGGCGCCCGCCTTCTACGGTACATATGTCCGGTTTTATAACGCACGGGCCTGCTGCGGGCTTCTTCGCCGCCGCCGCCTCCGCTTTGCGCTTTCGCTGGGAAGGGTCGGAGCAGGCAGACCAGCCTTTCCTACTTGCTCGGGAGAAATGGGAGAGATACCCATTTCTCTGGAGGGCATCAGGTCGGGGAAGGCTGAGCCGGTGTGATGCTTTTTCCGCCAACCTTTCTGCAGTATGAGACTCGGAGGGACTGTTATTGCCATGGTAGCTGAGATATAGCCGCTTTAATTTCGGGGGCTTTTTAAGAGGGTGTAGAAGCCATGTAAGTGCGTGACTTCGTCATGCTGTACTTGTGAGCTTCCTGGGGGATAGTTGCTTGATTGTATGGACCGGGGTTGGGGAACCACTTTTAGTCCCAGGTTGGATTCACTTTTGGAGAAGCTCTGCCGGGGTCTGTGCTTTTAATGGTGAAAGGGCTGAACATAAAGAGGGCAGGGGCAAACTGAAAAGGGGTAAGGATAAAAATAAAGTCGGCATTTTTAAAAGCTTGAAATCTTTCTGCCAGTAATTGTGCCTAAGAGCTGTTTAAGCCTTTTAGAATAAGAGGGGGAATGTGCAAATGCTGGGAAACAGTTGGTGGCTGGGGAAAATGGGGTAGAGCCCAGTGGGAGGGGCATACCCATCAGGGGACCCCACTAGCCTTTCTGCAGTGATCAAACACTGCAGTCTTGAATGTCTCAAGAGTGATTCTGTAAGGACACTACAATGAATCTCTGGGGCCAACCTCCGACTCCCTCCCTGAGGAGGTTCAGGTGGTGGCAACAAGGAGAAGGCAGATTTTTCAGTGATGGCTGCCCAGTTATGGAAAAGCTTCCCACTGAGGCCCACCTGGTGCCAACCTTGTTATCGTTTCAAGTCAAGATTTTCCCCTTATCACAGATTTTTAAATGATTTTTTTCCTTTTTAATATTGTGATGTATTTTAGACTGTGTTTTAATGGATTGGTATAAACCACCTAAAAAACTTCAGCTGTAGGGTGGGATAGAAGTTGAATAAATAAATAAATAAATAAATTTGCTTAGTTAGGCTTTGAAGACAATCCTTTGATGTAAATGACTGCCAGACAAATAATACAATATATACGCTCAGTAATGAATAACTGTTTGTTCTTGCATCCTCTATGAATAGGCCTGTCCTAACCCTATGCAAAAGTAGCATAGGGTTCCCTATAATTTTTACAGTATCCTGGGAAGTAGAAACATTGCTATTCTTCTTTCAGAGTTGAGATTTGCACCATGCTCCTTTGTATGTTTATTTAGAAGTAAGCCTCATTGGGTTGGATCCAGAGTTTCTTTCTGGTAGCTGTTGCATCCCAATGGACAGAGTTCTGCTCAAAACACTCCTATCAGATGAAAAAGGGGTGACTTTTGCCAGTTTCCCTCCTACCCTAAAACTCCCATTACTTCCTTTCCCACTGTTCCAAAAGGTTTCCTGACCCTGTGGAATTTTTAGGGGTTGGAGAATTACATAAAATTGTTCTCTCCCCTAAGAATAAATCTTCTCCAGGTGGTAGGGACCTTTCCATCCACAGTAAGTAAATGCTGGATCCAGCTCATTGAGTTCAGTGAGACTTTCTTCCAAGTGTGTGTTCATTAGTTTCTAATAAAATAAATATAATTTAAAAGGTTAAATTAAACCACATGATTTAATTTGTATTTAACCATCAGGGAACCTTTACACTGTTGGGCAGGCTAGAAATACAATAAACAGATGAATAGTTGGATTCACATTTTTCCTAAAACTAGAAAATGTCATTCCCTAATGTGCCCTGTTTCTTGCTCGTAATGACGAATTTGTGCGTGTGTGTAGGAGGGCAGTGCCAGCATCTCCGGTCTGTGGAACTTCATCTTGCCCATTGAGATAGGGAGCTGTCAAAACTCTGCCTCCTTTAAAAATTTTTTATTTTTTATTTTGGACAGGACTTCCCATTCTCCACCCCCCCACACACACCTGCCTTCCCTCCCAGACATATACATTCGTGCGTATACCTCTTTGGGAAAATAATGTGGAGAGCTTCCTTATAATGCCAGAGATTTGCATTTTTCCTTTTTCCTGAGTAACTGGAGTCTTAGGAACAAGTGGAAAAGTGAAAGCATCCTTAGGACAGTGGAGCCTCTTACCCATGAGGATCTTGCTGCAGAGGCAATGTAAATCCTTTTCACAAGCACTGAATCACTCATGCCTTTGGATTGGACTGACAGTCTGCTTTTCAGCAACTGCCAATAGTGACTTGCTAGCTGATCCCCAGTACCCACAACTGTCTGGGTTCAGAGAGCACAAGAACTCTTACTGGGTTATCGGGGTAGCTTGTTTCCCACAAGCAAGCTACCTTACAAGAGTTTGTCTGAGTTTGCACAAAACAAAGACCTGACTTTTCATCCACAATGGGTTGTTGTGTCATGTGAACCCAGTAAGAAAAGCAGCAGTCCTGAACAAGGGTCTCTTGAATTGAACTCTGGCATATTATGCACAAAACACATGTGCTCCTAGCATTGAGCCCTCAACTCCCTTGCAGAAGGGATGTTTCTCATAAGTTGAGCTAGAATGAGACCTTTCATTTTTATTTATGTGCTATGCTAATATCTCACTTTTTTCCTACAAGGAACCAAGGCAGCTTACATAATCCTCCTCTTCCTGTCTAAGCTTATCTTCACATTAATGCTGTGAAGTAGGATAGGCTAAGCTTCAGTGACTGTCCCAGTGAGCTTCCTGGATGTGTAGGGACTATAACCCAAGGCATGATCCAACACTCTGATACATGCAGTGCATGAATGATGAAGGTGTTTTGTGTGGGGGATCAGTGACCCCTGTCAAAAGGCTACTAAAGCCAAAATATACTTGTTCCTTCATTAGCAGAGACAGGTTGTAACACTTCACATGCACTATTCTAATAAAAATTAAGACAGAGGAGTAAAATGCAGCAGCTTTAAATGTATTTGGACATAATGCTAAAAGTGTATACAGAGTGAGCTGTATCCTGTTAGCGTTTCCCACCAGCAGAATGACTTAGTAGAATGAGGAGGAGGTTCCCCTCTCTTCCCTCCCTAAATCCTTTACTCTGTTGCTTCATAATGGTTTTCTCCAGGTTTTTTTAAAACCAAAAAGTTGGCATACTTTATAGCCATATTTTTTCCCTTGACAGGGGAGCTAGTTGGTCACACCGAAAGAGTTTCTGGTTTCTCGTTTTGCCCCTATCCTGGTCAGAATTACTACTGTGCCAGCAGCGCTGATGATGGAGCTGTGAAAATCTGGAATACGCAGACATTGACTGTTGTGATGGAACATGCACTGCATCAGGTAAAACAGTTGGCTGCATGGCTGCAGATCAGGATCTCCTGTGATGTGTGTTGCAAATTCTCTGGATTTGTGGGCAGCTTTCCACTTGTTAACTCTGCAGACTCTAGTTTACAAACATCACAGATATGTGAGACGGTTGGATATGAAGGGCATGAAAACAAACACTGTTTGATTTCTGCAAGGTTTATTTCCATAGAAGTGATTGAGATTACAAACTGATATGAGTGAATTAAGCAACGTCATAATGCTAGTTTGTTCATATTGCTTCTTTGTAGCTGTACTTTTCTTTCTTCTTTGTTCTTTTTTCCTCCCAGGGATATATTATGTTTCTTTTGGTTGAGACTACATTCTGGTTATATGCTTTTTATTGGAATTCCAAGATCATGACTGGGTGTGACATAGGGCATGTTGGATGGAAGAGCAGTGAATAATACATTACAAATTAATAATAAATAACTGCATGGATAGGAGTGGACAGATCCATGGGGGGGAAAGAAGGTTAAAAGCCTTTGCATGTACCAATTTTTGCTTAGGTCTTTTTGTCCATATAGGTAACAGTGATTACCTGAGAGCTTCATTGCTATACTAGACTTTTGAAGAAACCCATTACGTAGTGAAACTTTAGATGTGGGAATAGGTATTATATATTGTAGGGTTGGAACTTGCTTTTGCACTTTGAAAGGCGTTTAGTACCATTTGGATTGAAACAATCACTAAGTGACCCCTAGACAGTTTCTGTGGGCCATAAGGTAGTTAAGAGCTGCAAAGCCAAGGTTGGAGACAAAGAATCACAGCTCCTACTCCACCTCTGGCTCCCCTTCTTAGTCAGCATAGAAATAATCAAGCTGGCTGCTCTCAGGTTATGAAAACTTTCTTGGAGAGGAGGGAAAAGGGGTGATTCAGGGGGAGGGGACCAGGAAGAGCAGGAAGTGGCCTGTCCTGGTGCTTCTCCTGCCTCTCTCCTTCCTCTGGGACACTCTTGCTGGACAGGCAAAACAAGCTGATCTAGAAAGATGCAGGCTGTAAAGAGGAAGCTCTGTTGCTTCTCCCATCCTGCACTGGATGATAGTTAACTTCCAAGTGCCAGGGCTTACAGTCATTGCCATACAATTGAGCCCTAAGAATGCAGTCTTAGGTACACCAGCTTGAGTCTCATTGTACTTAATTAGACTTTTTTTCTGACCAGACATTCACAGGACTGTGTTAAACAGTCTTGGTTCTGTTGGCTTCTTATGCTTGGTAGTAGAAATCTGAATTGTATATCCATCCCAGTCATGAACACGGTTCTTAAGTAATGTATGTGAAGGTTATCACTTTTTTTGTGTGTGTTTTCACTTTAGAAAGACCAAGTAGCACTTGATTATTCTTTGCTGTTTATTATCTTTGTAATATTCTACTCTCTGGTCAGCAACTAATTTCTCTGGACTGCTACATCAAAGAGGCAAATGAGAGATGGTGGACCAGTGCCACAATAACAGCTCCAGAAAATAGTTACCACAAAACTGCTGGCGCCACTTTTTCTATGCCTCTCTTGTGTCTTGTTTGGCATTTCTCAAGGAGCCAAGTGGCAATTAGTTGCTGATTAATCTTTAATTAAATCTACACTGTAGGTGTGTAGAAAAGTTCCAGAGAACATTCATGGTTAGTCTATCTTTTCAATGCCGTTGCCTTTTACAGAACACAATTTCTGCATTGCACTGGTCACCCAGAGTGAAAGACTTGGTTGTGTCTGCTGATGAGAAAGGAATAGTAATTTGTTACTGGCATAATCGAAATGACAGCCAGCAGTTCTTTCCAGAGCCTAGAACCATATTCTGTCTCACTTGTTCTCCGCACCATGAGAATTTGGTAGCCATTGGGTAAGTATTGCTAAGGAAGCATACTTGGTAGATGCTGCAATCCTGTACAGAGTTACATGAGAGTAAACCCATGTGAGCTCAATGGAATGTATTTCTAAGTAGACATGTATCTGATTGTATTATTCTGTGCTTTAGAACTCTGTTTGGCTCCACCAAAATAAGAAACAAATAATATATAAAATTCATTTACTGATATTTAATAATTGCTTATATTAAAATACATTTATAAATGATGTGCAGACATTACAATATAAAACCATAATAAAAATAGTATATGACAGCATGGAAGATAAGATCACCAGCTGGAAAACCTTGCAGGAACTAGTATGTTTTCAGAAGATGCTGAAAACACAGAAGGATTGGTATCTGTCTGATATATATTGATAGAGACATGGACTGGACCTTTGATTTAACTCTTGGACCATCTGGAGAGTGAGTCCTAATAAGTGTAGAAACCAGGCAAAGGACCTAGTGGTTATTTAAATATCCAGGTCCGAGTTGGTTAGAGGTTTGTAAACAAGTAGCAAAAAGGGAAGCATTCCCCCCAAATTATTCTCAAACTGACCGGAGCCACCAAAGAATGGTGCCTCCAATACCCATCTTACAAACTCTATATATGAAAATAGGTGAGCCAGTGTGGGATTACCCAGCTATTTCATATATCAGTTGGTCTTTGGTTTTAACAGATCCTACTGTGTGTCCAAGCTGATGGATCTTTTGCTAGGTTTGCTGATTGGTGCCTGAATTTAAGGCCTCGGCTATGTTCTGAGCATTTCTTGACTGATGAACAAAGTTTGAGATTGCTTTCTTTGCTATGAACACCAGATCCCTATCAGATAATAACCTAATAAGTATGTGAGTAGATATGTTGGGCATAAGCTAAAGTTCATGCTTTCCTGGTTTCTGATTTAGATAGCTTTGTTTATTGTGCACCTAGTTTTGAAGTAATTTATAAACTAAATTTATAATTTTTTTTCAGAATGAATACATAATACAAACTTAACAAATCGATATGAGGCTGGATATGAGCTCCAGCCTTTACCATAAATTAGAATTATTATTTTTATATTGCATGTATATCCTGCCTTATTTCTCTCTTGTTAAGAACTTATATAGCTCTTATTTTATCTTCACAGCAAGAGCCCCTTGAGGTGGGTTAAACTGAAAGTGTGGTGTAGTGGTTAAGAGCATGGGACTGGGACTCAGACAATCTGGGTTCTAGTCCCTGCTCAGCCATGGAGCCAACTGGGTGACTTTGGGCCAGTCACAGACTCTCAGCCCAACCTACTTCACAGGGTTGTTTTTGTGGGGATAAGATGGAGGAGGAGATGTAAGCTGCCTTGAGCCCTTTGTAGAAAAAAGGCAGGATATAAATTGAAAAATAAATAAAACCCAGATCTCCTGGGTCCCCAGTACATCCCTCTAACTCCAACACTACAGAAAATGAATGCAGATGACCAAGTAAAAGCATGCAACTTGCTGTGATTTTCCATCTGTAAAAGAGTTTGATTAGATGCTGTATCAAAACTAACTTAGATATTTAGGGTAGATCTGTATACATTTTTAAATAGAAAAAAGTGTCTATGGATTGTAGGATTTTAAATATCTAAACATGCATAGGATTGCTTCTTTTGATTTTTTCAATTTGTTTAAAAGAAGCCTGTTCTGAACCTAGGAAGTAAGTATTGCTCTAAATAAGCTTAAGTAGTTTATTTATCATGGCATTTTTAAATAAATAAATAAATAAATAAATAAATAACCTGGCAAGCCAGCAAAACAAATTCTCCAATCCTATTTATATTTACTAGAAAGCAAGTTCAGTTGGCCCAGTGGGACTTACTTCCAAGTAAACATGCATTGGATTGGACTACAAAGAATGTTGTAGTCGTTTGTGAATTATTTGAATTGGCTATCATGATTGGTATAGAACTGTGTCGTTTGAGAAATGTCTTTAAATTGTTTAAAAAGATTAGGGTTAGAGTTTCCTTATTCATTTGTGCCCAAGTTCATTTCAGAAAACAAAACTAACTTACTTGAGTTATGTATTCCAGTTCAGAATGTTACTACAAAACAGGACTAGGCAACTTTTGGGACATGTGGGTACATTTTTGTCTTTTTCATTTATTTATATATTTAAAAATTTCTATGCTGCCCCATTCGCCGAAGCCTTGGGGCGGCTTACAACATCAGTTAAAATATAAAACACTAAAAATATAAAACACATTAACATTATAAAATAAGTTGCCCTGGCCGAAGAATTAAGCAAATAATATTAGCAATTAAAATGACGTTTGAATAAAAAGGTCTTCGCCTGGCGCCAAAAAACAAATAACGACGGAGCCAGGCGGACCTCTCTGGGGAGCACATTCCATAGATTGGGCGCCACCGCTGAGAAAGCCCTCCTCCGAGTACCTACCCTCCTAATTTCCTTCACGGAGGGTTCCCGGAGAAGGGCCTCTCCCACAGATCTCAGGGGGTGGGCCAGCATATATGAATGTAAGCACTCCTTCAGGTAGCCAGGACCCAAGCCGTTTAGGTCTTTATAGGTCATCATCAACACCTTGTATTGGGCCCAGACTTCAATGGGAAGCCAGTGAAGCTGACGGAGGACTGGAGTCATGTGAACATAACGCCCAGTCCCCGTCAGCAACCTGGCAGCTCTATTTTGAACCAATTGAAGTATCCGGACCGTCTTCAAGGGTAGCCCCACGTAGAGAGCGTTACAGAAGTTAAGGCGGGAAGTCACCAAAGCGTGTGTCACAGTCGCCAGGCAGTCGTACTCCAGGTAGGGGCGCAGCTGATGGATCAGCCGAAGCTGAAGGAAAGCGCTCCTCGCCACTGCTGTCACCTGAGCTTCCAATGAAAGCTCTGGGTCGAGGAGCACTCCCAAGCTGCGGACCTTGTCCCTAAGAGGGAGTGCAACCCCATTCAGGACTAGGTTCAATTCACCCTCTCCGAAGTCCGATCCGCCAACCAACAGGACCTCCGTCTTGTCTGGATTGAGCTTCAGTTTATTGGCCCTCATCCAGCCCATTACTTCGGCCAGGCACCAGTTCAGCACAGCCACTGCCTCACCTGGATTGGTGGAAAACAAGAGGTAGAGCTGGGTATCATCAGCGTACTGATGATTCTGCAGCCCACACCTCCTGATGACCTCTCCCAGCGGTTAAATGTAGATGTTAAACAGCAAAGGGGACAAAATGGACCCCTGTAGTACTCCATGGCATAGCTGCCATGGCGCAGAGCCATAGTCCCCCAGCACCACCTTCTGGAATCGGTCATTGAGATAGGAGCAGAACCACTGCAAAGCAGTGCCTCCGACCCCCAATCCCGCCAGCCTATCCAGAAGGATACCATGGTCGATGGTATCGAAAGCCGCTGAGAGGTCCAGAAGAACCAACAGGGACGCACTCCCCCTGTCCTTCTCGCTGCACAGGTCATCGTACAGGGCGACCAAGGCAGATTCAGTACCGTACCCGGGTCTGAAGCTGGACTGAAATGGGTCTAGATAATCCGTTTCATCCAAGAGAGCTTGGAGTTGTCCCGCTACCACCCGCTCCAACACCTTGCCCAGAAACGGGAGGTTGTCCACTGGTCTATAATTAGTGGCCATCTCTGGATCCAGTGACGCCTTCTTCAGGACCGGTCGGACTACCGCCTCCTTTAAAGGGGCAGGTACCCGACCCTCCCTCAGAGAGGCGTTAACCACTTCCAAGATCCAGATCCCAATCCCATGCTTGGAATCATTTATTAACCAAGACGGGCAAGGATCCAATAGGCAAGTGGTGGGACGTACTCGTCCAAGCACCTTGTCCACATCATCAGGCTGCAATAACTGAAAGTCATCCATCAGTTTTGGACCAGATGGCAGCATTGGTGTCTCCCCAGAAACCTCTGAGTCACTAGTAGAGTCTAGCTCGTGATGAATCTGAGCGATTTTCTCCCTGAAATGCTTGGCAAAGTCATCACAGCGGGCCTTTGAGGGAGGAGCCAGATCTTTCTTAGGACCTGGACGAACCAGGCCTTGCACCACTCGAAAAAGCTCTGCCAGACGGCATTTTGAGGAGGCAATGGAAATGGAAAAGAAATTCTTTTTCACCGCCCTCACCGCCACAGCATAGGCCCGATAATGGGCTCTCAAGTGTGTTCGGTCAGATTCATCCCGTGATTTTCTCCACCTACTCTCTAGCTGTCTCCCAGCCTGCTTCATCACCCGCAATTCAGGTGTATACCAGGGGGAAGAGTGGGCTCTGCCTGGTGGGAGAGGACGCTTAGGAGCGATCGTGTCAACAGCCCCGGTCATCTCCCCGTTCCACAGTTTGACCAAAGCCTCAACAGGAGCACCAGTCTTGTCAGCCGGAAACTCCCCCAGGGCCTTCAGGAATCCATCCGGATCCATCCGGCTCCGGGGGTGGACCCACACAATCTGGTCCGCACCCTTACAGAGGGAGAGGCCGCTCTCGAGCACAAACCTCACCAGGAAGTGATCTGACCATGACAGGGGTGTCAAACATAAATTCCTCACCCTCCCTCCCTCCCTCCCTCCCTCCCTCCCTTCCTTCCTTCCTTCCTTTCTCCTTCTACCATTCTTTCTTTCTCCTTTTCTGTCTTTCAAGAATCCTCCCAAAACGAGAAGTCACTTTATGACCATGTTGCTCCAAGTTAGCATATTATACAGTTTTTAGAAACTAGTGGAATTCCACGAAAGCAAGATTTTGATGTTCAGCAGCATCTGTTTTTCATATGAACTGTGTATTTCAGCCTTGTGTTTACTTTTCAAGCAGGCTGGGAAACATTCCAACTCAGCTAACCCAACTGACTCTTGATATTAATTCAAATTCATTAGATTCATGTAGGAATCAATAGTGCTTAACACACTAAGATGATTCTTAATTGTCTTCTGGTTATGAAACCTCTAGGAAAGAATGCTAATGTGTTTGGAATTCCTGTTAGCTAAAATCTCTGGTTTCTTTCAGCAGGTATCCCACCCTAATGCTTTCTTGCTTAGCTCTCTAAACATGTTGCCCATTCCTTCATTGCACATAAGAGAAGATTTAGGGCAAGGGATTGGGATTGTGAAAGAAATGACACCAAAAATGGGTTCCATAACTCTGCAAGCATTATTTATTAGCCAAGAATTAAAATATATCTTCCTTCATGCAACACTGTTTATTTTAAGCTATAAAGATGGAATTGTGGTCATTATCGACATCAGCAGAAAGGGAGATGTCATTCATCGCCTAAGAGGTCATGATGATGAAATACATTCCTTGGCGTGGTGTCCTGTGCTTGGTGAGGAAGATTTATTCAGTCGACAAGAAGAGCTTCAAGGTACATAACCTGTGTGAATGCACGGGGTGGGGGGCATAGGCCCAGTGTGCAATTTTGTAATATTTATTTAAGATATTTGTATGCCATCCTTTGCGAGAGCCTCAGGACGCCTTACACAAATAAAATACATTTACATAAAAGTATAACATAAATAAATAATCCTCTTGCATATATTAGCTGCTCTCAGGGAGCCCAAACAGTTAATGTAAACTTCATTTGAAAATAAACTATTGTTTTAACTTTTGGAAGAAGACACCGTTGCTTCAGGTGTGGCAGAAGATGCATCTGTTGCAAAAGGCTACTGCTTGGCCTCAGGAAGCAAAGATCAGACCATCCGTGTATGGAGCTGTACTCGAAGCAGAGGTAAGTCTAGAGAATTTTGATCTGGCTTTCTCCTTTGGCAAGACATGCAGAAGTGTGGCCGGGGGGTGGGGGCAGGCGAGGATCCCACACGTTCTTTTCGTCATTGTTTTGACTGGAGAATAGTATTGACAAGTTGTAACTGTGCTTAGTACCTCTAAAGTGCAAGGCTCTGGTGCACAAAACAGGAGGATAATCTGTTGTTATGCAAAAACCAACAAAGCTTCTTTAGTCAAAAATAGGTCCTACTGTGACCATTGCTATTTACTTCCATGCAAGGCTTAACATATTCTAAAAGATTCCAGCTGGTCCATAGACCTGATGGTTTGTGTTGCTGGAAGTCAAGGCTAGACAACAGATTGGATTTTAAGGAGCAATGCCAAATTAGTTACATATTTTCTAGGTGTGCTCCAAGTATGTTCTTTAAAGTGGAAGGCACAATTTGTGTTTGACGTGTGACCTTCCCTTTTCCTAATGTCAGTGAGTCTGGCAGTCCCTAGAATTGCAGGTAGTATTTGGTAATATTTTCTCTTTTCTTGTAGCATTGATGACTCTGAAGTTACCCTTTTTGAAAAGAAGAGGTGGAGGTGCCGAACCAGCTGTGAAGGAGCGCCTCTGGTTAACACTGCACTGGCCCCAAAGTCAGCCCACACAGATCTTATCCAGCTGCTTTGGGTGAGTAGCCTCTTAGATCAGTTTGACTTGTTGTGAAGCACCAGTATAGGACATTTTTCCTTGACGTTCCATAACCTTCCAGCATTTTTCACTTCTAGCCAGTTTGCTTTATATATTGAATTTGATGTGTTAATGCTTGGCCTGGTGCATTGTTTCATTCCTTAAAGGAAGAAAGGACTCCATGTAAATTGTTATTACAGCTCTCTCTCCTCCCCTCCCCCTCTCTCTCCCCCTCCCTCTCCCCGCCTCCCTCTGTGTGTGTGCTGTATTCCTGTGTGTCTTCCTGTTCTTCCCATCACAGAGGTGAATTGTTGCAGTGGGATTTGACCCAACCTGGGAAGCGGAAGTGGGAGCTTCTGGGAGCCTCATCTGAAGGACAAAACCATTCTAGAATAGTCTTCAATTTGTGTTCCTTACAAAGAGAGGACAGACAGCTACTTCTCTCCATTTCAATGGACAGAGATGTAAGCATTGCACGTCCACTAAAACATTTTGCAGTGTATTCTTTTTCAGGACTGCACAAATGTGCCTGCCCACCAGATGGGCATTGGACATGACTCTTTCCCAACAACAATCTCCTATTGAACTCCTTTTTCCATTCTTGGTTCTCCATGTATTGCAGTAAGGGAGGCTCTGTGTGCTTGGTCAATATGTGATAGGTCTGTAGGGATGCCTTGATTCCTCAGGGCAATTTTTCACTTGTGGTGCCCCATAATTTCCAGCTGTTTTGTTATATGCTTCATCAGCTTTCAGTTGCCTCAGCTCTTGGGCACATGGTTTCTGTGTCTTCTGTGGATCTTACTATTTCAGTATATCTGATAATCTTCCCTCCACTTCAGAGTCTCATTTTCATAGAGTAAATGAAAGTCCTGTAACCTTGAATCTTGAAAACAAGCAGACTCTGCCTGGGTCCTTGTATGTGGGTGAGACAGGTGAATGAGATCCATAAAATACAAAGTGGGCCATCTTGCCAACCTTGGGGCAGATACTTGCTTGCCTTTGGGAAGTGGTATGCTGCTGGAGAAAAGCTTTGGCAGTCTGCCCCTAAAGGTTTCCATAGCTTTTGTTCTGCTGTACTCTTACTAAATTTTACTAGCTTTTTTCCTCTTATTCTAGGTGAAGTGTTGGGACCTGGCAACTTTAAATTGCTGCTGGACTATGCCCTCCCTCGGCGGGTTTGTTTATAGCCTGGCCTTTTCCCCAGTGGACACAGGCTGCCTTGCTGTAGGAGTTGGAGACAGCATGCTCCGTGTGTGGAATACCTTGTCCATCAGCAATCACTATGATGTGAGAACCTTCTGGCAGGGCATTAAATCCAAGGTCACTGCTGTAAGTGTGCACTCTCTGCTTCCATTCTTTTGGTGTGTCTAATTCTTCTGATTCCCAGATTAGTGCTGATGTTGACCTGAATGGGAACCGGCAGGGTCACAGACTGTTGCTTGTGCAATGGGGTCCTGGTGAGAAAATGCTGACCTCTCTTTCCCAGCACTCCTAGAAATTGTTTGACTGCAGATTGGTAGCACCAGCAAGAAGTGAACTTGAATGACTGGAAATGCTTTTAACTTCATAGGAACAACTGCAAGAGGTGCTGTTCATTTTCTTTAGCAAAATGTCACAAGGTAGAATATAGCTCAGTAGGACTGTTTTAAACTGCAGTTAATCTGTTTTTGACCAAGAATGATGGGTCTGATATCCCTTTATCCATAAATAACTGCTCTGTAAGTGTCAAGGGCTTTTATCATTAAGGCTCTGGAAAAATAGTGTGCCACCAGAAAGAGTAGTAAAAGCCTTGTTCCTTTTAAAGGGGCACTAGGGTTTATACAGTGCAGCTTTGCTGGCTGTGTGCACAAGGTCCTTTGCATACATTAAGCCCTGTGCATTTTATGTAGCAGTCTTAACAGAGGTTCATTTAATTTCAGACTTAGCGTTGAGATGACACTTCTGGCCTCATTAGATTACAATCAGTAATGTAACAGTATCATTAGGAGCTTTCCTCATGTTCCCAGGGTTGTTTTGTTTTGTTTTTTAACTTTTCATTATCTCTGATAATTGGGATATGTAGCCGTGAGAGCAAGTAAGTGCTACGCCGCAGGCATACACTGCACTCTGTGTTTCCTCTGGAATGTCTTTTCATCTCCTCTTCCTTGAGTTTCAGGAGAGCCAGTGTGGTGGTTAAGAAAGTGGGAATGGGACTCAGGCAAACTGGGTTCTAGTCCCCACTTGGCCATGGAGCCAACTTGAGTGGCTTTGGGTCAGTCACAGACTCTTAAGTCCAACCTGCCTCCCAGAGTTGTTGTTGTGGGAATAAGATGGAGAGCAGCAGGAGGAGAATGATGTAAGCCACTTTGAGTTCCTTGTAAGAAAAAGAATGGGATAGAACTCTAATAAACAGACAAACAAGTTTAAAGTCCCAAATTGGAACTTGGATTTAAGTCTTCTTAATTTCATCTCAAGTTGTGGTAACTTGAGGAATCTGGAAAGAATATACACTAAACCAAGGCATCTACAAAGTGTTGAAACCATTATGGTTGTTTCTATTGCTTGCAGTTATCCTGGCATCCAACAAAGGAAGGCTGTTTAGCCTTTGGAACAGATGATGGGAAAGTTGGCATCTATGACACCTATTCCACCAAGTAAGATATCAGTCTGTTTTGTTGAATCAGTGTTAATCATATTCTACTCACTGTCAAGGTCAAACATACTTTATGGGAAGAGTAAGTAAGGAAGAATTAAAGAAAATATTTGAAAGCATGAACTAAGCCCTGATCGAATGCTTGGTGTAAAGAGGGAACTGAATGTGATTTTCATGTAGCTAATTAGAGAGCCAGTGTAGTGTAGAGGTGCAGGACTGGGGACTCAGGAGAGCTGGGTTCTAGTCCCCACTGGGTTCTAGCCATGGAACTCACTGGGTAATTCAGGGCCAGTCTCAGACTCCAAGTGCAGCCTACTTCACAGAGGAGGAGAAAAAAGGTGGCATATAAATAGGATAATAAATATATTCAAAATATATTTATTTTTAGTTGGTTCATCACATTGAATCAAATGTACTAAATCAGATCCCAGTTGATTTAAGTCACTGGGGAAATTTCTGGAAAAGCATTTCCAGGTAAAATTCCTGTCCAGAAACTTCCAGACAGTTTATTAATTGCCCAGCTCTCTTGAATTGCCTGCCACTATTGACATTAAAATTAATTGCATAAAGCAAACAAATCTTTCTTAAGTTTTGCTTTCAGTCCAAATATTGGAGAATTTTTAATGGTTTAGAGAACAAAGCTGCTAATATTCTGTGTGTGTGTATTCTGTATGTCCATACATGACATCCAAAAAGTTAACAAAAGGGGGCAAAATCAGTCTTGGGAAACTGTCAATCACACCTTTTCTGTGTTGGTAACAGACATAGGAAATTGCAAATATTGACAATCTTGTCCTAGAACTTGCAATAAAGGAATACAGAGGAATTGTGAGAAGTGATGCTTCTTGCCTCTGTCTCTACTTTCCTACTTCTGTTAGTACCTTTTTTCAACCTTGCCTGTATTTTATATCAGATAAGTGCATGATCAAAAGGCTTCCTTTTGAAATGACTTTCATTCTTTCTGCTCATCCCCAACAGGCCCCCACAGATCTCCAGCACCTACCACAAAAAAACTGTGTACACATTAGCTTGGGGACCTCCTGTTCCTCCATTGTCCTTCGGTGAGTCTTAGGGTACAGATGCATTGGTTGTATTGCGGAAATAGCTTGATCCACTCCATGAGTATGTTTATCAGAAAGGCAGCGAGTTTCCCTCCACAATAAGCAAAGTAATTTGTCCTAAGGTATTGAACAATACTTGTTCTATGACAGTGGTTCCTGCCACTCCATTCATTTTTCTCATTTCAAATGTTGGGAAACCTCTAGACTAGGGATGGGGAACTATTTTTCTATCAAGGACTGTATTCCCTCTGGGGTAATTCCAAAATCTGCATCCTATAGTGAGTGGATGGGGGACCATCTGTATCTCTTTGGAAACCTTTTCCTGAGTTCTTGGAAGAGCAGTAGATGGTTCTTGGCAGGATTGCTTGCACCACATCCTGTGCATGTATGTTTTTGCTTATATAGTTTCTGTGCCAAAGGCCAGTGTAAACCTATGTTCTTAGGCTGGCTAATGAAGTAAGAAGATGCAATAAAATAGGCATGCAAGCAGCAGCTGTATATTTAAATAGGCAGTACAAATGTTAACTGCTTTCAGGGCATAGTTAGATTTATGTTTAGAGAAAACATAGGACGTGCTGGAGAGTTGTGGACTTTTCTTTGTCTAAACATGCATAGTTTAGAACTTGAGTTTAAACTAATAAAGGTAAGTTTTTCTGTGTCACATACATGGCTGTATCAAGCTCGCCAGGCAGGTCCTGGAAGTGGGTATTCAGAAATTAGGAGCTACCACTAGTATGATTGTGGCCTGCATTTGCCACTCCTGGAGAAAGCAGTCACAAGCCTTTCTCAGCAAACAGACAGGATTTTTTTAAAATCCTGAATTGTGTAGAGCTTTCAAGGGTTAAAATCCACACTTTGAATTGTCAGAGGCAGGTTATATAATGGGATAGAAGAGGCTTTCTTATTCTGCTTTGCTTATGATGGTTTGTGGAAGTAGATCTTCCCAGATCAGCCTTGTGCTCTGTCTTGCTGAGGTTGGGGAGATTAGAAATTGGGGCTTTGACTTAGGTTGTTCTGCAAAACACCATATATTCCAATGACACTGTATGAACAAATATTCTGCAGCCAAAGTACATAGGAATATAAGAAGTTGCATTATACTGATTCAAACCATTGCTCTGTCCAGCTCAGTATCTCATTATGCTTACTGACAGTGACTCTGGGATTTGGGCGAAGTTTTTCCAGGTGCACCTGGAAGTGCCATTGTTAGAATCTGGAACTTTTAGAAGGCAAAGCACACACCCTACCACTAATTACTAACTAGGAAATACCATGAATATCTGGACAGTTCTTATCCTGCAAAGTTTGTTAAGGATTTAACTAATTGTTGTGAACTATTCAGAGAGCTTCAGCTATTCGACTGTAAAGAAATGTAATAACTCGTGCTGAATACTTTGTCCAGTTTACCCTTAATACATAGTGTGCTTTGGAGAAGGACTACAAAGTCCAAGTAAGAGATGAAGCATCCTAACTATAGGATATGCAGGTGGAAACTGGGTTAATTGGGTTTTCACCATTACTTTCTCTACTGTTTTAAGGCAGTCATCCTGCCCCAAAAGGCATATGACCTTATTTCATCTTGAGAAATCTCATGGGAAAAAGAGGTCAAATTATTGCTGAAAATGGCACTTGATGCCATTGGCAAATCATGTTAATTTTTTTCCATACCCTAGTAATTAGATGCTGCACCGTAGGGCATCATTTTTGACCAAAGGTTTTGGTCTTTGGTTCATTACATGGGTCATCTATTTCACAGAATGAAATGTGGATTAAATATAGAATCAAAGTGTAAGATGGAACTATGAATTATGCTGTAATAATCTACTTCTGAGTATATTATATTGTCTGTCTTTCTCTGATCTCTGGGCCTGCTGTGTACAAAGGGAGCAGTGTATGAATTAGAAAAAAACCTACTCACAATGTTCCTTTACTGGGATAACTCTCATGGGCCCCTCTCTAAATGTTGCCACTTAGTCTGCTGTCTGCACATCTGATCAGAAAGATCACAGTTGCTCATTAAGAATCTGATGTACCGGTGAAGTGGCTGGTTAATTCTTCCTCAAGCAATTTTGCTGTAATTGTTGTTGTGTTGATATTTTGGAGTCAGAACAAATGATTTGAGCATATCTTAAAATAGTTTTAGTCTTTAAGCAATTTCATACATTACGTCTAATTCTGCGCTCTTAGGTTCATGTTGCGGACTTAGAAAATGCCCTTGTCAATTGTGTATACCTTGTTTTAAGTAGTCAACGCATGTATTACATGTTGTGAAGAGCAGGAACCTGATGGTAATCTTAATAGACTAGATCAGGTGTCCTCAAACTTTTCCACCAGGGAGCCAGTTGAAAGCTGCCGGTGCTGGGCGTGGGCCAGAAAGGTAGTGCTGGCAGTGCGTGTGGGCCGGCACGTGCGGGGGCAGGGTGCGTGGCGAGGGGAGGCGAGGTGGGGGTGGGCAGGCGCCGCGAGGTGGGTGCACGAGGCAGCGGCTTGCTTGAAGATCATTTTCCCTGAGCGAGCAAACAGCTGCCTCCCTGTACGTGGGGAGAGGTGGGCACGGCAGGTCCAGATGGGCATGGCGGGCTGGATGAATGGGCATGGCGGACTGGATCCAGCCCCCAGGCCATAGTTTGAGGTCTCATGGACTAGATCTATTCTCAGCTAAAATCTTAGTGCACAAGGGAATGTTTAGCATGGGAAATAACTTTCTTCCCATCAATGAAAATTTTAAAACTGTTATGTTGAATGCCCTGAATTTTACGAAGAGTAAAAGCTACCTAGGATCAGGGTGGATAAAAATCAGTGTTTAAAAAAAATTAAAAATGGATTTTTAAAATTTAAATTGGATTTTTTAAAATTAAATGCTTTTTGAGGAAAAATCTATCTAAAAATAGTTTCCTATTTAAGATACATTATAGTCCAAAGGTAATTCATCATGAAATGAAAATCAGTTTTTAATTATGTAGCATGAGACTACATATTCATGTAATGTTTAAATTTTTTTGATAAATTAATTCCATTAATCCATTCACAGTGTTATACTATTCCAGACATTTCTGTTAAGATTATTGGGGAGTTTTCTATCTAGGAAATATCGCAGATGCTTGGTTTTACCATTCTCAAAACTGAAATGTTATAAAATGAACATACAGAGTTGAGAAAAGACCTTAATCCCATTGTTCCTTTGTAAATCTGTGTTACAGAACTAACTCCTTACCTCTTAAATAATAAGTTTCAAAAAATTCATTGAATAAAAGGAAATTGTTGGGAGTGGAATAGATCTACACAAGAAGCTAAGAGTGTGGAGGCACGAGTCTTTGGATCTTTTTGTGTATATCATAGTGTGTGTATCTTGTGTGTTTATCATATTCTTTCCCTGGAGGAAAAAACCTATAATGGCAGCAGGCTGTAAAAGAGACCCAGTTTGGGATTATTTTAACGCATTTCCTCTACCTTTGGGTAAAACAGGCATGTATGCAAATTATGTAGAAAACTATGATTTAAATCTATTCTTTGCTAGTGATTTAAATCAAATCCACCCTGCCTAGGAGTTAGACAGAATGTAGAGAAGAGGCCCGGTCCTCCTGGGCCACAGTCTTTCCAGCTAGCTAGTTCAGATCCATAGTGGGAAGGGGATGAGAAGCAATTAGCAGAGGCTTCTGAACTGTCACGCTCAGCACACGAGATCACTCAGAGTGTGGGAACCAAACCACCCTGGGGCAGGACATGGACCCCATGGAACAGCAATGGGCGGAGTCTGAGGGGGGGGGAGCTCTACAAACCTGTCAGGAGGTGACGCCCCTGTAGAGCTCAATCAAAGACTGTGCTTCTAAGGTTTTTCCCTGGCCAAAAACGGCTGACCAGGGAAAACCGGGAGTTTTTCAGTCTATGCACTGATGCAATTTCACCCTTTTTAGTATGTGCTTATATTGAGTTATATACCAAACAATATGAAGTTTGAGACCATTGTGTGATCTGGCCACAAGCAAGTGGGATGTGCTAATTTGCCGTGGTTCTCTACAAAATTAACTGGGTGACTTTTGTCTTGGACCATCTTGTGTGAAGCTGCTTTAAGCCTCTAAACCAGGACTTTTGAATCTCTTTTAGTACAAGGGCTGGATTCAGTTTTGGTGAAGCTCTTATGCGGCTACCTTGAGAAGTCAGGCAGGGCCAAATGTAAAAGAGTGAACAAAGTACCAACTGAGTTTATATTAAAACCCTCCTTGCTGGATCCTGACCCTTAGGAGAAGTATTTCAGCCTTGAAGAATGAGGGTGGGGGATGCACTGAAGCTAGGATACCACCAAACAGTAGGTGGTGTGGGGAAAGGTCTAAATGCAATGTAATGATAATTAAAAATGGGTCAGGCCAGACAGATTGGACATGACCATATGGTGCCCCTGGGCAAGCTGGATTGGGATTCTGGTAAATTGGTTTGGGACACTGGGCTTGAAGTTCTTCAGCTCTGCTCTGGCAGTTGATAAGTGCCATGTTGCAAAATACACTTCATACCTAATATCTTCTGCTAGAAACATTAGTACAAGTTTTTCTGCTAATTGTGTTCAAGGTACCTATTTTTAAAAACTAGCCAGCATGATTTAATTATTTTTCTTGTGCAGGAGGAGATGGGGACAGCCCTTCTGTAACCTTGTACAGCTGTGCTGGAGAGGGAACAGTTTTGCAGCACAATCCTTGGAAACTTACTGGCGAAGCCCATGACATCAACAAACTCATCCGAGAGACAAATTCAATCAAAGTGAGTAAGACTGTATAGGCTAGAGATGGAAAATTGCTTCTTACATCTGCTCCATTTATACTTCGTTGTGCTGTTGGCAGTGATGCCTCTGATGCTGAAAGGCTGAGCTGGTATGGTTGCATTGAATGTTCACTCGCTTAGAAAACTGGGCGGTTTGCAATGCAACTTCTGTGCAGAAACGGAATGTCAGCAGTTTGGCAGGGATTAAGACCTCACACAGAGGCAGGCTTTGGGCTGAGAAGAGTCTCCAAAGGGAGAGGTAGGGAGACAGAGGGACAAGCAGTCTAGAGGGAAAGAGGCTGAAGAAAAGTGCTAAGAAACAGGAACCAAAAGGAAGGGTGTGGCCTCAGAAGAACTTCAGAGCATTTTAGGTCAGTAGGACCTGTATGCCAGAAGGGTAAATAGAGCAGAGTGTGAGACAGGCTGATCTAGAGGTGCAGTGGCTGAAGAAAGTGACCTGGTTTGCACACCACGACAGTCTGCAGGGCTTGTTGTGTCATGTTTGTATGGCACCAGGATTGCCGTGTTGTGTTAATGAGGAGGGAGGACAAACGGCCTAAGCTCAAGATTGGGAGGGAGAAACAACGCAAAGGGAAGAAAAACAGCAAGAAGAGAAGCTATGAAGCAGTGAAATAATGAATCAAGGTACACCGGGGATAGGAATAATAAGGGAGTGAAAGATGATTGCCGTAATATTTTAAAGTTTAAAAAATTAAGGGGCAAGAATTGGGGAGCTTCATGGGTGCCCTTGGAGTCCTCACAATTACTGCATTGGGAACCTCTGAAGTAGACAATGTTAAAAGATTGTGGTGGCACATGGAGTTGAAGAAAAGAAGAACCATGAACGAACTAGAATTGGAGCAAGATAGCATAGTCCTGAGAGAAAGAAGGGGCTGTGCACTACTAGTAAGAGGGCAGTGGACAGAAAGCTAAGGGATTGTAAAGTTGCTACTTCTAGGGTCCAGATCCGGTCAGGTGAATGCTTCCAGTTCTCCCTTCTGCCACTGTAGCACAAAGTAATACTGAGAGTGTGCTGATGGAGTGGCTCAACTTCACACTTTTGAATTAAGCAGCCAGTTCTTGGGTTGCAGGGTGCTAATGTACTTTAGTCAACCCCTGAATGCAAATCTGTTGTGAATTTAAAGTAGTTGAAATTCTCATCCTATGAATAGAATTTCAGAAGCTGTTTTTTTAAAACATTCCAAGTAAATAGAGTTTTGAACACATGGATTCTGTGTTGGCTTCCCATTCTACGTATCAAGAAACTGTGCTATCTCTTGTGCTGAAGCTGCTGTCTACTGTTTTCAAAGTTGTGTAACTTATTTGCACAGGAAACCTTATCTGAACAAATTATTTGATTTTTGCTTTGGTGTCAGTTAAATGTTGGTTGTCCTAAAGCTTTTCACTGACTGAGTTCAGACAACACAATACAAGTGTTGTATGTGGATTTGTTTAACCATGGGTTGTTACTGAAACCCAGCCAAGTCAATAAGCCATAATGAGTGCGCCACATTTCACAACCCAGCAACAAACTGTGCGTTCTCTTCATGAGTTGTCCATGGTTACTTAGCCATAGTTTGTTAGCATGGCTGGGTTCAAAACTACATGATAACCTGTGTTTCAGTAATGACTGCCACTGATCCCGTACTCAACTCTTGGGTGGGTTATATTGTCTGCACCTAATCATTGTCTTACACACCCATGGTTAATTTAAAGAGTATCATATACTGCTACTCCCTGGAGTGAGCAAGTGTGTCCAACACCTCCTGCGGAAGTAAGACGGAGAACAAAAACAAGAACAGGCATATAACACTGAGATGTGATCCTCACATTGAGATGAGATGCCCCCCTAAGGGCTTTGCCCAAATTGCCTGTTTCCTGAATCTTGCAGGTTTAGCTTGCTGGTGATAATATTGTTGCAGTAGCCATGCAGCAAGGATAGGGACTCTGCAGCATAACAGATGTTTGTTAAAGTGCCTCTTGCACTGTACTTCACCACGGGCAATGCCTGGCAAGGGTTAATGGGACTTGCAGCTTACCAGTCTCTGGAAGGTCCCACAGTGTATATCCTTGCTTTACAAGTTTCATATATTTCTTTATGGTAAGCTTCCTGGTTTCATAATTGCCACAAGAGGTGGTTGTTCTAATCCCCTGAATGAGTTAATGTATTCTGCTATGAAATGAAAAAGATAAGCAAATAGTTTTAGGAGACCATAGGCAGGTAGCAGTTACCGTATTTTTCTGTGTTTAAGACACTACTTTTTCTTTAAAATATTTATTTAAAAATGAAGGTGCGGCTTATACATGGGAGGGTGGCGGGTGCGCTGGCATGCATGGGGGGGGCGGTGAGGTGCCGCGGGCGGGAAGAAGCAGTGCGCGCACAGCAGCAGCTTGTTCGCTGGAGATGGGTAGGAAACGTGAGGGGAGGCGTCCTATACATGGGGGCATCTTATAGACGGAAAAATATGGTATATGGTGACATACAGTTTTTCCCACTTGCTTTTCTGCTGTCAGGGCTGGTCGCTGCTGGAACGCTGGCTGGCGTAAATTATTTATCGCAGGGATCCCTATTTCTCCATCTATTTTTGCAGGATCTGTGGAAGTGGGTGTCAGAACGCTTAAGGTTCCAAAGTGTTTTGTCTACTTTCTTTTAGCACAAACTACCAGCACACACAGAGATCAGCTGGAAACCTGATGGAAGTATCTTGGCTATTGGTAATGAAGATGGGTATGTGCTAAAATTTAAGTCAGTGCTGACTTGACATTTTTGGTAGATGTAGTGGTTTAGGTTCAGCATGGTGAGAACTATTATGTCTTGTTCTCATCACACTAGACCATGGGTCTTCAAACTACAGCCCACAGGAGGGATCCAGCCCGCCATGCCCATTTATCTGGCCCGCACTGCCGCCCATGCGCACGCATGCCGCTGACTCACCGTGCAGGCGGGAGGTGGTGGCTTGCTCACTTGGAGATGGTTTTGGACTCGTTGGGAGATCTCCAAGTGAGTGAGCCACTGCCGCTGCCCACCTCCCCCACGCACGCACACTCGCCGCTGCCTAGCAGCGCTGGTTGGGAGGCGGTGGCTTGCTCACTTGGAGGTCTCAGGGTGAGTCAGGTGCCTCGTGCGCATGCCCGATGATGCCTCACCGGCCCATGCCAGGTCACTGCCACCTTTCAACTGGCTCCCTATTGAAAAAGTTTGAGGAACCCTGCACTAGGCTATGATTTAATGTGATGGCCAGGCCAGGCCATCAAGATTAACGTTTATGAAGTGTAGGTGTAGTTGAAACCTAGCATTTTTCGCAGATTGGATAAACAGCAAGAAAGTGTATAGTAGATGGGTAGAAGTGATTAATCCTTGACATACCACTTCCTTGTAAAACTGCAACTATCAGTAATGAAAATTTAGACTATGGATGTGACTTCATAGTGTTTTATTGCTTTAGTTTACTCTATTAGATTATATTCTATAATGATAGCATTTCTTAATCCTCTTGATAAAAATTTTCTGGGCATTGTGCTTAACAACTTAAACCAACTGTACCTACTAAAATTAGTGCACTTTGCACGCATCCTAGGAATTCATTAATTTTGTTGTGGTCGTGTTATTATAGTAAGCTGTTTAAATCTGTAGGATGTCCTGAGGATTGTTTTGAGGAGAATAGATGGCAAAAATTCTGTGTGCCACATGATATACTCTGTAACTGGCTCATCCTACATTTCTTAACATTTCAGATCAATTGAAATATTTTTGGCTCCTGATTTGAAACTTTTGTGCACCATCCAGCAGCACCACAAACTCATCAATGCTATTCGATGGCATCATGACCATGGGACACAGCCAGAACTGAGCCATATGATAGCTTCTGGCTCAAACAATGCAGTCATTTATGTACATAACATCAAGAATGTCATAGGTGACTATTCCTTATGCTTGTATATCTTACCTGTCATTCACTTGTCCATTCATAGCATAATCTGACGGTGATGCTGCTTCTCCCCTTCTTGGCCATGTTGATTTCTCCATGACTTCAAGCACTACAAAATTTCTTCTCCATTTAGTGATTTTGTGATGCCCAGAGTGTGTCTTTGCACAGACTGGCTTTATGGATGTGTCCATAAGGATGTGTTAGGATTACAACCTGAATGTAATTCTTCACTAATTCCAGAATTGAGGCAGGTTATTATGGAGGTGGCCTTGAGAGAACTGGTTTTGAAAGGAAAATGTCCTCTAGCACTCTTTGAAAAGGGCATGGCAGGACAGAGGCTGCACAGGAAGAATCTGGCCATCATGACAAAAACATTTCAGTTTATGCTCGATGCTGCTGCTTTTCTTATTCCGCATCACAGTGTCAGTGACGCAGACAAAAGCTAAGGTTTCTGGCCAAATAACAGTGGCACACACTGCAACAATGCTTACTTTGTGGAATGCCTTTAGTGGCATTGAGCCTGGCTGTTTCCAATGTCCATTTACTCTGTCTCTAGAGTCCTCTCCAGAGAAACCTGTGACAATAACTGAGCCTTTTCGTACTCTGGTGGGTCACACAGCCAAGATCACTGGCTTGTCTTGGAGCCCCCATCATGATGGAAGACTGGTGTCTGTCTGCTATGATGGCACTGCCCAGGTATGGTTGTGAAACAATTGTGGTTTGTTTTCATTTATTTTAACTGGCTTCATTAATCAGCTGAATATGGCATTAGGGAGTGCCTCTTTGGTTTTAACCTGGGAAAATAATATCTGGAAAAACACTTTTAATTGCGCATTTTGTACTTCAAAGAGACTATGGAGTAAGCCGTTTACTTCTGCCTTGTCTGCTGTTTATGTAAGCCACCTTAAGTTCAGTGTAAGAGAAAAGTGGGATATAAATCTAATAAAGTATATAATCCAACTGTATTTGGAACCAGTGTCCAAAAAGGTTACACTGTGCTTTTGTATATTTTGTAGAAGAAAAAGCAAGTGTCCATTCTTCATATCTTTGACCTGTTAGCAAAATGTAATCGTCAAGCAAAAACTAGAAAGTTTGTACCCAAGAATAAAATGTGCTATTTGCATTTATATTTTTTCTGTGTACATAGAAAGGGGAAGAGGCTAACCTGTCTTGAGCACAGGCTAGAACTTTGCACAGGTTCTACAGTACCATTGTTAATTGTGTCTGAAGTAGAACAGGGGTTGGATCCTGATTTGAGCTGAATCAACTGTGCTGTGGTAGTTGACTTCCCTAGCTCCTAAAAAATGGTTCATGGAGGCTCAGGAGACCCTGCTAAATGGGGTGAGTTGCTGGGATTGGAAGAGCAGGATCCCAAAAACCAAACAGAGGGACTGTTCATGAGCAGAGTCCTTTCTTTCACAAAAGCAAGTCCTGGATCCAACTCCTAGTCTGGAGACTTTAAGCATTACTCCAATGACATGCCCACTTTGCACTGACTTTGCTGCTTGTTTAGTTATGTCTTTATTCATTACATTTCTGTGCCACTGAATAGCCAAAGCTAACTTTCCCCACTAGATGGACTGCCCCCTCAATAAGAAAAGAGGAATAAGAGAAATATGCAAGACAATGCACTGGGCAATTATTTGTTCTGAATCAAAATCCCTAGTCTAGAATTGTTTTAGGAGCCAGAGTTGAGGTTTTGGGGAGAAAATACAGTAGAAAGTGAGCTTTTTAGAATCTCCTTTTTTAAAATGAGAGGTTTTGTTTACAGGTTTGGGATGTACTGAAGGAAGAGCCCTTGCACAATTACCGGGGGCACCGGGGCCGACTGCTTTGTGTACAGTGGTCACCTGTGGAAGCAGATTGTATTTATACTGGAGCTGATGACTTCTGTGTTCATAAATGGGTAACTGTGAAGCAGGAGCACAGCCACCCTCCACAAGGTCAGTATCCTGTTGATGCTCTGACACTAGCATGATAGGAGAAGTAGTAAATCTTGTGCTGATATTTGTTCTTGTTTTGACTTCATTACTTCTGAGGTGCTCAGTATCTTGCAGAAGTATTCACCCCTCTTTGACTCTTCCACATTTTGTTTGCCACATCCTAGAATTGAATTGGATTTAATTGGCATTGTTACTATTTGATGTACACAAGATACTTAACACTTTGAAGGACTAATGCTGTGAGGGTGCAAAATATTTTTATGGTGACACAAAAGTTAAACAAAAACAAACTGGGACATACTGGTTGCACCCGCTCCCCCTTTTTGCTGTGCAGTGCTACATACGTCGACTTTGGGTGTCAGGTTTGGGATGTAGGCAGCAGGTGGCTATGAATAGAGCATCAGGAGTGATGGAGGTCTTGGCCTTGATTCAGTAGGGCCAGAGGTAAAGACAGCGTCTGGAACAAACAAGGATCAGATATCCAGCAAGGTATGGCAGGCCCAAAGGTGAAGGCAGAGCTAGGAACAAGTAAGGGTCACATACTGTCAAAGTATGGCAGAGACAGATGCAAAGGCAAAGTCAGGAGCAGGCCAGGATCGTGTACCTGGAAAGGCAGGATCAGACCAAAGCAAGAGTAGAACTGGGGGGAAGGAGGAGTTGAGGCAGGTTCAGAAACACAGTGGCCACCATGAAGGCCATGCTGTTGTGGCAGAGCTCTGCAGCAGGGGGAAGCCGTTCATAGAGCCTTCCAGCACTCCTAGCTGTGCCACGTGATTGCACAGGTAATACTTACAGGTCTGCTCCTGGTCATCACCTGTGGGAGCTGTGCCAAGGCTTCAGATCCTGATAACTGGGTTGTGAAGTTACATACTGTAGTTGAATAGAGGCCACCTATGTACAATTTCAATGCCGTATGAGTCTGTGGAGAACACATGTGACCAAACAACATCATTGAAACCAAGCAGGTGCCAAAGCAACTCCAGGATAAAGTTGTGCAGAAGCACCAATCAGGTTGGATTATATTTTTTAAAAATCCCAAACTGAACATCTCCCAGAGCACCATAAATTCCATTATTACAAAATAGAAAAAGTATTGCTGAACTCCAACTCTGCCTAGAGAGGGCTGCCCCCCAAAACTCAGTGATTAGGTAGGGAGCTCATCAGTCACAGGCACAACCAAGAGACCAATGGTAGGTTTCCTGGAGGAGCTCAGCTAAGATGGGAGAACACTCTCTGACCCAACTGCCACCGGGGCATTCTGCAAAACTGGGCTGTATGGAAGAGTGGCAAGTAGAAAGATGGCTGAGATGAACCTATACCAAGACCCATTTGGAGTTTGCAGAAGGGCATGTGAGAAAGAGAGTCGACATGGGAAAAGATTCTCTAGTTTGATGAGTCCCAAATTGACCTGTCAGACTTTGTTGCAAAATATCCACGTGGTGCAAAGCCAGCAGCATTCATTGCCCTGAGAAATCATCCCCGTGGTGAAGCATTAGGGTGGCAACATCATACTGTGGGGAGGCTTTTCCTTGGGAGGGACTGGATAATTGGTTGGAATTTAAATCAGGATGGGTGGAGCCAAGTAAAAGGCATTGTTAAATGAAAACCCGTTTCACTCCCCAAGGGATTTGAGGTTCACTTTTCAGGAGAACAATAACCCGAAATGCACAACCAAAGTAAGACTGGGTTGGTTGAAAAAGAAGACTCTGAATGACTTAGAATGGTCCAAATTTCAGGCTAGGATCGCTATGAAACTGCATGGAATCTGCCCTCCTGTATTCACAGACTTTCCCTTGTGCTTGGCCCTGTCTTAGAAAGTGAGCTGAGCTGTGCTGAGAGGAAGTCTGTGAACACTCAAGGAACAACCAGCAACCTTCTGCATCATGGGTTGCGTCATGTGCAGCAAAAGTAAAGGCCGCTGCATGCGATGCAGATGCCAGTTGCACGGCAGGTTCAGTTCTTGGCAAGCACTGGGTGGACACTGGCCAGGCACTTGGGCTCCCAACTCCAGCAGAGCTACCCAGAGCCCAGGGAACCGAGTCCAGGGAACCCTGTGGATTCCCACCCCAGAACAGATTCCTCCCATATCCCTAGCCCAGATCTCAATCAGATTTAGAATCTGTGGCAAGCACTGAAGGCTGTTACCCAACATCCTTCCCCAGTTTGACAGAGCTGGAGCAGTCATCATGGAGAATGGGCAAGCACTGCAGGGTCCAGGTGTGAAACTGACAGACTTACCCAAGGAGACTTGCATTTGTGCTTGCTTCTTTTGAGTATTGACTCAGGGAGGTAAATACTTACACAATCAACAGCAATTAGGTTGTGTTGCCTCTTAGTATCTTGTGTATGTCAAGTGGTACAGTGTCAGTTCAGTCCATTTCAATTCCAGGCTGCTGTGACATAATGAAATGTGGCAAACCCTAAATATTTCTCCATGACATCGTTGTCCTAGTTACCTTCCCTAAGTTAGCAGAAATTCAGGCCTCCTGATGTATAGTGAATATGAGGGAGTTCATTCCTCCTCTGGATCATGAGAACCAAGGAAAAGGATATCATGTTCTCTTTGCATTCCTCTCAGGGAAATGCCCTAAATAAGGCAAGAAATTTATTTACCATGACTTGATAACCCATCTCTCATACTGATACATCAGGAGTTGCTGTTTTAAAAATTATTTGCATAATTCTCCAAGTTTACTTTAAAAACAAGTCACTTTTCAAAACATTTCTGTGTTTAGTAGGTAAAAAGAGCATTGAGTTAGAGAAAAAGAGAAACACTCAAATGAAGCCGAAAGCCAAGAAAAAAAAGAAACCATCGGGGAAGTTGCCTTCAACACAGGATGTGAATGATTGGCTGAACGGTGGTGAGAATGCAAAAGAGACTCTGCTGGAGGAGAACGGAATGTCAGACCAAGAGGGAGAAAAGGAGCAACAGGAGCAGGAGACAGTTGAACGGATTTGTGTGGAAGGTAATTAGGAAATCCCTGGTTTCTTTGTTTTCCCAAAGCACTGTCCAATTTTTGACTAAGGAAGCAAAAGCTCACTCTAGTCTGTAAATGTACGAACAGGCATGGCGGTGTCTTTACTGGTCTGAAGAACACTGTTTTCCTGTTTGGAAAGTTTAAAATAGCTATGAATAATGCCTGCCTTGCTGTCATATTGTTCCTTTTTAGACTGCCTTACCTTCAGCCAAAGTAGAACCTATTTAGCTTTAAATTTCATTAAGTGTCAGAGCAGTGTGCATGCTTTGGAAGCCAAGCCCTGAGTTTTATGTGGAGCAGCAAGGTGGGTTTATATTGCTGCACGTTCTTTGCTGCTTCCGAAACCAGACAGACTCTTTCGGTGAGTCACTGAGAAGCTGGCTTTTTCTTGGTGCTCGTATAATTCACCTGTTTTGAACAAGCCTTGAAAACCAGAGATAGCAAAATGTCCAATAGTCAGTGAGAAGCAGGGGAGCATCAGTGCTATTTTTACCCATCCTTTTATTCTGACTTTTTGTACAGCTGGCTGTTTCGGTCTGTAGCATGTAGAGACAGTTGTTTCAGGCATTATGAAAAGACTGATCTTTTCTTCACTGCAGTTCACAAAGACTTGTCTGCAGATCTTTTACCTTCTGGTGGTTCGGATGTTCCAAAATCTTCCATGATTTCCAAAACCCCAGTGGTGAGGAAGGATCAGATAAAACCAGGTTGGTGTGAATGCAATGTAGCATATGTAGGTCAGTTAAATAGAATATAAACAAGCTAATCCTTTTTAGCTCTAAAATGAAATGGCTTCTTCTGATAAAACTAATTCAGTTTTAGTACATCTGAGATGCTCTGTAACTTAAGAAAACATAGACAAGAAGACCAGGTAGGTGTGCAGACATAACTCCACAATCCTGCCAAATGTAACCTTTTTCAAGCTCCATTAATTTCAGTGGAAGTTATTTAAGTGCATGAAAATGCTTAACTTGGGCAAGATTGTGACCTACAAATTAGAGATGAGAGCCAACATAACATCTAATTCTATAGTCATATTTTATGAGGTCATATAAAATGCTCCAGCCACCATTTTCTAATGAGCATGACTTGTTTATTTTTATTTATGTAAAATATTTGTAAACCATCTTTATCCAAATGAATGGTGTGCAGAGAAATTAATGAAGTTAATCATATTAATGAACTAGAATAGTATAGAACATCAATCAGTTGAACGCGCAAGAGGTGGTTAAACTACAAAAACAAACAGCTGGCTCTTGTTTTGACATAGGGTATCAAAATGATAGCCTGTGTTCTAGATTTAGATGTATTGGTGACCCAGGAGCAGTAAGGATTTTGTTGTTCTCTACCCTGTTTTCCTAATTGGCTGGGGTTTGGTTTTGTCCTTTACTATTAGCTATGTTTGGGGACAGCACTGAGTTTGGAGCTGGAAATTGGGGCACCAGTCCAAACTCTTCCCTGCATTTGGAAAGCACTGCCTCTGCTCTGAGGGCCAGAAAGCCCTTCTGATGGAGGGATGGGGAGGTGAAGAGAGCCTCTGCCATGCCTCCTGGCTTGCATAGATAGGATAAGCCTGCCAGTCCAGGGGCTGCCACAGGATTGTGCCCTTAAGCGTCCCCACTAATCTAGAGAGTCTTGCATGAATATTCTACCTTCTGATTCTGAAGTGATGGCATCTGACTTTATATGCAGTATGATTTGAGGCTAAGTTTTTATTCTGAGTTTATTTTAACAACCTGCTTTGAAAATTGATTTCTTGAAGCTTGCGGATAGAAATCGCCAGCAGTGGCCTAGTATGCGATTATGGCAACTCTCTCTACAGGTTCAGATACTTCTGTGAAAAGAAAGAAGCCTCGCTCTATCTTACCTCTCAGCACAGCTATGGACCACAGGTCAAAGGAGGAGCTGCACCAGGACTGCTTGAGACTGGCAACTTTCTTACATTCAGAAGGTTGGTCAGAAAAGACTGTAGTGGTGGCTATTCTTTCCCTGTGTTTTGTAGCACTGGCATACAGGCGGGTTCAATTAAACATATCTGGAATGTGCTTATGTCACGTCACAGACCATGTTAACATGTGTTAAAGCTGGGATGTTGACGTAATTGGAAACTTGGGAACCCAGAGGAGATGTGCTGTGATGGCGTACATGGTCATTAAGAGCTTGTTCAAATAGGACAGGCTCTTATGCACTTCCTATGTGGAAGTGCATAGGAAGGTCTGCACAGATCATCTCTGGAACATTCCCGAACATTCTAAATCAGCCCTTCTCAACCATGTTTTGGACTTCTGACTGCCATCTGCCCTGCCATCTGCCAGAAAGGCATATTTTTAGCGTAATTAGTGAAACAACTGTAAGAGCAAACACTAAAGAGGAATGAATTCTATCTTGGGTTCCATGTTTACCTTTAAGCTAAAGACTAAATCTTGATTATTTTTTTAATAAAGTCGGCAGTGTAAAGTAGGCCTACAATGAGACAAAAGGTCTTTAATGGCACAAACTAGGACAATACATGTAAAGATGGAATGTTGCAGTAACGATTAAATACAACCCTTCTTGGAAAGGACAGGACTTTAGATTCAGTGCATGGAAAAGGTGTATGTAGGACTCCCTATAAGAGTGGCAGCATTGGGCATGGGCTTGTATTAATGTACTGCTCTTTCAGGTAAGTATCATTTTAGATGGCAAGCTTTTCACATTTTTTTGTAACTCAAAGGACTTTGAAAGTAAACAGGAATGGTAAAATATTTTTGAAGATCTTTGTCTTCGTTAGAAGGATCATAAATATGTTTAGGATAATTTTTTTCCAATCTTCTTTGCAGAACTGAATGAAGATTTATCCCCTCATTCAAGGGACCTTATGCATTTGGGGCTCTTCACAGATAGGCCAGCCCTATACAAGATGATGGAAGCAGAAGGTTAGCCCTTGAGCCTTAAATCAGGTTTATCACGTGCTTTCAGGTCAAAAGAAATGCATTGCTATATCTGTGTGGCTGTAAAGACACATTAAAGGTGCAGTTCTGTGGGTCTTTAGAAAGGGAAAAAAGTCTTACAACCCTGGACATTCTTCATCCAGTCAGTTGTAGGACTTGCATTTTTTTAAACATGCATAAGGTTGCACCTTAAGTTATGAGATACAGCTTCTAACAAAACCTCAAAGTCACCTTAAAAGGAAACAAGGAAGTCTCTCTAGCTTTTGGAATCTTCTAGGATAGGAGGCTGTCTCAAATAAGTGGCACCCCCCTACTGTTAAGGACTTTATCGATACAAATCAAGACATTGTTCTGATCAGTATCTAGGATTCAGTAAAAATCTGAGGTAGTCCTTGAAGTGCCAGTGAATATTTGTCAGCAATCCCAGTCTTTGAAGCCAGACACCCATAATCTTGAATTCTGGATAGTTTCCAGGGTAGCTCCATTATGAACACAGTTCAGTATTGAATGTATGTCAAATGCACCCAGTGTACATGCCAACTACAGAATGTAAATAGTAGTTGGTTTGATACATAGCATGTGTTGCCAGGGAAATCTGGAAATGGTAACTGTTAAAATTATATTTGCATAGCAAATTGGCAACATATCATGTACAATTGCTCTAAGTCAATAGTATTAAACAAAGGATCATGTGTTGCTAGATTCTGAATGTAGTTTTCCATTTTAATTTTGTTCTTGTTCTCTTGTACATATTGCTCAAAAATACTGCGCTTAATACTTTCAGTAAACCAAGCAGCATCTTTTTTTTTCCCCAACAGGAAAAGGCCACTTAGAGAATGGACACCCAGAGTTATTTCAGCAGCTCATGGTGTGGAAAGGAGACCTGAAAGGTGCTCTCCAGTCAGCTGCAGAAAGGGGAGAGCTAACAGACCAGTTGGTGGCTTTCTCGCCAATGGGTAGGCCTCGTATCCATACATTCCACTACTTGGTTCTGAAATGAGCTGAATTTAGGCATAGTAATAGCTGGTTACACAACTGGTCTAGTGGATGGTTTTCTTGGGATTAGGAGAGCTGGGCTCAAACCTTTGGTTCAGTGATGAACTTGCTGGATTATTTTTGGAAATGGATGCCTTTTGCACCTCTGCAATAATTCTAAAGTACTTCCCGCACCTTAATAATTAAGAATCCCTTGCTCCTTTGGGGATGGGAATGGTTGGTGGATGAGAATGGTTTTCCATGGGTCTCTTACTGTTTAATCAGTGCGTTCTTGTTGTGCATTATTTATTGTTAATTTCTCCTTATTTTTAGCTGGCTATCAAGCCTGGGCGTGGACAGTAGAAGCCTTTGCAAAGCAGCTGTGTTTTCAAGAACAGTATGTCAAGGCGGCCTCCTATCTTCTTTCTCTCCATAAAGTGTACGAAGCTGTGGAACTGTTGAAATCACATAATTTTTTCAGGTCATTTCTCACTGTTTTTCTCAATGTAGCTAGATGAAAATCCTATGGGTGGGTCTCAGGGAAGTCTAGGAACTGCTTCTCTGCTTACACGTGAAGTGGTCGGGAATTGCAGAATCAGAATATCAAAGCAGCCGGGGTGGTGATCAAAGGCTACCTCTGTGTTGATACCGGCCTGAGATTTTTTTTAGTATGTTGCTAATGTCTTGTGCAGTCTCAATTAGTCATGTGAAGAGGGGTGTGCATGCTGATATCAGAAATTCCATCTTTCTTTTCACATTTGTCTTTCTGGATATTTTCTGGATAGTGTATTTCTGGATGCATATGTTGTGCTGTAGTAAATTTTCCAGTTGCATAAAGCTGACCAACCTCATCTATAAAACAAGGAGATTATTTTGGAAAGTTGGAAAATAACATTCTAAATAAATCCCTAGCAGAAGTACTCCAAAAGTAAATATACAGCACCTTTGCATAGCATACATTTGAAATGTTGATTGACAGAGAAGGGTCTCAAACATTCTTACTCTAGCATAAGGATGTAACAGAAGTATTCTCAAATATCTTCATTTATGCACTTGAAAGAGTATGGATTGTCTTTTCTCATTTTATTTCAGGGAAGCCATTGTGGTGGCCAAGGCTAGGTTGCGTCCTGAAGATCCAGTGCTGAAAGACCTGTACACCAGCTGGGCTGCAGTGTTGGAGAAAGACGGCCATTATTCCATGGCAGCCAAATGGTACTGGTTCCAGTGAAAAGTTCTGCTTTCAGTGAGAGGTGTTAACGTCAGATCTCTCACTTCCAGATCACCATCTTACTGCCCCGTCGAAAAGACCAGGTCCAGAGTGTGACCTCCTTCATGTGTTGGGCCAGTGACATGTTGAAACAGCCCCATGATTGTCATGGCGGCCATGAAGTCCTGAGCTGCCCCTGTTAGAACAGCCTCGGCATGGAAGTCCCCCGAAACCAACATCCCGGGGGTCTTCAACAACAGGACCGAGAGGATCCTTTTCAGTCCGGCTTCAGACCCGGGTACAGTACTGAATCTGCCTTGGTCGCCCTGTACGACGACCTGTGCAGGGAGAAGGACAGGGGGAGTACATCCCTGTTGGTTCTTCTGGACCTCTCAGCGGCTTTCGATACCATCGACCATGGTATCCTTCTGGATAGACTTGCGGGATTGGGGTTTGGAGGCACTGCTTTGCAGTGGTTCCGGTCCTATCTCAACAGTCGATTCCAGAAGGTAGTGCTGGGGGACCATGTCTCTACGTCATGGCAGCTATGCCATGGGGTACCACAGGGCTCCATTCTATCCCCTCTGCTATTTAACATCTATATGAAACCGCTGGGAGAGGTCATCAGGAGGTGTGGGCTGCGGAATCATCAATACGCTGATGATACCCAGCTTTACCTCTCGTTCTTCACTAATCCAGGTGAGGCAGTGGCTGTGCTGAACTGGTAATTGGCCGAGGTAAGGGAATGGATGAGGGCCAATAAACTGAAACTCAACCTAGACAAGACGGAGGTCCTGTTGGTTGGCGGATCGGGTTTCGGAGAGGGTGGATTTGACCTGGTCCTGAATGGTGCAACACTCCCTCTTAGGGATAAGGTCCGCAGCTTAGGAGTACTCCTCGACCCAGAGCTTTCTTTGGAAGCTCAGGTGACAGCGGTAGCGAGGAACGCCTTCCTTCAGCTTCGGCTGATTAATCAGCTGCGCCCCTACCTGGAGTACGACTGCCTGGCGACGGTGACACACGCGCTGGTGACTTCCCGCCTAGACTTCTGTAACGCGCTTTACGTGGGGCTTCCCCTGAAGACAGTCCGAACACTTCAATTGGTGCAAAATAGAGCTGCCAGGTTGCTGACGGGGACGGGGCGTTATGCTCACATGACTCCAGTCCTCCATCAGCTTCACTGGCTTCCCATTGAAGCCCGGGCCCAATTCAAGGTGTTGATTATGACCTACAAAGCCCTAAACGGCTTGGGTCCTGGCTACCTGAACGAGCGCTTACGTCCGTATATGCCCGACCGCCCTTTGAGATCTGCGGGAGAGTCCCTTCTCCGGGAACCCTCCATGAAAGAAATTAGGAGAGTAAGTACCCGGAGGAGGGCTTTCTCTGCGGTGGCGCCCAACCTATGGAATTCACTCCCCAAAGAGGTCCGCCTGGCACCGTCGTTACTGGTTTTTCGGCGCCAGGTAAAGACCTTTTTATTTAAACATCATTTCAATTGTTAAAACATATGATCTGGCCAGGGCAACTTCTTCTTCCTTCTCTTTCTCCTCCTATATTTTTATTTTATACTGATAATTTTAATTTTATATTTGTAAATCAATGTATTTTTTGTATTTTTGTATTTAATGGTAATTTATTGTGTACTATTGTATTTCAATGTATTTTATCATGTTGTAAGCCGCCCCGAGGTTTCGGCAAGGGGCGGCATAGAAATGTTATAATCATCATCATCATCATCATCATCTTGTCAACTCGGGCAGGGATTCCGTTGAGCAGAAGGGTGCCCAGTACACCCACAGAATCCCCAGTCTGTCTCGGTCACACAACGCCGGGTACAAACACTTGAGACCAGTCCTTGAAGGGCAGGAAGCCTTGTGAGGGAGATTGGATCTCTGTAAATTAAGGCCATGCCCCTTCCCTCTAGGTGAGTAGGATGCTGCACCAGATACCCAAGTGGGCAGAGCTGGGTGAGCCCTTGCCCCTGCTTCTCCTACCCAGGTCTCTGTGATACGTGCCAGCTGGCCCCCTTATCCAAGATTGAATAATGGATGAGGGATGCTTTATTTTGGACTGACCTGGCATTCAACAGCAGCAGCACCAAGCCTGAGGGCTGGTTGATGTCACCACCTGGTAACTTCCAGCTCGGGGGAAAACCAGAAGAGGGGGCAGGTCCTAACCATACCCCGCCCTTCTTCTGCAATGACCTCTTAAACCTGTTTATTAGCCAAACATGACATGCTTTCTCCTTGAGTCAGGCTATACCTGCCCCCCCCCCCAAAAAAAACAATCCCACCCTGCTTTGATGTAAAAGCAAGACCTTTGGAGAGGATCAGTAGAGCAAAAGGGACTAAAGGCCTTGAAAAGTGTATTGAACTAGCCATGTCTGTTGGTGAACTGAGGATTTCCTTCAAGCCAAGGTGACCCTCTTCGTGTTGATGGTTCCTTTTCAGTTACCTGGGTGCGGCCTCTCCCTATGATGCCGCCAAAGTGCTGGCGAAAAAGGGAGATGCCACGTCCCTCAAGACTGCCGCTGAGCTGGCTCTGATTGCTGGCGAGAAGGACCTGTCAGTGACGTTCTCCTTCCGATGCGCCCAGGAATTTTTGTCTTCCAAAAACTGGATTGGGGCACAAGAGGTCCTCCAGCAGCAGGAAAGTTTGCTGGTCAGTAGGAATCATTGTCGCCATAATTATGATTGTTATTTTGAAATTATTATAAGTTACGGAAACATCTAGCTACAAATATATCTCTTACACATCCCTTGCACCCTCTAAGCAAGTTTGTTTGGAGAGAGGGGCTGCTTACACTTAGAAATTCTGCTTGGACTTATAGCCCAAAGAGATAACTTGGGCTATAATATTCTCCTGCTTGGGGAGAATATTACTGTTTTTAATTGAGTATTTAATATGTGCTGTGTCCTTTCAGGAAATAAGCTGATTAAAATGCTATCTGGAGGTAGTAATGGAAAACACATTGAAGTCCACACTCATTTCTTAAAACAGAATCCATGACCCTCTACCAAGCATGCTGAGTAGAAATTATTTTGCTTCAAAAGGAGTGCATGACTTTTGGAGGCAGGCATTGTAAATATCACTCAGAGTCATGCATTGTATTTGTGATGCAATGTTGTTATACATTATTACTTAGAATAATTATTTATTCAGGCAATTATTGTTTTCCAAAGCACTTCATAAAAGAAAAAAGTCCTGTCGTTTAACTTTAAAATGTCAAGATGCACATGGGAAGGGGAGCAGAGAAAGAAAGAAGAGGAGGGAGATTAATTTTTCAAGGCCAGAACAAGGTGAGGAGTTATAACGGAGCCAGGCTGGCCTTTCCTTCCAGGTGTTCTTGCCTGCGGCTGTTTGGCTGATGGTTGCGGGAAGAACATTCTTCCCCTTTCCTTCTCCAGTCCCACGGCAGGAGGCAGGTGGAGCTGCACCTTTCTGGCCAGCGGGAAGAAGTGAGCTCTGTGCAGAAACTCCCTCTGTGGCCAGTGGGTGGGCTGGACCAGTCTCTTCTGTGGCTTGATGTTACTCTTGGGAAGCCAGCTGTACAGCCTCCCAGTCATGCCTAATCCCCTGACAGAAAGGCTAACTATGCTTCCTGTCTGCTCTCCAGTCTCAGGGCAGCTGAGTCAGCAATACTGTCATCTAGCATGGACACCCACTTTCTGTATCAAACGCAGCATTGTCCTGCCAACTGTTACCACTTGCCTCTGGGTTGTTCTAAGCACTTATTCTTCATATAAGTATTTGTTTGGCGAGAGAGAGAGAGCCAGACATGCTTGCCTGTTCAGTTGGAAACTTGATTTAAACTGATGATATCTTTTAGTCGCTTTTCTTGTGATGTAAATCCTAATTTAAAGCAATCCACCCTGCGCCTGTGGAGTATCTTACTATTTCTTGAACAAGCAGAAAGCACTGTTTTGGATAGTTGAGTTTTTTATTACTTTTTCTTTCTGCCTGTCTGTCCCAAGGCTCTTACTTTTTTAGTTTTCAACCTCACATTTAATCCTTTCAGCCATTGAAACACATCTGAATGCATCGTGTCCAGTGCTAGGAGGGATAAACTTTCTTAATCTGGGTTGGTTTTCATTGTGTGGTTTGTTAAAACTTACCTTTGCTTTGCTGTCTTGTTCATTCCTAGGGGCAGAGATTGGTGTTCTGCCTCAATGAGTTGCTTCACAAGAGTCTTAGTGAACGGAACCTGGTGGAAAATCGAAGCCCATCTGCACCTTGCTACCACAACTGGGCAGTGGAGCAAGACAGGTCTTTTGTAGAGATGGTGATCAGTGTATGGCAGAGCATATTCGGTGTGAATACTGCTGAACAGTCACAAACCCTGTTTGAGCAGCTGAGAGCTCTGGAGTATCCTCCTGCGACTAGCAATACTCATCCCAGGCAGGTAATTTGTTCGTGAGCTCTGTGGGGCTGCTGAACAGGGAGACAGGATGAAAGAATAGGGTGTCAAAGTAATTTATGGGGACGTGCGTACAGGAAGCTGCCCGTCCTGCTGTTGACAGTGGGCCACTTCCTGCTGTCCTTCAGAAGATGGTGGTTGGTACCTAGTCTCAGATGTTTGTTCTCTTTTCTTACGAAACTGCATAAAGAAAACTGTATTCTTCTCCTTTCTTTCCCCAGCTTCTGTTCCATATTTCTCATGAACTGACCCTGGCAGTTCTGAGCCTCCAGGCAGCCTCCTGGGTAGAGGCTGGGAGAGCCCTGCTTGGAGCTGTGACTCGTAGCTGTGATGCTGGGAACTTCCGCCTCATGCAAGAAGTCTGCAACCTCCTCCTACCTGCAGGTAAAGCCTTACAGTCCTTGCATAGATAGATGGAAAAAGATTAGATCTCCAATATGTACTGACTCCATCCCACCCCCTCAGAAAACTGTACTGGGGAAAGTGATCTGGTGACTTTCTTGGATTTTTTTTTCACTTTCCTTGGATTTCAACCACTGTCAGCCAAGTCACTGTCTCCATTGAATGAACTCGGTGTTCTTTCTCTTGAATGGCGGATGTTGGGAGATCTTTGTCACTTGAGTAATGCTGTAGACACAGTGACTCTGCAGTCTTCATATGCAAGTGGAGAGAATGTGAAGCTTTTTATCCTGTCAGGGCAAGGTATCCAGCCCAGGTTTTACTCTGACTCTCAGCTCAAGAGGTACATTTGATGCATTAAATCACTTTTCCTTCTTCCCTACCTAGTTCAGAAGTCAGACAAAATAAATCTTTCAGGAAAGACATTTTTCCTGGCCTATATTTTCAGTGTCGTTTTTATTCAGTTACTTACCCTTTTTGTTCTGGATCCCTCCTCAAAAGAAACTGCCCCCCTGTTCGTCCCCTGCTTTCCTACCTTGAAGTCAGCTCCAATAGCTCTGAATTGGAGCCTGAAAACCATGAGAATGTTGCTGCCAAGCAGTGCAGGATCTCTCTCTGGCTTGCCGGATGGGAAGATTCCCTCAGTGATAGAACGCAAGTCTGGTGGGATTCAGTGCCTTTCTCTGCTTTCTCACAGCACCATAATACTATGCAGGGCCAAGGTGCAAATTGCCACAGGCCACCAGGTGGCAGCAGAGGACAGTTTATTGCCAAATCTTAGGTACGTTCCTACTGGCCTGCAGATGCTTCTTTCCCCTGAGAACTGCTCCATAGCCCTCTGCATGGAGGCACATTGTTTTTGTGCTTTTCAGGGCAGGCATGTGTCCTAATAACCTATTTTGCTAGAACACCTCTAGTACAGATTTTTGGCAAGCAGCCTGGATGATCTGTTTATTCAAAGAGGCTACTCAGAAAGACTTTCGGTGCAACTGCGTAAGGGTAGAGGAAGAAAGTGCAGCCACACACCTCCAAGGCTGCTGCCACCACTGCTGCCACCTCCTGCTTGGCTGTGTCCCAAGGAAGACCGCGATTGACCCAGGCACAGGCACTCCAAAGTTGCTCCCATTTCACAGATGGCAAATGGGGGACACTCAGAGAAAAATCTAGTGCCAGTAGGACATGCAGTCTCTGCCACTCATGCCAGATCACATAATTTCCCCCAGAGAATACAATTAACACATTCCAGAAGATGCCCTGGCGGTGCTCTGAGAAGAGGCAAAGCACCCCCGGCAAGAGAAACATCTTTGACCAAAACAAATGTTAACTTGCACCACTGAAGCAAAACAGAGCAGCAGAGAACGTTCGCACACACGCCAGCCCTCCAGGCTGCACACCTCTGCTCCCAAATCACCTCACTGTGTGGCTTGCTGGGAAGGCTTTAAAATGCAGCCCACCACCAATTTTATGTTCTAAAAATTTCTGTAATTTTCCCCTTTCCAGGGTGTAGTATATTATATTTGTCTGCGTAAAGTTAAATTTTGTAATTCTGGAGCAACTGCGTTCTTGGAACCCTGTGCTCTTGTGCCAGGGATTGTCCCTTGAGAGATCCATTTTCCCAACTGCGGTCAGCTTATCACACGGTGATATCAGCCAGTTAAGTTTGAAGCAAGTTTGCAAGCTGTGCAGTGCTATCCTGTACATGCCTGCTCAGAAGCAAGTTGTACTTATGCTTAGTGGTGCTTACTGCCTGGTTGTGTCTATGAGTGCAGCCCCAGTCTGTTGGATTGGCGCATTTGAATAAACAAAAGCTTGAGCTTATTAACCAGCTGTGGAGCACTCGTATGTAATTATTTGTCGAAGCTGTATTGTTTGTCTTGTCTTCACATAATAGTGAAAACAACACTTAAAGGTTTTTTTCCTTCGGAAAATCAGTGACACCTATTTTTTTAACATAAATAATTTTGTCTCCTTTATACTTCAGGATCTTTCCAAAAGGTTCCTGTTCATGTGTGATTTTATTTAAATTGATTAAATAAGATGGATTGGTTGATTAAAAGGTAGAAGACCACTGACATAATTCTTGTTGTAAATGCGGATCATGAATAATCAGGGAACTGTTTAGAAGAATTCTGAAGCCATGTTATAAACATTACCTCATGCCTCAGATATTTCTTTCCCTTTTCTTTAACTGAACAGCCCATAATGATGCAGTTCCCAGCAGTGAATTCACTTCTTCAGGACATAATTTTTTATTTCCCAATGTACAGCTTGATTGGGAAGGGAGAGAGGTTCAGAGAACTTTCTATACATTTTGTTTATTTTGTTTGGCAGGCTGTGATGTTCTGAGAAACAAGCTGGACAGCACAGACTCACAGAGCATAGCAACTATCCAAAGCTTGGAAGCTTTTGTGGCTTATGGACAGCTATACGATCTCTGGTGGAACCCACCTGTGGATTCTCTGATTCCAGCTTTCTCTCCTGAGCAATCCACTCTTGGCCAGGGCAGTGCTGCAACAGCTTCCTCAGCCCCACGTGCCATTTCAGACGAAGTCGACACCGAAGATCCTGTTTACGAAGGGCACGCTAGTGACCCTCTCTCAGAGACTGATTCAGCAGGCACCTCAGACCTACCAGTGGAACGACACATGAAACTAAGGGGCTGTAAAGTGCTTCTCTCTGAAGAACATGCTGCAATCCAGAGTATACAGAGGGATGTCTCTCGAGTTCAGGAGACTTTGGCAGACATGATCTGTCAGCACCAGAAAAGCAATTCCCACCAAAGTGTCAACAGCAAGCAGGATTCAGAGGCAGAATCCCTCATCAGTCAGAGTCAGAAGTAAGCCTTGTTTTGCTGGGGTGGTTATGGATAACTTGTTTGCTGGGGTAGATAGTATAATTATGGATCACCATCATAACTGGAGATGACTATGGGATCCCATTAAAAAACATACCATGTAGTGTGAAAGCTGCATGAAGCCCTGCTCCACATTGACTATATTTTATTTATTTAATATATTTACATAGGATGATCACATTTTAAATTCTTGAAGAAGTAGGGAAGATGGGAATTGCCATCACAACAGTTATATGTACAAGCTCCAGTATATGTTTGTCCTCCAGGTGAGGCTGCTGAAGTGGGAACCACAAGGCAGTCAGGCCAAGCCACATGCCCTTGTCTACATGTTACTGCTGCTCTGTGGAGCCCTGAAAACAAAGATGCTTCTTTGAGGGGCTGCTGCATTGCAGCTTTATGTACACTACAGACACTTAGTTAGCAAAGGAGCGTTTCTAATCCAAAGAAAAGATCAGTTAAAGAAATTGCAGGCACTGGAGTGAGCCTCCCACTACAGGCAGGAACATTTACTCTAGTCTGGGAGCCAGGGTAGGTTGATTTTAAATCAGATTAACACAACTGAGTTTAATTCAATCAATTGCATTTAAATCAAGAAGGTCGACTTTCCCCTTCATTTTCATAAATAGACATGGGAGCCAGTGTGGTTAAGAGCGTGGGACTGGGACTCAGATGATCTGGGTTCTACTCCCCGCTCAGCCATGGAGCCAACTGGGTGACTTTGGGCCAGTCACAGACTCTCAGCCCAACCTACCTCACAGGTTGTTGTTGTGGGAATAAGATGGAGGAGGAGATGTAAGCTGCCTTGAGCCCTTTGTAGGAAAAAGGCAGGATATAAATCGAAAAATAAATAAAAATAAATAAATAGTGGAACAAATTCATGGTAATTTACAGCTAAAAAGAGGGTGTTTCATTTTTATAACCAAGCCTTGTGTTTCTTCACTTCTATACCTCTTCCATGCTTTCCTTTTAAAAAGGGATGGGGTTTAATCCAACACCTTCCAGCAGCCAAGCTTGCTGGAGTTAATGGGACCTTTATCCAAAAACATTTGAAGATCAAAGATTTCCTATCACTGCTTTAAAAAGTTCCTATAAGAAATATGGGCTAGGTTCATACAACATGACAACCACACTAAAGATTTGAGTATGGGTTGTTGTTGAACTATGGGTATGAATCCACAGCTCAAATCCATCAACATATTAAGGATTTTTTTTGTGGGTTGTTTGTCATTAACAAACCATGTTTTGTTAGTTTGGCTGAGTTCGTACAACACAACAGCCCACAGTTCAACAACACCTAGTTCTCAACACATATTCTTGAGTGTGGGTTGCCTTGTTTGTATGAACTGGACCACAGAGTCTTTGTTACAACCCATCATTCTTTCTGGTATGTGAGGCTAAGCATGGGACTATCCGAACCTGTATTTTTGTCTTCTCTCCATTCTTTCAGACATGTTCCTTTCTGTTTCACTCTGCTTTGGGTCCTTTGTGCCTTCACAGGAAAAAAGTAACAAACCAAATTGAATGTCCATAATTGATAGGTCAGTGTAAGGTCTATTCATATTTGAGAAACAAACAGATTGCTTTTTTCTTTTACATAGGAATACTTCTTTGTACTTGGTACAGCTCTTGATTCTGTATAGAGAGAACTTCTAACATGAACATACTTAATATTAATGCTATTATTGATTAAGGATTTTTTAAAAAAAATCTAAACCAAAACAAAAAGCCCTATTTGTATTCACCCTACATTTGTATGTGCAGGAGCACATGAAGAAGTGGCAAAGCAGTTTTTACTCTTATTTGAAACTACTTCAAGCCACCTTTAAGGGAGGAATCCTGTCAAGGTGATGTTCAATAGTAAAGCAGCACAAATGTAAAGCAAATACAATCCCATTTAAAACCTATAGAAACAGCTGTCACCAATAGAACCTGCAGCCCACTGCCTTCAGAAAGACAAACAAGCCAAGCCAGTCTTCGGCGCTTTCCTGAAGTCCTGACCAGACACCTGGGAGCGGATCCTAGGTATACTGGCCTCCCACTGAAAAAGCAGGTTTCCTTACACTCATTAGCCTAACTGCTTGTGGTGGGCAAGTGACGAGGACATCTGGAGATGACCTCAGGATGCAGGCAGGCTGGCATGGGAGAAGGCCATCCTTGAAGTAACTCTGAGGCTTCACAGTGAGAACTTTAGCTGTGCAGTGGCAGCCAGTGCAGCTCATACAGTACTGGTGCCTTGTAAGGGGGCCCACCCCCATATTTAGGTAGTTGGTGGGGTGAAATCCACAGCTGTTGGTTCTGCAATGGAACTTCCTCCTCCCTTCTCCCCCTTGCACTCCTGGAAATCTGGACTAGCACCCGGAGAAGATTTTGAGCAGATATGAGAGCAGGCAGCAGGGTGGGGGAATCGCATCCCTCCTGGGATGGAAGCTGGGTGCCACCCAATTGGCATGCAGCTGCTGCTTCTTGCCTAACTAGCTAGAGATAATGGGAAAATAAGGACACAGCAGTATGTGTAGTTTTGGGCATCTTTCTTGCCACAGCTCCAAGGCACTTGTCCTTGGTGAATGGGTGGTTAGATCCATTCAGAGTGTTCATAGTACGTGTGGCATTGATTTAACAATGTTCAGTATTTCTTGACCAGGCCGAGACAAAAACTGGGGTTTGCATTTGCTAGTCATGGACCTGTGCTCAGCTACTTTTGAACACGAAATGGATATTCGTTGTGCACTTTCATTGCTTACCCTGACAAATGAACAGCTGAAGCTCTTAATACTCACTACGGAGGCTTTAAAGAGTGCAAGTGATTTCACTGTCTGGCTTTAAACATCCTTTTAGCTGGACTGCTTCTCACGTTCTCTTTATTAGGGACAAATGCCTAATACCATATAGTTGTCAGACCTAAAGCACAGACTATAAGCATGCTGTATTTAATTCTTATCCTCCCTTTCTATAGCATTCAAGTAGGAAATGTTGACTATTTGAATGTATTTTTGGACATATAATCACTTAAACTTACCTTTTCACAGTAAAGAACAAGTGAAAGAACCTGTTACTTTGTTAGATCTGACGAAACAACTTACGGAAGCAAATAAAAAACTAGCAGAGTTTCCAGAGAGTATAAAGGTAAGGTTGAAAATTGAGCAAAGTTACTCTGTTTCAGTGGCAGCCTCCAGAATTGGATTAACCAAAGGTTAACTTTGGATTGTTCAGCCAACAAATACAAGTGTTCAGGTTAGGATGTCACAGTAACCATCTTTGTGGCACTTGTAGGTTGTTGGTGGAAATTGTAAGCCCTGCACACACAAACCAGAATTTCTGTCTAGCACCTGTGCTACATGCAAACAGCCCCTTGGGCTTTATAACTTTGATAACTTTGCAGAGAAATTGTGACCAGGCTTTTTAATTGGCCCTTGGAGCCATGTCATGAGGGGAAAAAAATGCAGTAAAATATGATTTTACATTGATGGAGATAGGAGGGATAATTTTTATTTCATTTTGTGTGTGTGTGTGGGGGGGGTACTTTTCATATTAATGACTAGCATTCTAAAAAGTACCCCCCCCCCCCATTTCAAGCATTATAAAGGTAAAAAGTGAACGGTACAGTAAAATACCACCATTGTTGGTAGAGTTTCTAGTAAGAAAAAAATGTTGTTTTACTTGTGTGTTTTTTTAACAGGCTTCTCCTTTCCCGGATGTATTGGAGTGCTGCCTTGTTGTACTTCACATAGGTGCCCAGGGCCATATAAAGGTGGTTCCAGAATTACAGGAGCAATCATTAGACCTACTTAGGAAATATGGAGGAACTCATATATGTAAAGAAGTTTGCAAGAAGTTCTTCATATGACTCTCCTGCTTTTTGTTTTCTCTTGATATAAAAGACTTTAATTTGAAGCTATGTTTCATGCTGGAATGGATGAACAGGAAACTACTGTTATACAGTGATGTTGGTCAATTATTCCAGCTGGGAGTGATGCACAACAGAACAGAAAAAGCTGCCAAAATAAAATGCCCCACCTTTTTTCAGTGCTATCAACTTATTTTCTACTTGAAAGGAAAACTATGTAAAAGGTCTTTCTAATATACAGATACTATTTAAACTGTCTGTGCATCTCTCACTTTGAGGGATTAGGTTTGCGAGCAATATCTAACTAATTAAAAATAATGTATATTCTAAACTGGAGATGCATTCATTTTAATGATCAATTAGATAAAGCTTTGCAAAGATCGAAAATGGAAACTGGCCTGCTGCCTTCAAGGAAGATGTACATCTTATCAAGTGCTAATATTGAGCAATACAGTTTAACCAGCCTTTGGCATGTTGCATGTTGTTATTACAACTATATATGAACATGCTTTATATGAGAGTCGGGAGAAAAAGTATTCATATATAGCTGTTGAAATTAGTTTGTTGCAGTCTGAACAGAAACTAACCTTACATATATGAGACTTGGAGAAGTTTTTGGCTTCCACTGGGAGAGAATGCAAATTAAAGCCACTCCTTTTGCCTTGTGCTTTTGAAGAAGTGTTCAAAAGTATTACAGCACATAACTTTCATGGTCAAGAATTCTTCATCTTGCTCCACAAATGCTGAGCTGTGCCATTCAGTAACAATTGAATAGTGTGGGTATTTCACTCCTCCATGAAAACTGCTGGAGAACAGGCCTTGTGTGGCATGTCTGTGATGTAATGACCCTCTTCAGGCACCATTACAAGAATGTACCTATTAACCTGGTGGGTAAGTACTTCTCTGTCTCCTCCCTCAAGGAGAGGAGGATGGAACACTCTTGCTTTTGAATTATGTAGTGCACTGTTGCAGGCAAGCTTGGAATGGTACTTCCAAACTAGTTAAGAAGCCAGCATATTGCATCAACAATCCTGAATGTTGTACTTAGAACAAACCAGTTTCAAGTTTGGCCGTAACAGGACAGTTCAAAATAGAAAGCTTTCAGACTTCTGTGAAAGTGGGTTGAGCCTGAGCCCCAAAGTTCATTTTTTTACTGTACTTTGAATTGCCCTGGATCCAAAGATACATTTTACTTTTGTAAGGCCTATTGGGCTTCAACATGGTACTCACAGGTGCCCATGTGCCTACAGATACATCTCTTGGTACCCACCAGACTCCCTGGCTGTTTTACCAGGAGGTTGGCATGCTTCAAAGTGAAACACCAACCTCCTGTGCCAAACTTATTTCCAGGTATGCCTCTGAGCAACATAGGCATTCTTAGAAAATAAAAATGGAGGGTGACTGTAATCCAGCCTTCATTTTGAAGTATACTCAGCCACTTCCAAGTAGGGATTTTTTTACTGTCCTGTGTTTTTCTCTCTGTGGGTATGTGTTGGTTGGTTGACTTTGGCACCAGGAAAGGGTTATATTTCTCTGAGCATCCTTGATTTGCCTCTGTGAGGTTGTGTGTGCTTTATGGGAACAAATAGGTGATTTGGTATTCAGAGACCACCTCTGTCTTGTACTCAGTTTCTAGTCCACATTACATCTCTCTGTTTCATCAAGTTGTGTTCTGTGAAATGGATGACAGAGCAGCAAACAGAGTTCAAGCTTGGCAGGATCTTTTTCTTTTAATTTCACCACCTTGTCTTTGCACTGTTATGCTCAACATGACAGCCATTTTGTAAGAGGCCAAATGCATAAAATTCCAAATATGGCCACTGACTCAAAATGTGATTGGAAACCTTTCTTCTAAGCGTAGTGTAGGGAATTTGGAACTAAATTTAAAGATGGTGATATCTCTGAAAGAGGTTGCACAAGCAACAACCTGAAGACCATTCTTAATATAGTATGGAGCTTGCATGTTTTCAAAACAAAACTGCAGGCTTTTCAGTTGTTTGGATTTTTAAAAAACCCTCTCAAAAGAAGAAAGAGAAGTCAATGTCTCATGCCTTAAGAAAATTCTTTATTTTACAAAATTAAGAACCAGTGATATATACACAAGCATGTAACAGCAGCTTGCAGTGCTTTACATAATGGAGAGTTTAAGTTTGTTAAAATACCATTATCTGGATTCTGTCTCTCCCTCAACAGGATTTGGTTTTTCTGACTTGTATGAGACTTGCAAAATGATTAAATGTACTTTTTGACTATAACCCATAACAATTTGGGGCTCCTCTTCAAGTCATATAAAAGGCAATCTAAAATGTTGTCTAGCCCTTCCCTGGCACACACTTGTGATTGTATCCACCTGCTGAACATCCCACTACCAGAAGTGTGAAGTAGTTCTCTTGAAGTAAAACCAATTTGGTCCCAATAATTATTGCAGTCTCAAGCATGCAGACAGTTTTATTCCATTCTACAGTAGTTAACATTAAACTTACTGATATAATTAATGGCCCAACAATCTAAAGGGAGGAGGAGGAGCTAGCCAGAGCCATTATGGCTGCTACAAGGACAGGTCTGTGGTTCATGCAGTGTCTCCACCACCAGGGCTGAAGGGTTCATTTTCACAGATCGACTTACACAAAAGATAAAAACTAGCAGAGGGCTTAGGAACATATCACCCTCACAGAGAGCAAAAGAAGTTTTAAAATAAGCTTTCAAAAGCTAAATCTGCAAGTGCATGAGAGAACTTCAGCTCTGCTGAAAGTCCTGGAATGACCTACAACTTGCAAATTTAGTAAGGTTTAAAAGAAAAAGGAGGTATATACACACACTGTAGCTTGTATCTGGTTTTTACATAAGGGCAAAACACTCTACCAGTCATTATGCAATTGCTTGAATAGAATCTATCAAGATTCAAAGTAAAGATGCCTTCTGCCCTCTGTAAAAATGCGCTAGTTCTTCCACCATTTGTTTGAGAGGTGTGAAAGAGGTAGTTTACCTCCATGGACTAATATCTGAATGGCACCTAGTAATCACTGCTGCATATTGTTGATAATAGCCAGAATGCTCATCTTCTCTTGGGCTGTTTCCACATCTTCACTCTGCTTCTGGGCTACTCCCGTACCAAGGCCATACAGTCTCCCACAGTACTTCGCATCATCAATTGTATCCTCAAAGAACAACTGGAAAAAGAAAATACATTAGAATGCCGGTTGCAACTTTTATCCAGTGCACCTTTTGGTATGTTAGATACAAGCCAGTTACTTTCAGCAGCGCTAGACAGCTGTACAACCCAAGGGAAAGGGGCAAAAAGGACTAAAGATGGTAAGAATGTCAGAGGCCGCAAGTCAGTGCGCACTCCTGCAATTTAGGCAAGGTAAGATAAGCATACCTCTTTCATTCTGAAGAATGCCATGCCAGTGAGTAGTGAATCCGACCCAGCTTGGTGCTGCCTCCCAATCCGCTGTAAGTCTAGCTGGTCAGCAACTTCTTGAAGGCCCCCCTGCAACACCAGAAGGGTTATGAAATTCAAGAATCTGACCTGCTATCCCAAGTTCCTCTGCTTATGACAATTTAAGAGTTATGGAAGTTAACAGAGACCAAAGCCTTTCACAAATTTCAAATGATCAAGGCGAAGTTTCAAAATCATGTATACAGAAGATTCTTTCCTGGGAAAGAATATGGTGATCAGATTTTAGTGAACCAACAATGCCACTGTAAGTTCCAAATGATTAATGCTGTTACTTATCCAAGAGGGGCAAGCGGTCCAGTTAAAAGATTCTGCTACAACAAAATTACATGAATATTCTGTACCAGCAAGCTTAAGTGTAGAAATCAGACCACAGTCCTAGTCTAAATATGTCATTATAGATCCACCAAATACCTTGGTATTACATGCTTTAGGACTTCATTTAGTCTGGTCTATTTGGTCAGTCAAAATACATATTTAAAGCATTAATTTATTTGAACAGTAACAGAACAGACAGAGCCAGGGTAATTTCAAATATTATGTTTTTTCCAGAAGCCTCTAGATTCCAGTCACTCTGAAGTTTTTCAGAATGCCACATAAAGTTACATAGAAGCTCCTTGAGCAAAAGCAAATGTCATAGACTCTGTGGTTGTCCTGATTCCTGAGCACTTGTAACCAGTGCCAGCACGAACTTCTGCTTCTTCCTGAATTCTATTCCTGGTTGCAGATGGCTGAAGTTATTGCATATTGGCCACTAACAGTTAGACTTGAGCAAGAATGACAAAATGCAACCATTCTGCATAAAGCTGCCAGGACACGGGGGCTGAGGAGCTCATGCTATTTTGCCATGTATGTCAAATGACATTATGAGGCAATAAAAAGCTTGGCTGCCACTCACAGGATGGCGGTTAAATTTAGGCAGCATAGCCCAACAATAAATAGACAATATATGCCAACATTAATATGCACAAACATGAAAACTACCATCATTTATTTTAAAGTCATAATTCATAACATATACTCCCATCTTTCCAAAAATACATGCAAAGCAACCTTTAATCTTGGCAATTACATTGGTAAAAGTAAGCATTATACCTTCAGGTTTTTGCAGCTCTTCATCAGATACTTAACATCATATATGGATGGAAAGAAAAGGTTCAAGATATGAAAGAACTCATGTTCTTCTTCTGGAAGCCTTGAATCTGTCAGCAGTTTCACCATATAACCAAAGTCATAGCCACTGATGAGGAAATGGTGTAAAGAGGTCAATCAATCTGGCCAACTAGAGCAAAGGTATTGTTATCATTTACATCTTCCTCATATTAACACACTACAAACTTAGCTTGTAGCTACTGCTATTAAGAGCCAATCTAGAGAAGGCTCCCTGGACAAATAAAGGAAAAGGTCTGCTTAACAGTCCCTGCTGATTACAGGGATTTGTGACAAATACAAGAAGAACAAGTCACAATGGGTCTCTCTTATTGTGAAATGGAAAACAGCTGGGATTCATAAGAGGTCAGTTGCATTGAGTTGTCTCCTTAATTCCACCAACCAGCCAAGAAATTAAGAGCTGGGAGTTAAGTAGACTAAATTATGATCTAAGACCCATAAAGTGTTCTTTGCTTCAATTAATTAGAACAATTAGAACAATTACCATCTTCTAGAACAATTACCAGGCTTCAGGGCATATGAGGTTAAGTTCAGCATTTAAAAGTGATCAGACATCTCATTGCTACCCTATTAATACCAATTATCATAACGCTACTTTCTATCCCTTTACCCAGATCAATGATTTTGAGTAGCCATTTTCCCTTGCAGAACTCCCCAAACTAACAACTGGATGGCAATCAAACTTTCAGGATAAACTGATAATTTAATGTGTGGAATTTCATGTTCTGTTCTGCTACTGTTGAAATCATTAAGGGCCCTGCTGGGAAGAAGTTGGCAAATGGCTGCAGTTCTTTTGTTCTAAAAATAATGAAAAAGAAGTCTAATAATAAAGTGTTACATATGATCATACTTTAGAGAGTGTTTGACTCACCTATGAAATGAGAGCCACTTGACATTGTCACAGAGAACCACACCGGAAGTCATAAGGAGCTCTGCAAAGTGTAAAGTATCAATCCCTTCCTCCTCATGTTTCTGAAACTGCAGTCCGGAGCTGGCAAGGAGGTCTATTGAGTCCTGAGAATACATGTCTTCCCTGAAAAGGGACGCAAATGCTAGACATCAGTCTTTATCTAAATTATCAGTGGATGTAACAAAAATCAACTGATATTTTCACTTTATGGTTTATCATGCAAAACTGTTATTTATCATAAATATGTTGAATTCTATTTTTTGTCTTCTATCTAGTTCCACATCAAAATGGCAAAGAAGCTTCCATTATCTTTTCATGGGCCTATTTGTATACAGGGACAATACAGGTACAAAAACTGGTGCTGTGTAAGTGCACAGTCAGAGGCAGTGTGCCTCTTTCTGCTTTGCCTATGTGAAAATACTAGGCAGTTTTCAGCACTATTTTACTACTATTAATCAGGACCAATCATTAACAGCTTTTCTGATGACATACCGACTTGAAACATAATCCCTTCATGCTAAAATGGGCCTTTCCCCCTCTTAGAGCCCTGTCATACCACAGAAAGCTCTCATTATTACTCGATGACAGCTTTTTTGAGCAGAACTGCACCCGCAATTCCAGAGACTTACGTAAGGTTGAACTTGAAGTTAAACTGCCAGGTGTTGATGCCAGAAGGATATTCTCCTTTCTCATTTGTGAAAGTCAGGCCTAGTTGGATGATTTTCAGAAGGTCAACATTACACCGGAGTAGCTGATATTGATAGTCTATAGAGCTGCGAAATTCCCCAATTGGTCGAACAACAACACCAGGAAACTCTGTATCCTAAGAAGACAAGGGGGAAAAAAATCTAACCTAAACTTTGGTAGCATCAGTGAAAGCTGGTATTGTACCGTGCACGTGCATGCACAGCTTTGACTTACAGGTACTATATGATCTCTCCTTTACATGCTAATAAGCCACCATCATGTGTCAAAGAGAATATCTGAATTTTGCAATTGCCTACTTCCTGGTATTAAGGGTTCAATAAGTCAGGGTACAAATGCAGTTGTTTCTGTCTCTTTTTCTACTACTTGTGAGACATATATATAACCACTGTAGAACATGTACTGTTCCCCATTATGTAAAATTCATGGGTGCATTTTATCATGTCATCACTTTAAAGAAAAACCAAGAGTAGGGTTATGCATACACTGTGTTTCCACAGAAATACAGGGGAAAGGGCAGAATATACTGCTTATTGCACAACTCAGCCCTCTAAAATCTCTTTAACCAGTTCCTAACCTTCCAAATGTGTTGATTACAATCCTGCTAAGCAGATAGATACTGAGGTTGTGGTTTAGAGATTCTTCAGTCAACTGCTGGACAAACACTGGTAGAGCAACAAACCAACTGAGACAAACTAAAAAGGTACCGCTATACGTCAAGTAGTTTGACTGGCTGAATCACTGATCTAAATCAACTCCACTTGTCTGGAACAAAACCCTGGATTTGAATGGAAAGTTATGCACTAAAGTTACCATTGCAATATAGCTGTAGCTGAGAACAATTTCCCGAATTTTCCTCATCTCTTCTTCTAGATTGTTTGCCCATACTTCACAGATAACTTGACTATTTTCCGCAAGTGCTGCTGGCATCTTGAATGATTTACACCAAAGTCACAGTAGCAAGTAGGAAGCTCCAAGATATCAAGATAAACCACCCTAAATATGTGAAAAAGGCATAGCATAGTGCTTTATTGCAATATAATGTTCATCACAGTTTTTAAAAACGCTAAACACTCAGTAACATACTAGATGAGCAACCCAACCATATGCATGTTTACTCAGAATTAAGTCTGAGAAATTTCAACAGGATTTACTCTTTCAATTGCACATAGGTATTCCAGCCTTGGGTGCTCATAATTCAGTGCAAAAGCTTTGATTAGCATCATTCACCTGTACAAATATTATTTCAACAAGAATTCTTTCAGTAAAAGTCAAGTCCAAGAATAGTTAAGAGAAAGACAAACCAAAGTATTAATTTTTCTTTTAGCCTGCAGTAAAATTCTAAACACCCTCCATGTAAATGAAGCAGACGCTAAAACATATGTCCATAATTTTAAATAGCATTTTAATAAGATCAAGGGATATTTATAAGCCAGTGTGCTTTCTCAGGGGAGCAAAGTCAACCATTGTTTCATACTATGTCCTAACAGGTTGCATGAGATAAGCACATCCTTTGATCTAAAAATGACCAACTTTAATTAGCAAAAAATTAATATTATACAATAGTTCCCACCCTATCTATTAATTAGCTGGTTTCCATACAGCAGTCTGACCTATAGAAATTCTTTTTAAAATAGTGATGTTTATCTGGTCAAGAGATCGAAAGAAATGTTTGGTGAATTGGAAGAAGGATTGTTGTGTATTGTTTGAGATTATCTGTTTCATGCTCAGCATACAAATCCAAAATAGAATTTAAGTTAGCAGAATAAAACAAGTAAGAAACTGATCAGAAGAAGAGAAATGAATGTAGTTCTTGATATAAGTAAAATTAGTCTTTGATGTTATCCAAGTTTTAAAGTGTATTCCTAGGTAACAACTATGTGCAAGGCTTAAAAGATATTTGGCAAACAGAAGGCTGAATGTTTTTCAGAGCATTAAATCTGTACCAAAACAGCATTTAGTAGCAGTAATTTGTTGTGCAGGATCAATCTCATGTGCAATACTCCTCCTCCACATATTTTTAATTCCTACTTCCCTCAGTGTTCTTATACACACAGACACACACACACACACACTAATCACAATCACTTATTCAGCTGTCAAAATTAGGCCAATGCACAACATTCATGCAAATACTCATGGACTATACATACAATCTGTAAGAGGTATAAGCAAGGGCTCAGATTCCGGCTTGCCTTTATCACCAATGATTATTGGTTGACACCACCAAGCTCCACCTTCCCAGCAGAGAGATACTAATCCCTTTCTTCTAAATTCTCCACCGGGAGTGGGGGTGGGGGCTCTTTTCTGACTTTATTCCATGTTTTGCAAGACCTAAAAACTGACTTGCTACTTCTGCTTTCTGCAAAAACCTGTTCAGATGGGAGAGAAACCATCCCTGTCCTGACGCAAAGGCGGAGAATCTTGAGGAACAGATCTTTGTGCTGAGTAAGTGGATCTATGGAATCCTGCATGTATCATCACAAATAAATTGCTATGCTACATATATAGAAAAAAAATTAACTGTGTCTTATGGCACTGTAGCCAGACAAAGTTCTTTCAGGAGGACACTGCTAATTACTGGGGCAATACATTTGGGAATGCTCACATGTTTCTCTGTTCTTGGGGTAAAAAATACCCTTGTGCCGAATGTAAAAAAAGGCACAACTCTTTAACAGTCCAGATTGTGAATGCATGCTTAAGAACTACATCTGGGAGTGAACGATAGCTACCAGCTATAGTTCACCCCAGATGTAGCTACTAGTATGCACAGCTAACAGATTGCTAAATCATAGTACCCAGTTGTCAGACAACCAAAACACAAGCTGGTAGTTATGCATACTGAAGCCTACTGAAATTGATCTTAAACAAGATTATTGGCCTAGTTTCTCCAGCTGTTAGCAGATTGTTTGATACAGATGCTAACCCTGGTACTTATTTATTTATTTAAAATATTTTTACCCCGTCCTACACGGAAATCGTCCCAGGATGGCTTACTTCCTTTTTACTGAAACATACTTGCAATGGAGTAAGTCCAACTGCACATGGAGGGCAGTATGACTGCAAAGGAGCTCCAGCCCAAGCAACGAAGTCCCAGGTAAACCATAAAGCAGTCAGAAAGCAAAGTATCTGTGTCAGGAGTGGATAAATGCTGTCCCAAGTAATGCTATCTTCCCATTTTAGCTATGGGTGTGCACATAGTGTAATAGGCTTCTAACTGCCAAAGAACACAAAAAGCAGTGGAAGCAGGTGAAGAAGACATGTTCACCTGCAGAACCCAGATGGCCTGATTTGGGTCCCAGAAGAACCAGAGGTTCTGTAATTCTAACTTAACCCTTTACAATATTCCTTTTGACAAAGACTCTGAATAAACTTAACGGTCATAAGATAAGAGGCTGTGGTAACTGATTAGTCACCAATTATGGATCGGTAACTGATTAAAGAGCAGGAAGCAGAGAACATGGACAAATGGGAAATCCCTGCAATGAAGAGAGGGAAGTAATGGAGCTCAAGGATCTGCACTGCAATTGGTGTTTTTTTAACTTATTCATAAATGATCTGGAGTTAGTGGTAAGCAGTTGGGTGGACTGCAAGGCATTTCAAAGAGGTATTTCCAAACTGGTTGAACAGGCAAAAGAAGAGCAAATGCAGTGTAATACTAATACATCTTAGGAGACAAAATCCTATTTCCCATATATTCAGATGGGATCAGAACTGACAGTGAATAAACAGGAAAGAAATCTTGGGATCATATTCTGTGAAAAATTGCCAGGAGTTTGTCCTCCCTGCTGCCTAGCATTTTTTGGGAACACCAAAATGTGAAATGCTTTTAAATCGAGGTTTTACTTATTCAAAATGCACAGCATGAGTATTTTTGTGTAAGGAAATCTAAAATGCTAAAAAATAATTTCCATTTATAGTGCAGTCATAAAATAAAAAACCCCACCCACCCTGCATTAACAGGGTGCTGTCATATTCATGAAAAGAGCACAAAAGAATATCATTGTTTGTGAACTGCTGCTTGCCTTCTTATGTTGAACCTGGATCCAGTCTGGAGATACTAAAAGCAGGTATCTTGCACCTGCTGTCCTTCCCTTGGGGCCAACTTTTCACTCTCAGATGCCCTAAAACCAATTTTATACCTCACTCATTCTCTTGAATATTTGGGTATATGCTAAATGTTGCCTGTCCAAAACTAAGAAATTTATACTCCTGAAAAGTTAGCTTCATTAAAAGAGTGGGTCATTCTTCAAAGTAAACATGCACAGAATTGCTCTGCAAATGTTGTAAATATAATGAATAATGCCATTTTATATGCTAAGTTACAAGTGGTACCTTTTATGCTTTTAAAGCAGTAAAGTAAATTTGGGTTTGATAAGGAAGTTTCATATATATTTCAATTTCCCTCAAAAGTTCAATTCTTTCACTTTCATTCATGATCTTCAAAATTTTCCATGAATCTCAATGATGTGTTTGAAAAAGCTTTTGCCTTCTTAGATAGGTTTCAGACAATACTGATGTTTCCAAAGTTCACCCTGCTGCTTTAGATGTCAAGAACTTTATTTATCATTTTAAACATCTCATATGAAAAATTCAGTTCTGGAAATATCTTCACCAGATTTAAGTGCACACAACACTTTATTCACTGAGTAGTCCAACTCACCCATTCTGACCAAGCAACAGGCTATTACTCCATACCCCACCGGACTCAAGGCACTTCTTGTCCTATTTGCAACACTGAATCCAAGTGCCAAATGGAACAGCAAGATTTCCAGAGTTTGTTCTGAACAGGAATGTCTTTGCTTTCCCCTTCACTGGGCAATCTACCCTGAAGTTGTTCTGTTAGAAATAAGCTGCCCCTTGCCCTTGACCTCAACACCAAGAGATTTCTTTTCTGTTTACCCTAAACCCTCATTCCATTAAACCCTCACTTGCTGCCTTTTCCCTATTTAATTCTCTCCTTGGCCATGAAATCATGCTTCTCTAGGGATTCTCCCCTGGTTCCCAGCCAAGTCCCTTTCACTTTAAACGGTCAACTCTCAGCGGGACTAACACTGGACAGAACCCAGTTCCTTGCATCTACCTTCTTTCTCCAACTTCTTTTTCACACACACAAATCCTCCGCTAAGCCAACGCAGCCCACCATGACTAATAGGGCACTCATATATGTGTACTGTGCGATCTGTTATGCCTCATCAAAAGTAAAGTGCACCAGGTAAGCGGATATCAGAAAGCTGTCTGAAGGTGCAATCATATACAAGTTTCGACAGGTTCTGGTTTTTTTTAACGGCCTACAACTTCCAGCATGCCCGAGCCAGCCATGCGGGCTGCGGCATGCCGGAAGTTGTAGCTCTGTTCTGTGAAAATACGCATCGGATTGAGCCCTCGGAGATCGGCGCCGGTTATGCTCGAGCCCCCCTTTGCCTGCTGTTGAATGCTCGAGAGCACACCGTGCTTACATCCCAAGGGATCTCGGCAGGCGTGATGAGCCAGCGCTTGGACTACACTGGCCAGGACCCCACCAGAGCCGCATGGGGACTGCGTGGAGGCACCCTGCTCCTCAACGCGCTCCGCACATGGGGGCCTCTTTCTCGGCTGCAGCCCTGCTCGCCCCTCGCAGGATGGGAGTGCAATACTGGACAGTTGGCCTCTCCGCCCCCTCACGGAAGAGCCATTTGCAGGGTATCTTCATATACACTCAAACTCCACATGTTCCTCCCTCCTGAGGAAGACCTGAATTTGAGCTTCTGCACCGCTTCCACGTGTTGGCGGTTGAGGGGCAGAGCCGGGAAGCCACCAAACCACAGCAGCGACGGCTCAGCAAGTCCCGGGGGACTTTCCACGCCGCCGCCACACACGGGAGCCAGAGCCGGGCAGAGCCAAGGCGGCTTCAGGAGAACCAGGAAATCCGGTCTGCAAACAAAAGGGCCGTCCCGTCCCGCTCCGCCCCGGGTCCTCCAGCCTCCCCTCCGGGCTTGCGGGCCCCGCCACCTCACCAAGAGCGCGGGAGAAGGAGCGCTCGGGGTCGGGCCGTTACTCCTTCGCGCCGCTTTCGTCGTCCTCGGGTGGCGGGGGGCCACTCTAGGCTACCGCCTCTCCATCACTCGATGGTGCTGATGGTGGTGTTTGTTTGTTTCCCCCTCTCCTGCCCGCACGCATGCGCTTTACGAAGCAACGACGAGCCGAGACCCGAACGACATCCTGCTTCAGCTACCGGAAAAACGCAGCAGCGCCGGATGCGCATGCGCGAAGTTTGAAGCGCCCGTGCTACGGCGGCGCATGCTTCCGCGGCGGCAGCTCCTGGGATCAGCTGGACGTGCCTCCGGGCGAAGATTCCCCGCACGTGTTTGCCCCCAGCCCCTTCGGCGGCCTGCAGTGCGTTGATCCAGTGACGGCGTCTGAAGCGGTGTTTTCTCCCATCTGCTGCTTAGGCTTGCCCTTTACATTCCTCAGTTTCCAGTTCCTCCCTGCTTGCAGCGCTTTCGACAGAGGATTCTTGTTCCCTAGCCCTGCCTCCATCCCGTATTTCCAGTCAGGCCCTTGCTTGGCGTAGTGCCTCGGTAGAACAAAAAAAGAACTGGCTGATTGCGTCTACTATAAATTTATCCGCTCCTCTCTTCTGCCATCGCTCTGCCTGTTCACGTGACTCCACCCTGCCATCCTGATACGCCTCAAGTGCGGAAATCCTGACATCTTCCAGTATCGAATGCGTCTCGCTTTCTCAGCGTGGCTTTGCCCGGTGCTTCCATGCTAGGATCGCCTGCTCTAATGCCCTCAACCCGTTTCCTCTTTCCACCACTCTGTATCACTTGATGAGTCGACAGACCTGTTCTCCTTCTCCATGTCCTCCCTCAATCTAACATCCTTGTTCATTGTCTTCTCCCCAGCCATTCCCTCCATCATCATACCAGCAGTCTCTACCCCATGGCTCCTTCCATTCTACATTCAAGCACAACACTGTTTCCTCTATTATGCGATCCGGTTTCCATCTATTTTTCCTTCTATGATTTAATATCAAGATAAAAGAAGTTGACGTCTTCGTGTTTTCTGCATCTTCCTTCTCCATGTTTGCATTAGAAGCACCCCAATCTGGTTTCTGTCCTGTCCTCTGCCTGTTGCAACTACCCTACTAAAACCATGGATAACCTCCCTGATGCCAGAACCAGAGGTTTCCATTCGGTCCTTGGCTCGCTTGATCGCCCTGCCACCTTTGAAACATCTCATTACTTGCTTTTGCTTATCTCCTATTTTGCCCTCTGCCCTCAGGATTCTGTTCTCTGTTCTTTTACAGCTGTCTAACTGCTCTTTTAATATTTCCACAGGGGAGTGGCAGAGTGCTGTTCTACTTTTCTTCTGTGTTGGCTTCATTCAAGGTTTTATTCTTAACCTTTTGCTATACTCTGCCTGCGCACTGACCCTGGGTGAATTCCTCACATCTTCCACAGCTTCTGGTACCATCTATGCCAGCTGTGAAAAATCAATTTTAGGTGGCAAGCCAGATTGTGCTCCTTCCAGCTCCTCCACAGGATGGAGGAAGTTAGCCTGCACGGCCAAGCTTGCTGATGTCAGCATCACACCCTGCTTAATTTGCCATTCTTGGTTCTGAAAGAGGCACAAAGAAAGGGACTCAGCTAGGGCTAGGAAGAGCAGCTGCTTCTCCCAGTGCCATTTGAATCCTTTGACACAGGCTGTTATCGCCACTTTTGGTTTGGAGATAACAATGGAGATTTCTGCAAGTGGGGGGCTTGTTCCTACTCCCTGGAAAAATGCAGGGAGGTTCCATGAACAGATGGAGAAATTTCATGGGCTAACTTAGGCCTGTGGTCTCGAGGTTCCCCCCCCCCCCCATGACCTACACACTGATGACAGCTAACTACCTCTCTATCCTGAAGGTTCTTCATCTAGTCACAAAATCCCTCTGTTACTGCATAATTTTATCTCATTGTTTTGCTTTATCATCTGGGGATCTTTATGTCCCTAGAGCAAAGGCTTTTTCAAAATAGCCTGTCTGATTGTTGGAACCCTGTTTGTGCAGAATTGGACTTTGTGTGTTTTAATAATCTATGTATTGGACAATAAAAGAAGAAGCAGATTATTTCATGCCATAAAAAGAATTACCACCAGCATTGTCTTACTTCAGCAAAATTTAAAACTTGAATAACTAGAAGAGTTCTTGGCTTTAAAAAAACATTGTTAAGCTTATCTGATGGCTAGATTTTATAAATTGAGACTGTCACTAAGAAATTAAAACTAAGCTAATTTCAGATAGGTCAAACGATGTGATTTCCTCTATGACTCAGCTTGATGACTCTTCAGTTACAAAATGTTTGAAGTTATCTGAGGTGGTGTATCTGTCTCGTGCGTAGTAGGCACAGGAAGATGTGGTAGAGAATGCAGAAAAATGAAACTTTGGAAAATTTCATATGTCATACGTGATTATTTTTCAGAGGATGCCTGCTGTAGTTCAAGATCAAAACATTAGAACGCGTTGAGCTATTTATAAGCAAGTGAGTGGGCACTTCCACTGTTTCCAGAGCCTGCTGTCTTTGGGCACTGTCGTTCTGAATGGTTCCTGAGGCTGCAAGCATGTCTGCTAAAGTCCCCTTTGAAAGTGCTTGTCTGTGCCTGAGACACGAGCTCTCAGGTGGAACTGCTCAGAAAAAGGTGGAAATGATATGGTGGGCAGAAGATGGAAGATGGGCCCATGCTTTGCTGGCTGAGCTACAGAGTCAGCAGAGGGGTGGTAACTTTCCATGCCTGTTGTGCGAACAAAGGCTCCCCAGTGGTCTTTCTCATCTGTTTCCCTTTCCCTGCTCTTCTCATCCTGTGCCCTAGGTTAGGCCAGTGATCCTGAACCAGCAGTCTCTTGTGCTCTTTCAGGTGGCCCACAAGATCATATTAAAATAATAGAATGAAAACCATTCTTGCAAAACAAAGGCCATTGTGGAATGAAAACTCCGTTACAGTTCCACCTTTTTGGATCTAAGCTGCAGGGCCATGCCTGACAGATGCATTGTCAGTAATACGGTGCCAAATGCAAGCCTGCTGGCCGCTCTTTACGCAATACGTGTGTTGCATTGGCAGAAGGATTTGGAAGTTTCTTAAGAAGCCTCCTATGCATGGGATAAATATTAGAAAGGGACCCGGCTAAGGCTTGTAGGAACAGCAGCAAATCAAGAAAAACCAGAATAGGAGTCCACAACTGCCACACAGTGTAATGATTGGTGCCCTGGAAAATGACAGAGTAGATAGAAACAGGAAGGAGAGAGATCACTATAGGTGCCTACATAATATCCCGTCTGATACAATGTGGTGGATGGTGTGGTGGTGACACTTTTCCTTGGTATTAACAAGGTGATGGTTTCAAGTGGTGCAAATGTCTTCATGCCTCTAAAGTTTGAAGAAATTGCTTAGTAGCAAAACAAAATAAAAATAAGATCATATAGTGCAACCTACCTGGACACACATTTTGTCACAGATGAGATATTTGCCAGGAGTAACAATGGCCTTGGCTGTGACTTCATGCATGCGATTTGTGGAATGGGACAAGTCAGCTGCTTGCTTCCATACACGCCCCCTCTTGCTTTGCCAGCAGCTATGATAAACTTCGCACAAAGGCAGAGGCAGCAGCGGGACAGGCAGGAGGCAGATGCTGTGATTTTGATGGGCTCTCCTTTCTTTCCAGCAACAGAGAACTCCCCAGTGCTGCCAGCAGGCAAAGCCTAGACAGGTAAACAACTAGTAAGTTAGAAATGGGATGCAGAAAGGACAATTAAAGTAGTGGTTTTCAATCTTGACTCCTTTGATAACTTTTAAAAATAAAAGTAGCTGCACTGGGAAGAGAGAAGGAACCATGGGATCATTAAGTTATGTAGTGAAATAGTGGTTTGTAAATAGCGGTTGAAATCCGCAGAAAATTGCTCTTCATATCCTAAGCCTATGTTTATTCAGAAGTAAATCCTGTTGAGTTCAGTTGGAATTAGATAAATGGATGTAGGACTGCAGCATTCCTGACTCTTCTAGCTAAACTTCACAGAGCTGGGCTACATTAATTTGTCTGCGTAGTGACTTAGCTCCATCGTGTTTTTCGTCACCAGGAGACTGCAGGACTGTGGCCAAAGAGGTACTACAGTGAAAACATTCAGGAATCATTCTCAACCACATGGCAGTTCCCTGTGACTTAGCTTTCAGAATTCTTGACTGTTGTGGGTTATAGTTCTGTAAGGAAGAAAAATGGGAATAGTTCTGAAGGATACATTTCATTTCGGTTGGATTATTTATTTGTGATGTGAGAGATAACCTATTTGCTTGCCTTAAACTAACAAAAATAAACCAGCCAAGAGAGTTTGTATATGTGCTGGAAGGCTCAAAAATTTCCTGCAGAACCGAATCTGGTGCCTTGGTTTGAACTGTGGGTTTGGGGTGCATGGAATGAAGTGTTTGAGAATGTGTTTGAGGAGGAAGGAGTGAAGGAGAGAAGGTAGGTCAACTCTCAATTCCTCCAACTTGTAACTTCTTGCAGTGCCTCCAACCTGTTACAGTACAGTATTGGACAAGCCAAGCAGTTTGGAAGCTGCAATTAATGTTTTTCAGGAAGTATCCCTAGCCAGTATGGGAGAGAATATGGTTGTCATTGAGATAGATATGTCCCTGAGCATAAGAATAAAAAGTATTTCATGACAGTAAAATGCTACTTTGCAGCTCTATGGAAAAGAGTTGAACTTTGCTGAAATAGAGGAATGGTTGTTAGCATAACACACACGCTTACTGATTGACGAATTAGGTACAGTCCTGAGTTTGTTAAGATGCTGGCTGGGGAATGCTTGAAGTTGTAGGACACTTCTCTGCCTAAGCAGGTCTGCCCTGGACATGTCCAGGCGAAGTGCCGTGGAGGGAAGGAGAGGGGGGTGAGGTACCATTTGAATGCCCTGTGAACTGTCAGCCCCTGTCTCCACGCCATCAGCCCCTGTCTCCACGCCATCCCACCCCTGTGGCATGGCCCTTTAGCCCTCCACAAGATTTATTCCTGACCTTGGAGATGCAGCTGCCACTCTTCTTTCCATGGATGTTGAAGGATTGTCAAGCCAGGACTCAGATTAAACCTGTGCACCCCCCCCCCCCCCCCGCACATTCCCAAGACCATGTAAGAAGGGCATGCCATTGCGCCCTTGGTTTGTGAAGAGTTTATAATACCTTTGTAGTTTTCCTTAAATTTAAATAATGTGATGGAAATCCATGCTGTTTGTCTTGAAATGTTTATGGGTGTTCCAATCAGCATTCTACATCATATAACATTTAAATCACGGTAAATGTGCTTCAACATTTTCCTCAAATACTTCAGGTCAAATACTGCAATCAAACACTGAAATATTGATACAGAAAATAATAACAACATGGAGTACTTATTTTTTTAGCTTTGCTTCTAAATACAAATACAAGTAGCATGCTAATTTTGATCTCTCTGGGGCATCAGAAAATGTTCCAGGGCAACAGAACATTTTCTTATGCAAATAAACTCATGCAATTTAACCTAATTTGCACTGGAACATTTTCCAGTTCAAAATATTCTGGAAAACCCACATCAGTGAATGTGGGATACCTTTAGATCCCTGTTATAGGCTGGATCTGACAAATTGTTCCTGCTTTGAATAATCCCACAAGAAGAAGTCATCCTTGATAACTCCTCTGAGAGATTAATAAGAGAACAAAGTGAAGCTTCAGAAGAACAAGACACTCAAATCTCCGTATTTTTGCTACATAAGCACATTGCTCTTCTTGAAGTAAGCAGTGTAGATAATACCTCAAGGATAACATGACTACATTAGCCTGGGGTAAATTAGGGCAGTCCAAGTTAATAAATACAGTGGGCAAAAGGACTTAGAGAAAAGGAGGTAAAATATCTTTCTCCTTTAATCAAAGAAAAAAGCCTTAGTTCAGCAGGATTAGATTCTTGTCTATCTAATGTTGCATGGTTTACTACAAACTTTTGCACTGTGTCATATTTCCCTTTGTGAAAGCTTGCAAATTAAAATGCATGCAGCATTTTAAAAAATCCACTGAGCAGCGAGCAAATATGGGAGGTTAAAAAAAGGAAAACACTGTCACTTCTTACACCTTCAGTCTGCTTTCAGAAAGTTTTATTTATTTGTAGGAAATAAGGAAGGAAAACCAAGCAAAAGAAAGATTTCCCTGATCTTATGGTTCTGCCATGCTTGCCAGCCCCCAAATTTTATCTGAAATATCAGGTACATTACTTCTGGAATCCCTGTTTGGGAATTTGAAAGTATATTAAAGATCAGGAAGTTATTTCTTCTAGATTAATCTCAGATTCTCCCATAGGCTAGGTGTAGCTTTCTGGACTAGATATTAAAATCAGGAGGAGAGAGATTTTTCTTCAACATGCTGTATAGTACAATAAAGTTTTACAGTTTTAGAAAGAATAAATTCTGACAAGTGCCATTTTCTTTTTCCTTGATAGTTTATTCCATTTCTCTGCAAATTTGTGAAAATCATCTCTACTAGCTAAGAATATGAACACAAAGGTAAGATAGCATCTTCTTTTTAATAATCTATTATTCCATACAGTTTATGCCTCTTGCTAAAAAGAACTTCCTGATGACGCCTGCTGTCTTGGTGGGTATGTATATAATGGCAGGGCATCCCGGCAAGTCCCTACCATCGGTTGCTCCGAAGTGCCAGGCCCTCACAGGGGGCCCAACTGATGCTTGGGCCCTCCATGGCTTCTTTTCTCCGCACCCCCCATACTTCCGGGGACACTGTGGGGATGAATGAGATCCTTCTTTCAGGATCGCGAGCCAATTTTGACTTGCCACAGGCATTGCACCTGAAGTGCAATGGGAGGATGATCAGGCACCCTCGCCTCAAGAAGCAGGGATACCCCATCCAGCCTGCACTGCAGCTGCTGGAAGTAAGCCATGCAAGCAGGAGTGGGGAGCCAGTGACCTGCTTGGCAGGACAGCCCTGAGAAACGCAGCGGCAGTCGGACCCAGTGCCCCTCCACCCCGCCTGGGCCTGAGTGGCTTGCTGTCAGGACAAGCTGTAGGGACAGCCAGCTGGACAGGGTGACCGCTTTGCTGCTTACCCCCGAGCTGAAGCCAGCCCTGCCCCACCCTTGCCAGGTAAGGTTGCTCACTTGTTCTGGGGTTGCTACTCTGGTGGGTTTTGTTCCCTGAGTTCACAAGCAATTGCGGTAAGGAAAAGCTCTAGAAGATTATGATAATTCACAACGGCTGGTCACCATGGCTCAGGTAGGGCAATGCGACATCACTTATCCTTGTTTGCTTGTTGTGTCATACAAACCTGGTCCGTGGCTGCATTCCTGCGTGGTTGCCACATTTTGTGGATTTTTACTATGATTGCTCAACCAGCCCTTAATGGCCCTCTGATTTTGTTTTTCTAAGTCAAGCATCAGCCAGCACAAAATGGTTCGCCAACACTAAGGGGACATCACAGTTCCCTTGCAGTGCCCCCTTGTGGTTGGAAGAGGGACACAACCATCCAAGTGTGACTGATCGCTTCTCAGGCATAGGGGAATTTTACCCACAGTACATGGGTAAAGCTGCTGGAGTGTTAATATGTCATACAAACCTGCCCACTGAAAACTTCACTAGTTTCCTTACAGTTGCTACTGTTCAGGAAAATGATGTAGACTGATGAAACATAATCCCTCATTTCCTAATTAAACTACCAAATTCATTCCATGGTATAGTAGTTGAATCTAGCCTGCAAGTAAGTTCTAATATTTTTTTTTCTTCTCCTACAACACGGCAAGAACAAAATGTACAACAACATGTTTTATATGAAACATTGCTTCATTCATCTTTTCAGCCTCTCCCCCTTCGTCACTGGACAGTCCAGATTGCTAAGAGATCACCTCCAACTCACTGCCGTTGCTTGTACAAAGCGCATGGAATAAACTAACATCAGCCTCTTTGCACTGCTTTAAGAGTTTTGCATTCATCTAGAACAAGGAAGAGAGGCCAAATTTGGCCCCCGGAATTCCCCAGAGCCTGACCCCTTCCTCCCCAGCCACCAACCATGGGGGGTTCTCCTGGCTTTTGTGCAGTTTTCCCTCCTTGTGAAGGTTGAATTGCCTCTTCTAAGACTCGGTTAAGGCAGTGAGGGCAGTGCTGGTGCTTTTATTTTTAATTTTGCTGCAGCCTTTTGTCTTCAGCCCTGGCCACCACCAGAATGTGTGCCTCAAGAATTCAGCCTCCTGACCTAGAATATTGTCTGGGTCCTGAGATACACACTGCTTAAAAAAGGCAGTTCAATGCACAGCAATGTAGCACAAGAAGTTGTTCTCATTTGGCCATTTCCATGTCAGTGAAAGCCTTGTGTCTGGTTAAAGAAAAACATGGGGTTTTATTCGGCGTTAGTCCTATTTAGAATAAAGGCATAGGCTGAAGTAACATTGGATACGCCCCATCTGCTAGGAGCGGAGCCAAGAGCGGGAGACAACTGCACTTTTATTTGGAAATCCCAGAGGGCGTTTGGGAGGAAGAGACTCGTCCTCGGTGCTTTCTGCATCACAGTCTGTTCTTTCCAGGGCAGAAAGGAGAACGTGACAGAGAGGAGCTTTCTCTTGGAGAGCCCTGGTCAAGTTCATCAGTGAGGGATGGGCATTGTGTCAAACTTTTTGAGGAATCTCGTAATTTATTTTTGCTTTGTTTTCAGTATTCATATGTTGTGTACTGCTGTTGCTTAAAATTCTTCTGTTGACCACTAAGATGTTCTCCTTTCTTGTTCTCAGGCACAGTTGTTTGGGGATGCATGGAAAAGGCTAGCCATTATACTGGGCTCGGGTCTGCTCATGTTCATTGCTTTCAGGAATTCGGTCACATGGTAAGCGCAGCATGTCACCACAGCTGCATGATGCATTCTTGGGAAATGGGTTGAGTGCTGAGTAACCAGCTTTCTTGGCTTTACAGGCACCTGCAGAAATTCTGGGGCATCTCTGGCTCCTTCTGGCAGACCCAGTGGGAAAACACCTACCACTTTCTAGGAGGAAACGAATGGGTGATTTTCTTACTAGGTGAGTCATTTTGCATCGAGGTCAGATCTTGTAGGATAAAGTTATATGCTATCCATGACAGTGTCTCTAGTAGAATTATCTCACCTGTACCACCCCATCCCAAAAATCTCCCAATAATGGGACACCCACCATGAGAAGCAGTGGTGTATCTGGGTAATTTCAGACCTTAGACTTAATTGTCTTATGCCTCCCCACCCCATTTCTTTAAATGGCTGTATGTATCACTTCAGTTGTGAAACACACAACATCTCTTCCTTCACACTTGCTGTTCCAGGCTTTACAATTGCTTATCCTTTTCTGATCTATTAAAACGGCAGCAACAGCAACAACAGTATCTGTTTGCCAGTTCTAATTAAGAAAGTACCAAGTATGTACAGAGTTGCAATTTAAACTCATTTAAATCACAGCTCCATCAAATAGGAATAAAACGGAGTTAATTTGTGCTGCCCTGAGGCCCTCATCCCCTGCTACTCTCAGCATAAGTAACGGGGGCACAGTGGAGGGCCTTTGGCACTGGTCCCAAGCTCCAGCCCCAGCTGCATCGCTGTTGGTGAGCCCCTGTTGGTAACCAAAGGTTGCCGGCATCAGGTTGGACAGCATCCGTTGTGAAAACAACTGGGACCATGCAGTGACCATCAAGAGAACAAGGCTCAGAGACTGTGTTGTCTGCAGCCTCTGAACTTCTGGTGGCGTTTTATAAACCATGGACTGTCCAGATGTATTTGCAGATGATGAATAGGGTGGGTAGAATGAAGGGCTCCTGCTTCAGCACCCTCAAGTCCAGGCTTTGCTGCCAAAACTACCCCAACAGCAGTGGTGACAATGTTGTTTGAGCAAGAAGCTTTTTGCTTCTGTTTTCTCATATGCCTCAGCCAGAATACAGGCTCAAATGTTACACCTGGCATTGTCCCTGAGTTCGTATCTGCATGTCTCAACTCAACATTCTCTCAGGAGGCATGAGATGTTTTGTTACAGTGCATTCCTCTCAAATGCACATGAACATTTCCTCATTACTTCTGCAAGAGTTGGTAATTACATGAAAGACAGAACAGACACAGGGGCTGAATGCCGTCCAGTCACAAGTCAGGGAGCAAGGCATACACGTTTGCAGATCTTAATTCTTAAAAGAACAAAGAACACCATGGCCTGTGCAGCCTGCTGCAGGAAAGAACAGGAGGGGCAAGAGCCCCATTCTGAAAGAAAAGGAAGAGAGCCTGTAAGGCTGGGCCTCTCTTTGTCGCTCTTCCAGTAAGGCTTGACTCTTGCTGTTGCGTAGATGCAGGTGTGGTTGCTTGGTGAGCTGTGGTGAGCCTTCCGCGTTGAAACCTTGCCTGCTTGCACTGTTGGCTCCCTAGTTTCTCTTATGGAGAGGGGAGGGGTCCCTTGCATGGGTGAGTAAAGCGTCCTGTGTGTCCTTACCACATCACTCTTGTTTCATTGCACTGGGCCTCTTAGGCATTTTAATCCAAACTAAATCTCTGCCATCCACCTTTTATTAATCCCATCATTTTAGGACACGTACTGGGAATGTTGTTTCTCCTTCCTTTGTGCATCTGCTTAATCTCTTCTAGACAGCTAGACACTGTCAGGCTTTAATTAATTCTTATCTTCACCAGAAGGTAATGATAACTCTCTTAATGAGTTGTAGTCAACTCATTCTGTTTTCCGGTAGCAAAAGTCACTCCAACTCTCTGTCATCCATTTTCCCAGCATACTTTAACAACTCTCTGGTTCTCTTGAGATGCTTACCTCTTCTTCTTGTCTTCCTTTTCAAAATGAATCGTATCAAAACAAATTCCATGTACAATATAATAAGGAAAGGAAGCTAAAGCTGCCAATCGCATACTGCCCTTGTACAAATCTATGATGTACAGTGTACAGTTCTGGTCACCACTCCTAAAAAAAGGATATTGCAGAACTGGAAAAAGTGCATGAAAAGATAACTAAGGACTGATCAAGGACTAGAGCAACAGCCTTATGAAGAAAAGTTACAACAGTGGGCATTGTTTAGCTTAGAAACAAGGCAAGTGAGAAGAGACATGATTAAAGGGTAGAAAATTATGCAAGATGTGGAAAAAGTGGGTAGAGAGATGTTTTTTCTCTCTCATAATACTAGAAGCTGTGGTCATACTATAAAAGTAACTGATGAGGGATTTAGGACAGACAAATGGAAGTACTTCTTCTCACAGTACATAGTTAACTATGGAATTTGCTACCCCAAGATGTTGTGCTGATCACCCATTTGAAAGGGGATGGGACAAATTCATGGAAAAGAAGGCTATCAATAGCTACTAGCCCTGATGATGATATGCTATGTCTGGGTCAGAGACAGTAAGCCTACGTATCCCCATTGCTGAGGAAATTGGGCCTTAGGATGCTGTAGCACTTCTGCCCTTCTTGTGGGATCCCATGGGCAACTGCTTGGCCACTGTGTCAGCAGAACGCTGGGCGAGATGAACGCGGCTCGAATCCAGCATGGTACTTCATATGTTCTTATAAAGAGGTTTGATGAAATCACAAAAAGCATCTGTCATAATACAAGTATATTATGGACTATAAAGCCTCAGGACCATGCATAGTGGTTTCTGAAACCATAACTGGTTGCTCAAGTAGTAGCCAGGATAATGTGTATTCTTTCATGGATCCTTATAGTAGCGTCATCCCAGTGCCAAATTTTACTTTTGTTGGTTACTCCATTCAAACCATATCTGTGATAGTGGCCTTACTTCTCCACTTTGTTCCTGCTCTTCATATCCCTTTCTCATTTGGGCAGTCCTGAAGAGGTCTTCAGTTTGAGAAGTGCATATTATAATCATCATGGATTGAAGTTTCATTTTGGCTCTCTCTGATGCCTATGGGAAGTCCATTTGCAAGGCATGAGAACCTTCCCTGTTTCTGGTTCCCAAGAATCATTGCATACTCCCTTGGATCCTGCAAGAAGCATTCAGAAAGCCACAATGAGTAGATAAACTTTTGTCTGGCCACCTTTAAAGTTGTCAAAGTGGGTGGCTATCAGTGCATCCCTGGAAGGAAACACCAAAGTTAAACTATGTGCAGTACAAAGAAGTGCTTTCATCTGGCTATCCTGAATCTACCCTTATTGAACTTCATTGGATGACTGCAGGTCCCAGTATTGGGAGTTAGACAGAAAATATTTCTCTAGCCATTTCACAACTTATGCACAACTAATCATCTTCCCACTTACCATTTCTTCTGAAGTAGATATTACATAAATTTTGCTCAACCTTTCCTCATAGGTTGTCCAGTTCTACAATATCCTTTTGGAGGTATTGCAATCCAAAGTGTAAGAAGTATTCCAAGTCTATACCATACATTTTTATATATGTAGATTTATTTCCAGTCCCTTTCCTAGTTTTTGCTAACATGGAATTTGCCTTCTTCCCAGCTGCTATACAGTCAACCTTTTCATTGAGCTATCCACTAAAGATCCTTTTCTTGAGATGCTGCCACAGCAGACATTTACCACGGGGCTACCATGTCTTGTTCGCTGACGGTCTATGGGCTTGTACACAGTGTTGTCGTGGAACTGCTATCCTCTGTGTTTTCTTTGTGGTTCTTTCTCCTTTTCTCAGACTTCAGAAAAATTGGCCTATTGTTGTTAGGAATGGAACTGAAGTGGTGTAGGGAAAAGGTTCAGTTGAGGCACCGGGCAAGAGGAACGGTCCCTTGACGACGTGTTGGATTTCCTGTTTGCTGTGCCGTTCTGCAATGACTCTTCCTCCATTACCTTTCAGTGGAGGTCTGCTGACTCTCATGTGCTACTGAGGGGAGGAGCAGTTGGGAATATTTATTCACCGTTTTTGTGTCCAGTTTGAAAGTCGCCATTGGCAATTGCTCTCCACCTCCTTCCTTCCCACAAGAAGCTTACAAGGGCCCAAGATTTGCATTCACTATAAACAGTGTCTGTGACCCCTTATTTATACAGGCCTAGGAAGTTACACTGGAAGTTTGCATGAGACAAATCAAAAAACCCTCACCTGGCCTTAGGCTCTAGAGAAGAGCTTCCGGCTAGAGCATGATGGGAATTGCGGTCCAGCACATCTGAAGGACACCAGGTTGAGAGAGGCTCTATTGAGTCATGCCCACTGTATGGACAGAAGATCACAGATGCACATGCAAAAAATGGGCTGTACCCCTTGCCTGGGGACTTAGTTACAATTCTGGTTGTAGCAGGAAGCAGAATTTGCAGCCACGAAAGAGGACTTTAAAGGCTGTCTGGAAGCACCCCTGGCTAATCACCACCTCAGAAGTAATATTTCTAAAATTGAAATTGGGACTCCCTCTGCCCCACCGATGCTCGTCACATCACATATACGTACCCTGAGCAGTGTCTGCCATTTTGTGACCCATTCGCCCAGTTTGGAGCTCTGTATAACCACTTTTTGTGTTTACCACCTCAGCTTCCTCACTTTCTCGAAGTATTTGAAAAGTCCCAGTCATAATACAGGACCAGGAGAGGAGGACACTCCTTACATCCCTCTGCTGTGATTGTGGAGGAATGATGCTTGTGTGGTTACCACCAGGCGCCCACCCACATCCTCTTCTTCCGCTGCAGCCACCTCGATAGTTCCTGGGCTTGCTTTCTGGGGCTTCAATGGAATCTTGATGGTAGCAGATCTGACTGGGAAGCCAAATTTCATCACACGATACCGAATTCAGTTGGGGAAGAACGATCCCGTAAGTAAAACACATCACCCTCCCCCAGGAGCCTTTTTACCACTGCCAGAAGATGAATTCTACAGTTTATTTAAAACTCAGTGAATTTAGATAGTATTTCTCTGGCTTGCATCTAATGTTAAGCTGATGGGAAAATGATAAGGGTTGGCATTGTTCTACTAGTGATTGTATAGAACTCTTAGAACTAACAATACCTGACCTACGGAGGTTGCAATGAGCTGTGCTACTTCATGAAATGTGTTGCAAGACACCTTGTGCAACACTGTATATGATTGCATTAGATTTAAACCTGACAAAAGGATAAACATTTAATAAAAATTAAAAGCTTTGTGCTAGCCTAATGCCATCATTAAATTAGATAGGTTTTTCTTTTTTATGTCGTTATTTTGATCGTGCCCTTCTTCAAAGGAGCCCAGGGTGCTCCTGCTCTGTGCGGTGGCTTTGACTGGAGAGACAGTGACTGGCTCAGGTCACCCAGTGCATTCCGTGGCTCCGTGGAAAGTGGTGCCCTGCTCTCTCCCCCTCTGCTCTGCACGCCTTGTCCCAGTTTGCCCTTGGCCACCACCCATGGCTTGTGGGGAGTGAGTGCGCATGTGGCCTTCTGCCCACGCGTTGCTTCTGCATCATTCTGGTTTCTGCAAACAACATACGAACCCAGAACACTGCCTTGTCGAAGGGAAGCGACCCAGAGTTTTAACCCATGGTTTTTTACATCAAACTCTTCCTTGTTTCTCCCTCAACAACTCCGGATTGTAGCTTCACATGTCACGATCATCCCAGGAAGGGGGTATTCTTGGGTTGTGTACAAAAGCGGGAATGATGCAAAAGAAGCAAGCAAGTACTCACTCAATTCTGCACGGTCCCAACTACCTGGATTGTTCAATGCCTAGTTGGGCATCATGCCTGAACCAGCTCTATACCTCACTATAGTATATGAGAAAAGGACTGGATTAAAAGTCATGGGTCCAGTTTCCAGATATTCTGTGGTTCGGTTTGCATCACTGGATTCTTCCACATGCCCACAAGTGGAGGTACTTACCTGTGCAGAAAGAAGCTAACTGGAATGCAGCTATAATATAAAGGACTGATGGTCGTGAGCACTCTGGGGCAAAGTTTAGCCTCTAGGTCCCAGAGGAGTTTGCCTCTAGTTACAAAAGAACCACAGAAGAGGTACAAATTGGGTTGGACTTAATTCCATTTGTTGAGGGCAAAGTAACTGCTGCATATCAGCTTTTAAGCAAGATCTAGAAGTGTCAAACCAGATTGATAGTACTTACTTGCTGGTGCCCAATAAGTCCCAAATAAACTAGAAGTCATTTTAGCCCTCTGTTCTGTTCTTGCACTTATGCTAATCTTCTGCTGTATTTTGAAAGAATGACTTTGACCCATCATAACAAATAACATTCTTGCTGTTTGTTTTTGCAACACAAATTTGGTAGACAGCCAGGAGAACAACACACCACTAGACTTATCCACCTGAACAGGTTGGATTGCCAAAAGCACTGGTTTTGTAAGGAAAAAATGGGAAACCTGCTCTCCATTCTAAAACTTAGGAAAACTCATACCAAAACCAATCACCAACAATCTGCTAATAATTAATGCCTATGTTGTAGAGTTGTACTGATATATCTTTGGTGCTTAAAGAAGCACCAGAAAGCAGCCAAAAGTACAATAGAATCAAATACACAAGACGACACAGCAGTGAGGTCAGTCAGATCAGAGGCTTTGCTGAAGGAAGCTGCTGTGCAGATGAAGCTGGCCGTGGGGGGAGCAGCCTTCCAGACTCTGGCACACGCAGGTGGGTTCGCCTGCCCTGCATCCTTTCCACAGTGGGAGAAGGCACAGAGCCGGCGGAAGGGCTTTGCTGGGTGAGCACCTTCTCTGATGGGAGAAGGCAGCAAAGAGTTGGGAGATCACTTCTGCCGATATGCCTGCCAGGAATGGAAGGATGTCAGGGCAGGGGGCACGGTCACATCCCCGATGCCTTTTGGTCCATGGAGGAAGGCACCGGCCCTGCCCTGATCTAGCCCAGTATTGTCCACACGGATTGGCGGCAGCTTTCTGGGATTTCAGAGTGGGTGGTTTTCCTAGTCTTAACTGGAAATGCCAAGGATTGGGCCTGGGAGTTTTGGCACACAAGGCGTGCACCCCGCCTCTGAATGATTCGCTTTGCATTCAAGGAAGAAATGCTGCCAGGTTTCCTTAGAAGCAGGGTGGAGACAAGTCTCATGGTGTGCAGATGGGAACACACCTCTTTCTCTTACAGCGCTCATAGATAAGCATGCCTTTGCTGGCTGGAGAGATTAAGTATTGCGGGTAACAGGAGTTCCCAAGTTATTTATAGCTTACCCTGTGACAGAGCCTTGGAGCTTTACTTCACATAGCAACCCATGCTAAAGCATTGCCTCGGGCCCCTGCAGTCACCGATCCAGGCATTTCTGAATTAAATGCCTCACTTTCCAGCCTAGGAAACTTATAAAATGGCTTTAGAAGAGCTTTCAGAAAAACAGAACTGTTACATTAGGGCACAGGTTCCAGAGAACTACTTTAGGTGATGGGATTTTTTTAAAAAAGCTGTGCATGGCCATCCATAGTGCAGGATCACCACCAGCCTTTCAGGTTCTGTCGGTTTTGAAAGGGTTTTGTCACAGGATGGGAAGAGGCCGCTGCTGTTGGAGGCTCAAGTCCAAAGGCCTTCTGGGGATGCAGAGCAAGCGCTGGAGAAGCTTGATTCTTCCCCTGAAACACCCCTGTCCAGCTTCTGCCATGTGTCGTTGGATATGTGTTTACTTAAAAAATATGTGCCTGAGACCCGAGCAGGCCTGATGGAAACAAAGAGCTTTATCAGCAGTGTAGCTTCTGGTGTGCTGGTGCCCAGCACCACACCTGCCCCACCCCCACAAGCTCTTCTGCTGCCAAGATGCAGTTATTTTCCAAACTAGCTTTGCAGTGTTGTTTCTGGCACCTGTGCCCACCAAAGCCATGCATTTCAGCCAAGCAGTAGTACGAATTTACAGATAGCAGTGGCTTGAATGCTTTCTTTTCTTCTGTCTCCTCTTCTTCCTTTTGCTTCCTCTTACTTATTTTAATGGGATTTTGAAGAGGAACCCTTTCCTGCCCGTGCCTCCTTTGTTTCTCACTTGCTTTCACATGGCTGCCCAGCAAAATGGCCCCTTGCCACTGTCAGCACTGAAGAAAGAGCAGGGAAGAAAAGGAGGAGGCGAGAGACAGGGCAGCGCAGTAGGAAGGGGTTGCTTTCCTGGACCTTGCTGTGCAAGTGAGAAAGGAAGTGCGCACGGGGGCGGGGGGGCGTCCCTGACAGTAAGCAAGCCTAAGGCATGGACAGTGGAAGAGGAGGAGGCTAAAACGGCTCTGAGGCAGTTTCTGCACATGTACCTTTTCTTCTTAATTTTTTGGGGGGTGGACTTTTGACTACAAGCTTAAGCATGAAATTAAGTCGGGGGGCCCTCCCCATCCCTCCCTCCTTTCCAAACCTGTAGAAAGGAGACAGAAGCAATTCAATTCACTGCATATTCTTCCTAGACTATTGGGCCAAGAAGGGGAAAGGGTTTGCCTCCTGTGACTGCTAAGAAACTGCTAAGAAAGGATGCACATTTGTAAAAATAATCCCCCCCCACCCGTGTGTGTGTGTGTGTGTGTGTGTGTGCGCGCGCGCGCGCATGAAATAACAGCTTTATTTGGTCCAGGTTTTCTCCTTGCATCCTCTTACAGTGTAGAAACTTCCTTTCAGATGGCAGTTGCTTCTACAAATTTGCCTTTTTCCTAAATGTCCCCCAAGGCCCCTGCCTTTTAACACACACAACTAACCTGAGGACTAAAGGAGAAGAACTAGAGGTCTTCTAGGGGAAAGGAAAAGCCAGTCTAGCTCTTGAGTCCACAGGCAAGGCTCACAAGCGTTGCGGTGCTGGTATCGCACAAGGATCTGGATTGGGACCAATGCTTTTCAACGTATTCGTATTTGCTCTAGAGTTAGGAGTGAGCAGCAGCATTTGTTGATAATGATACCAAATTGTTCAGGGTGGTTTAAACAGGAGTTCCAAAAGGGAACATAGGCATCAAAATAAAAATTGGCTTCTATGTAAGCAAGGGTAAAGTGATGCACCTTGGGATGATAAAACCCCAAGTTCACGCATCTGAGGTAGCAGTGAAGGACTGAGAAAGAACTGGGGCTTATGATAAACAGCTCAATGAAAGTTCCAATCCAGTGTGTGGCTGCTGTGAAAAAGCCAGGCCCCATGTTAGGCATATTTAGGAAAGGAATTGAAAATAAAATTGTCAAACTCACACTTCCCTTGTACAAATCCATGGTGGGACCATACTTGAAATATTGTGCACTGCACCAAAAATGGATTTTGAAGAGTTGGAAGAAGTACAGAAAAAGGCGACGAAAATTATCAAGGGGCTGAAGCACCTTCCGAAGGAGGAAAGATTACAACAGCCAACAAAAGAGATTCATGATAGTGGTGTACAAAATGATGCATTGTGTGGAGAAAGCGAATGGGGAGACACTTTTATAATGGCAGAAGCTGGGTTCATCTCTTGAAAGTGACTGGTGGGAAATTTGGGACCAATGGAAGGAAGCGCTTCTTCACACAATATATAGAAAGCCAGGATGGCAGAGTGGTTAGCATGCTGGACTGGGGACCTGGGAGATCCATGCTCTAGTCCCTGCTCAGCCATGAGGTTCACTGGGAGACTAGCCAGTCAATCACTCTCAGCCTGACCTGCCACGCAGGGTTGTTATGAGGATAAGAATGAAGCTGTGCATTCTACCTTTGGTTCCACACAAGAGGAAAAAAGCTGGGTTATTAATACAATATAATAGTAGTAGTAGTTCCACTATGGAGTTCACTGCCCCAAAGTCTCCAATCCTGATGCTTTTAAAAGGGAATGGGACCCATTTCTGGAGAAGGGTATCATTGGCTAGTCCTGATGGCACTTTACTCTCTCCAGTATCAGAAGCAGTGAGGCTATGGGCATCCGTTGCTGGGGAACTTGGGTGGGAGCGTGTTGTTGCAGCTGACCACTGTGTGAGCAGAATGCGGGATCGGAGTCCTCTGTTTTTCACGGGCTGCTCGTGCAGAGGCAGTGCTGCTCCATTTTTCGATAGAGGTTCATTTGTCTTCCAGGTTGACCGAGAAAAACTACTCCACGCCATCCGCACGGTCCTGTTCAATCAACTTGTCGTATCTCAGCCCATCTTGCACCTTACCTTGCTCATTATGAAATTGAGGACCGACCCGTGCAGCCTGCAGCTGCCCACTTTCCACTGGTTTCTTTTTGAGCTGGCCACCTTTACTCTGATAGAGGAAATTCTTTTCTATTACTCTCACCGGTAAGGCAAACTTTACCGCAAAAATAGCAAATCTGGATCTCTCCTGCATTGCCTGGGTCTACTGACTTGGCCCATCCTGCTTCCAAAAGTAATTCCTAAATATTGCAAGAAGAAAATGATAGTGCGATGGATGAATAACATGGCCCCTTGCTTCTCCTTCTTCCCGTGTAGGCTCATTCATCACCCTATCCTGTATAAGCACATCCATAAAAAACACCACGAATGGACTGCTCCTGTGGGCGTAGTCTCGCTGTATGCGCATCCAGTAGAGCATGTGGTAAGTAGCACCGCAAGCAGAGAAGAAGCTGTTCGAGGCACGGAGGGTCTTCCTTCCTCTCGCAACATCTCATGGCACACAAGCCTCCCTGCAACTGTAACTGCAGAAATGGGTCCCCAGGAACAGGGCAAGCTTCATGCCGGGAATTTCCTAAACAGGAAACAATTAGCCCAACTGCTGCTGAGATAAAAGGCCTGCGAGCTCTGGCAAGCCCCTCATCATGTGCGGATCAGGTTTGTTGTAGTCGTCCTCCTGTGGGGGGAAAACTCAAAGGGTAACAGAAAGGCGGAAAGAAACACATGCATCTCGTCCAGTCTCATTTGCTGCCAGGACTGTGAGAAAAGGAGTTGTTGTACTTCCCAAGGAATCTTTCCGCTGAGATTGTGACCAGGTTTGCATGGCAGAACAGCCCAGCATGCACGACAAGCATGGTGGATTGTCATGTTGTGCCAGTGTAGACCATTCCCCCCATGGTGGCCTGCTCACAGGCAACGAATAACCCTGGAGAGCCAGGATGCAATGTACCCTTGATGGTTTATCATGTTGGCTGTCCCTGGGCAACTGGCCCCATCATGCGTCCTGGAAAGCAACTAGCCAGCACTTGCCCAGAGCAGGGATCTCCAGCCCCACCCCACTGTGCGTACAAAGCTTGCCAATGCCTCTGGTACCAGCTGGTCCTTGGACATCAGTGGAGCGGCTGGCACTGCCCCCAGGCTGCCACCCCCACTGTGGACAGAAGCCTTCCTGGGCCCCCTCCAGCTTCCTCCCCACCTTCTACCCAATTCTCTTTTTGGAGAGCACAGAAGAGATCTCTGATTAGACAGCTAGTGATAGCCCTGAGCCAAATAGACATGAGTTTAACCCTGTATCTCATGGCTATGTCCTTTTTATTTAGGTATACAGGGTCCAATCTGGATCGTCAAAGCCCCCTGCCCCACACATTAAGGCCTTCATCAAAATTTCCCCCTGCACCTACTCTAGAGTAACAAAGAACAAGATGAGGCTGCTAGACATGAATTTAAAATAATGTTTGTTTTGGTCCTGAAAGAGCACCTCTGAGGACCCTACTTGACAGCAGGGTGTGTCAAATTGAGCTGTTGCCTCCAAGGAAAAAACATGTTTCAGGATGTAGAAATAATAACAACAATCCATCACTCAAGTTTTATTGCAAGGTTGACAACATGATCCAGTTAAGCAAGGCTAATCCTGCAAGGCCCACTACAGTCGCACTTCTCACAAGAGCTGTCTCTGCCAAGGCATGGGCCTCTGACTTGCAAGGCCAAATCAGCCCTTGCGCAGTGTCCCAAAATACCCCCCTGAGCCCTACAATTTACTGTAGAAAACAGTTCCCGACAGATGAAGGTTTGCACAATACAAGCATAGCCAACTGCTATTGAAAATGCTTCTTTTGCTTCCTATAAAACCTAATACTTCTGAAAACATCTCAAGCAGGCATTTTGTTCTCTCTCTCTAGGGATAGAGAGGTAAAAACAGAATGATGATACTAGATCTCTTTGACACCCCCCCCACTTCTCCCCCCCCCCCCCAAATATATATCTTAAGGCTAGATTGGGATAGGGTAGGGTCAGGCTTGGAGACAGTGTTGTCATAGAAAATAAGCAAAAGTCCTTTTCTACTGAAAGGGCCCAGTCTGAAACTTGCGATGTCGTTGTTAGAACCACCAAGAATAGCTTTAGATGGGGTGGGGGTGGGGTGGGGAGAGACACCAAAGCAGCACACTGAGACTCCGTGCTGCAACTCTGTCAGGAACTGGGCTGCTCAGGGCTCCATCTAGTGGCCAGAACCAGAATGCCTACCTCAGTCTTTTCAGGTTCAGCCCCCAAGCCTGCTGGAGGTCTCAGCGAAGTCTTGGGCAAAGAGCTAGATACGCAAGACGAAGCTCTTCCTTCCTGGATGGGCCTCAGCAACACAGGTTTTCCTGTTTGCTGCAGTGCCTGCATTGCTCTAGGTATCCCGCCTTGCTGTCACACCTCAGCAATGCAGCACCTCGCCCCGGCTGTGCTATGGGTCAGCACCTGGCTCTTGCTGCATCCGTTTCTTGCCATGTCCTGTCTCGCTGTGCCTCCTTGGCAGCACAGGGCCTCCTGGGAGCTGGGGTTTGGTCCAGCTTCTGCACCTTGCCTGATCTGCTTCCTGTCCCAACTTGTTGGCCCGCTTAGTCATGTTGCCTTAGCAATGCAGGTTTTTCTGCTGGCTGCAGTGCAGCTCCTGCTTCTTGCCTGACCCTTGCCATGTATCCTGCCTTACCCTGCCGCCTCAACAGTACAGATCTTCCTGCTAGCTGTAGCATGTTCCTGCCTCACCTTCACCTGATGCAGTTCCTGGTTTGTCCTGCCCCCGCCATGGCTCGTTTGCCACACCTTCGCTGCTCCTGGACCCTGTCGTTATCCTGCCGCAAGGTGCCTGCTCCCTGCTTTTGATGTCTTTTGGCTGCTTGACCCTTGGCTTGCTCATGACCATATCCTTATCTTGCCCTGATACATACTTTGAGTTCCTGACCTTGGCCTGTTCTGTGACCATGACTTAAGACTTGCTATTGAACCTTGCTATTGAACTTTGGACCCTGTATTGCCCAGGTCCTGGTACCTCTGCCTTGTCTCCAGCCACACCTTTGCCCCTGACATTTTTTGCACTATGTGGGAATGGCCAAGGGCAGATTCCATGTTGACAGGCAATACAAAGAATTCAAGAATAAAAGAATTCAAGAGCTGAGACTTGTCCTTTCTGGGTGTTTGGCCTGAGTCCAGACATCCCAGAATGCCTGATTGGAACGGGCTTACCTGTCCTCCTTTCTTTGTTGAAGCACTAGCAAGTGGGCACCTTCTAAGCACCGGGGTTTACTCTGCTGATAGAAGTTGTAGCAGACAAGAATTGTAGAGGTAATGGTTTTTGCCTTAGGCTGCTCAAATGTGATACTGAAACTCCAGTAACCCAGCTTAGAATGATTTTTAACACTCCTTGGCAAATATTACTTTCTGGATCCATATATGTCCACCCTTTTGAGTACTGTGTTTATATTCCAGGTTTCCAATATGCTGCCTGTGATTACTGGCCCAATCCTTCTAGGATCACATGTAACTTCGATGATGGTGTGGATCTCTCTTGTCCTTCTGACCACCACAGTCTCACACTGTGGCTATCATCTACCTTTTCTGCCCTCACCGGAATTCCATGACTTCCATCATCTCAAGTAATTCCAGTCCTCTTTTTGAAGGGATACATTTTAATAACTCTCATGATGGGGGATGGAATCAGGAAGGGAGGGTGGTACATAACATTTTCATCCAGTCAGGAACTATTTTTATGGCCTTATCATAGCACACAATGAGTGAAAAATGAAAAACAAACATAACTTCCAAGTGAGTCTTCTAGATTAAAGCCATTGCACTCTGCTGTTAAGCATTTATTCTCCTGATCCCACCTAATTTCATACTTTAAGAGCCACCATGCTGGATCAGACCGTAAGTCCGGCATTCTGTTCACACAGACACCAACCAGATACCTACAGGAAACTCACAAGCAGGACATGAATGCAGGAGCATCATTCTGGTTGCACACTGGCATATCACCTCTGATCCCGGAGGTAGCATCAGGGCAGCAGAAATGGCCAGCTGCTGAGGGCAGAGGTTCAGGAGGGCTCCTCCCTGCTTTTGCTGCAGCTGCCACCATCCTGTTTTACTTCCTGGTTGACCCTGCTATGGCCATCTGTGGGCCCATTTAAAAAAAAGTTACCTTTGAGTGGAGGCTATGTAGAATAATTACATACTGCCTGTATGGACATAGCAGCTACATAAAGATTATTCTGTGACCTCATGGACTCCATAAATGCAGGTTCTCATTAGTTTAGATCACTGCCACTCCAAAGGCAAGGAAAGTCTTGGTGAAGTATGTGAATAGGTGTCTCATCCCTTGGCTGATGGCTGCAGTGCTTTGCTAGTAGTACAAGACCAGCAAGGTGAGCAAAGCAGGAGTCACCTCCAGGTTAAAAAAAATCCCCAGTGGGGGTGGGCGTGAAGAGTATATTTACGTATGAAATGATTACTGCACAAGCTCATTCCGAGGCACATTTTCTGCACCTTCCTGAGCCAGTGCTTTGGACCTGGGTTTAGGGATGGTTGAATGCAAAAGGTTCTAGGGAAAAATACAATAGATCCTGAAAACCTAGAATATGACCAGGCCTGCACTGTGCAATGTTTACTATTAATGTCCATTTTCCCATTTTTCTCCAGATTCAATCAGTGCTATGGGGTCCTAGGGGTGCTGGACCACCTGCATGGAACAAACACATTATTCAAGCAAACAAAGGCCTATGAGAGACATGTTCTCCTGTTGAACCTCACACCTCTCACAGAAAGCATCCCTGACCCGCCCAAGAAAGTGGAATGACCAGCTTACTCTTTTGTCCATCATCCGGATAAACATGAGAATCAGAGGGTTATACGAAATTTCGAAGGAGGCACTTGATCATTGAGAGAGTGTACAAGTTCTCAATTTCCATTAGTAGGAAAGAATGCTCAACCTATGTTATGTTCTTTGAATGGAATCAAGATGACATCTGTAGAACACCATGTGTCAAAAAAGTGGCCATGACTGGATAAAAAAGAAAACCCAAATTATTGGACTGCAGTATTGTAGAGGTGAGGTTGACTGTACTTACAGAAAACCAATTACTATCACAACATTCAGAAATACCCCTAGTCAAACACAGAAACAAATTTAAGGGCTGTTCCACTCTCAGAAAAAAGTAGTTGGCCTTGGCAGAGTTGGTTCATGTATAACAGCTGCAAAGCATGGATAATCTACCTGATTTGCTGTTGCTTTTTTGAGCATTCAGCCCCTAAATGGGACACTACAGGTTGAACAAGTCACAGTTAATCTGGCTACTAATTGCAGGTTAACTGTATTGGGATGTAAAATAAATCCTAGTCACAAAGGTACTATAAAAATCACCTTTTTGCTGAGTGACAGGGCAACTGTAGAAATGGGAGTAAAGGCATAAATCTTCAGGTACCACCCCTCTGTCAAAGACTTCCAGGAAAGAGATGGCTGAATGAAGAACTAGTTAGCACAACCAGAGAGATCTCTATGGGGTCCATCCCCTTATACCAAGAAAAACTGCAATTAGTAGTGGTACTCATTTGGTGACCATAGCACAAAAGACAAATGGATCTAGTAACATAACTGGAAAGCACTTGTGCTTTGCTTTCATGTTTGGCCCTCATACATTCACATTTCAAATTGAGCAAAAAACACCTATGTTAAAAATAGCCCTAACACAAAAATAACTCATTTTGGCAAAAGGCTGGAGTTAGACCGCTTTGACATTCAAGTTTCTATCCCTAGGGAATTTCTTAGGGAGGTCCATTAACATACAAGAGTCTCCAACTACAGTCTGAAGTGGTATTTGAGTTAATTCTGGGGGGAAATGACTGAAATAACTCTGGCAGCCAGCAATCTTACTGAGGTGAGAAAGCAACAAGGCATTAAAACTTGGAGTTGCCACTAAATATAAAAGCTGGATGTTAAGCTCCATCATGCTGGCAAAATTGTGGCCCACTTACTGGTGCTGGTGTGTATCATCACATTTCCCTGTCCCATATTCCACATCTGTGATTGGTCAAAGAAAAATAGAAATGAAAGCATACAAACTACATGGTCTTTTGAGGTTTTTATTTTTATACATTTTTGTATTAAAAAGGAAAAAGCATAATTACCACAAATTACAAAGGACTAAAGCACTACTAGAATAATGAGTCACATCAGCCTAGAAAGCAGATACTCTGAATAATATTACTGTTTATAATACAGGCTCTCATTCAAGTATTTTACAGTTTTTTCCTCTTCCTTCCCCTCCCCCCCACCCCAATGTGATGATGATCCTAGCACATGGGTTAAGAATTACATACTATTAACAGGAGATGGGATTGTGTACGGTGGGCCATACTAACAAGATCTTTCCCTCCCAGGTGATATATGGTAACAGTTGGTTTAAAGTTTTCCAAGAATAAATACAGCTGAAAGTGATTACAAACACTTTTGGGGTTTTGTTTTTAGCAAAAGGGGTGAAGTTGGAGCACACACATACACATACATGCGCACACACATTCTCTCTCACTCATTCACTCAGGGAGAGCAAGAATACCAAACAGATGTTCTTTTCTACTGTGACGAAGTTATAAGACATCTATACAAAACAATCATTGCATCTTTTGCCAGTTGCTCATCCAATTTTTTTTTAGCAGCTTAATACAGACTTTACACGAATGAAACTCCAACCCTCACCATTTAAAGCTCAATGCTGACTTCCAAGTCACAGTTTCACAGGCTGCATATCCCAATCATCACATAGTGCACTACTGCAGGGACAAGCCAACAATGAGAGAGGTTGAAGAGGAGACAGCCAATCCTGCTCCACAGCCACGTAATGCTACAACAGGAAGGCTTTGGTGGGCAAAAGCTTCTGCTAAGGCCACTGATATTCCTAGCCAAGTAATGTCAGTGGCTCAGGCCACCCTGCTGAACCAAGATTCTGGGAGGGAGAACAAATAGATACAGGAACCAATTCTGGGAGGGAGAACGAATAGATGCAAGAACCAATATCATTAAGGAAATAAACAAAAAGAGGGCAACCGAAGGCCAGACTTGGCAGAACAAGTCTAAAACCATACAGCAATGGTTAAGCCCTTTACATGCCCTTTACATGCTTCCAACCATAGGGTGTCCTCATCACAGATACATCGGTCCTATGTTCAAGTGTCTTCAGAAAGTGAAAATGTAAACGAAATGTTATCCTTAGAATTATTTAAAAACAAAAACTTTGTCCAAACCCATGTTACTGAGATGAAATTGCCCACCACCCCCCATAAAACCACTCATATATGAAATTGATTTAAAAAAATAACTGAGGCATTTAACAATGTAGCTACCCATCCCTTCTAAAAACCTAGCTGATTTTTTAAAAGTTATTGACACATCTATGTTGTAGAAGAGGATCCATATGGAGAGATAATAGAGCACGGCAGAGTTTGCTGCATTAACAGATTTGATTGTTTATGCTTAACCAAAAGAAAAACAAGGCTTGAATGATGCCTCCCATCCCATCCCTCTATTTTAAACACACATGGCAGAATAGTGAGGTTACTGTGTCATATGCTAAACATAGAATCAGCCAACAAACCAGAAGCAAGATGGGAAAGTACAGAACTTTGAACAAACACAACTGCAAAGGTGGGAGGAAGAAAAGGAAGGGGTAAAAGGGGGTAGGACAGACAAAGCACCAACACTTACTACTAATAAAGGTCACTTTCACTGACCATCCTAAACCAGTTTTTACACCCCTCATTAAGACTTGGATGTAAGGATGTTAGGACACCAGCTATCCAGCATGGCAAGACAAAGGTATCTTCTGCCTATGATAGGAAAGCTTTAGTGTTCCCAATGGGAAACACAAGCTATGTGTTTTAATGGTAGCCTCAGACATTAGGCAACAGCAGATAGCTTTTACAACACAACTAAGAAAAAATGCTTCTCAGAAGATATTACCACTGCACATTAGGACAGCATAGGATACCCACATCTGCTGAATTTGTTTTGAAAACCAAGGTACAAGTAGAAACAGAATTATTACAACATAGGGAATCCCTTTCACATTTATTCTTTTTCCAAAGAGTGGTCATGGCAAAGTCCATCTTCTCTGCTGGAAAACCTTGAGTCAAGAAGCCAAATTCTATTCCCTGTTTTTATACATATACATAAAATGGGGGTAGGGGGGGAGAGGAGAGGGGACCAAAGCCATGGAAAATGACAATTGTTCCATGAGCAGAGCACAATGTAACAAATGCCATCTTTAAAGGATTGGCGCTGTGATCTTCTGGCACTGGCAGCCAAGGCACTGGATACGCCTGCTAAGAGTTAACAGACCTACAAGCACATGCTACCGCCTCCATTTCAAGATGGTGCTGGAGAGTCCGTGACCTATACATATGTTTTCAAAAGGCAAGTATTTTCAGATGGTTTTGAAAAGTAAAAAAGATACTTGGGATTCTAATTCAGGGACAGCTACGGAAGAATCAATGTGCCATTGTTAGCCAGATTACAGTTCTGTGCCAATGCCTTATCTTCCTAAAACCTATGCCCCCTCTTAAGTGATCTAAACTTTGCAAGAATCCTCTATTGCACCATGAAAGTTTTCTTTGCTCTCAAGCAACTTCCTCGACCATTTCTAAGAAAAAAGTTTTAAACCGAATTCCACTGGTTGATCTTGCTTTAAAAAAAAGACTTTGATCATTTGCTCCTTTCTTACAAACAACAGCTTTCCATACATTTTCCCTTATTTCATACCCAAATTGTGGTGAAGATATGACTAGTGTCCCAATCCGTACAAACTGAATTCTTGCCATGTGTAAAGGACTAGAGAAAACTGAAAGCCAGAGAAGGTTGAGTCTCCTAACTATCAAGTGCATGTTAGCATGGTTCTGCTGTTGCAACAGTGAGCTTACAGTGGGTACTCTGCCACATCTAGTGAAACCGTGGAATGCTTGGTGCATTTTTAAATCATGCCTTTTAATGGTACATACAGTAACAGGCTAAGGGTTTGAAATAACAGAGTCACAACTGACACAGGAAAGAAAAAGGAAAGAAAAAAGAAAGATCTTGCTGCTATTTGGCTGTGCTAGAACCACAGGGCGTGCTTTAACAGCATGGTCACTCAAAGACAGCTCCAAAACAAACTTCCATTAACAGCATGCGTGACACAGCTAAAAGGCAGTAACATCAGCTAGACAAAACAGGCCATGAGCAGTAAGCCCCATCTCTTTAATTATCTACATCTGTAGTACCAAAACATGTAAGAGGAGTGATAAATTAATGGCTGTGTCATCACATCCCCTGAAAAGTAACCATTTTTTTGCTCCAAATGGCTAACTGCAGGGCGTGCACTGTCCTTTCCTGACAGGCCTCATAACCACACTTTGCAGCATGCTCAGGATCGGAGATACATGCCTGGAGCGCCAATTCTTAACGCATGTGAGTACTGAAGACTTCTCCTCCTCCACCCTGCCCTGCCAAGCCCTATGGCCTTGCATCCATTGGAAACAGTCTCCACACCTCTAGAGTAGTTTACTTTTTCTAGGTGTTGAAGAACTATAGGCAGAGGATGAATTCAGCCCACAGGATCATGAAACTGCCTTCTGCACATGCATTATGGTGGGGGAAAGGGCCAAAGAGAATTATTTGGCACCTAGCCATTGCATGTGTAGAACTAAATAAATGGCACTGCACTGTCTCTGCTACCATTTATTCTTTTTTTCAAAGTCACACGACCAGCTGCAATGGTCTAATGACCAAGCAATCTCAGATCTTCCCTCCCCTACTGAATTATCTGCTAATTGATTAGAAATAGCACACCAGGGAGAGAACAAAATACAAAAACAACAAAGCAGGTTGTCAGAAACAAGTTGTCCAGACACATATGCTTCCGTCTGCTCTGACATTCACTCCCACAGCTCCAGTACCAGATGCTTTTAAGATGCTAAGAGCCATGTGGGCACACACTGTGAAATCGTCTCAGACTTAGTTCCAGCAGTTAACCCAAGAGCAGCCAAGTCAAGCATGGTGCTTTGTTTACAGTTCTAGGACACAGGATGAGAGGACATGAAGTGATTTTGTGATGCAAGACAGGCAAAGTAGCTGTAGCCAGAGAAGAGCCTAAACAGCTGTGCCCTCATTGGCTTAGTCAACCAGGGAAGGAAGGCAGGTTCGCATGCCAGTAATTAAGTAAGAATATACAGAATGGAAACCTGCATAGGCAAGTTACCACTTAGCAAGCTGCCTCTGATTTGGAAACTACCACACACAAAAGAATCCCATCCTGTTTGCTATAAAGCTGATTTTTCTGTACACACATTCTTCAACCATATATGTTAAGAGCAAGAGCACACACCTGTGGATCCTCTCCGTGCCTAGCCCACTGCCTGGTACATCTGTCTGCTTGCTTGCCTACCTGCCTGCCCGCCCTGGGATAGGAATAATTCATGAGATCAACAGGCTAGTTCCTGGCCTGCCTGGTGGGAGGAAAACGGCAGTGCACCTGGAGGTCTGAGTGAGGCAATAGCGTGTGTACTTGCTGTAGCAGGAAGGGCACTCGAACAGTTGATACATTTACATCAGCATCAACCACACAATAGCAGAAGACTTAGACTGAAGTGTCCCAGTACCCCGTGCTCCAGAGATAAAACTGTCCAAGTGATTTGAACCAACATTTAACCAGATGTCAACAGTACTGCTCCAGCTGATGCTGATCACAGAGCTGGGTCAAAGGGGAGATCACCAGCCACTGCAGGCAGGAGTCAATGAATAGGGGAACAGAGACTTATCACAGCCTGGCTGAGTCCCAAGCAGATGCCATTTCCCAAATTTGCTCAAGAAGTCAGGGATGCCTCCAAGTTCCCAACTCCACAATAAGGCAACTTATTATTTTCAAGGAAGGAAGCAAAGAAAGACTTTTTTTAACAAGTTTTTTGTGATTTTTGTTTTTAAGAGAAAGCTGTTTAAGCAAAGTCTCAGCATTCCTATGTGAAGGGAGATACTGTGCAAGTTTATGTTCTACCCATCACGCGAAAGGTACTGGGTGGGCGCAATGCAAGGTGGGCCCCAACATTCGGCCAAGATCCTTTGGTTGACTTCCAGTAGTCAGTCTATGATGGAAAGGTGAGCAGCATAGGAGGAAGCTGTAACAGAAGTGACACTTGTGATGGTGGGCAGAGGGACTCCTTGTGCATTGTCATATCCAGAATGGGAGGTGCCTGTTGGGCCTGGAAAGCCAAAGACCCATTTCCAAATGGAACCATATTGTCCGGCCCACTCTTCCAGCTTATGAAGTGGGCTGCATAGTTGTTCAGTGTTCAGTGGGATGAGAAGGAACTGGATTGCATGGGGCTGCATGATGCAGAATTATTTTGGTTTATCCAAACAAACTTCTATCAATAATTTAAAACTTGATATATATATAATATTATATATATATATATTTATATATATTTATAAAAATCTCTCCCTTCCCAACCCTACCCCCAAAAGGCGCTAAGACGTGAAAATGTGAGGATCTGGCTCCAATCACTGACTTAAAATCACTGCGAGGAAAAGGATGCTTTCAACCTTGGATCATCATCTTGTTTTTCCAGCCAACAAGAGAAATCGTGTGCGCTGCAGTCCCCCACCTCCCGCAAGCAGCCTGGTCTTAGGCACCCACATTCCAACTCCCTTGTGCATCCCTGCCCCCTTTCCATCGGAAGTTCTATTATCTCTACTTCCCCATTGTTTGAGTTTCCACAGTTGCTGTGGAAACAGCATGTGGCTGGCTCAGGTTTTTGGCATCCTCTTGCACAGACTGGCTAGATGAGGTGGGGACTTGACTAGATGACACAGAGACTTGATTGGATGGGGTCTGGCTGATTGGTTTGCTGGAAGATTGAGATGGATAACGCTTTCTTCCATCTACTCCCAATGCTGCTGGATATCTCTTGTGGCCACCTTCTTCTCCGATAGGAGGCTAAAACAAAACACAAAAAGAGGTTACTTGCCCATACCTGTGGTTCCTTGAGTGGTTACCTGTACATTCACACCTATAAGCTTGGCACCTGCATGGGGCCTCATTTCAGGAACCATGTTCAGGAATTTTGATGGGAACCTTTCCCTCACCTCCGAGTGCCTATGCTTATAGTAGATTCCTACTTATTCCTGAAGTCTCTTCAAAATGCTCATTATGGGGCCTCAACACCAAAAGGGAGTAATATCCACTGCAGTACTGAACTCCATATCAATACCAGTGATGCACTGGCATCAACACAGAATATACTAAGCAAGTTACTATACTTTTAACAGCTATTCTTCAAGTGGTCGTCTGTTCATTTACACATATGGGCTCTGTGCCTGAAAGGCATCTGCTGTCAGAAAGATTTCACAGCTAAGTGCATTTATGG